CCTAACCCTAACCCTAACCCTAACCCTAACCCTAACCCTAACCCTAACCCTAACCCTAACCCTAACCCTAACCCTAACCCTAACCCTAACCCTAACCCTAACCCTAACCCTAACCCTAACCCTAACCCTAGGGCTTGCCACCACTGGGCTTGCCACACTCTGGCAAGGGCTTGCCACACTCTGGCAAGGGCTTGCCACACTCTGGCAAGGGCTTGCCACACTCTGGCAAGGGCTTGCCACACTCTGGCAAGGGCTTGCCACACTCTGGCAAGGGCTTGCCACCACTTGGCAAGAGGGCTTGCCACCACTTGGCAAGGGCTTGCCACCACTTGGCTTGCCACCACTTGGCAAGGGCTTGCCACCACTTGGCTTGCCACCACTTGGCAAGGGCTTGCCACCACTTGGCAAGGGCTTGCCACACTCTGGCAAAGGGGTGCCACCACTTGGCAAGGGCTTGCCACACTCTGGCAAAGGGGTGCCACCACTTGGCAAGGGCTTGCCACACTCTGGCAAGGGCTTGCCAGCTGTTGGCAAGGGCTTGCCACACTCTGGCAAGGGCTTGCCACCACTTGGCAAGGGCTTGCCACACTCTGGCAAGGGCTTGCCAGCAGTTGGCAAGGGCTTGCCACACTCTGGCAAGGGCTTGCCACCACGTGGCAAGGGCTTGCCACACTCTGGCAAAGGGGTGCCACCACTTGGCAAGGGCTTGCCACACTCTGGCAAAGGGGTGCCAGCACTTGGCAAGGGCTTGCCAGCAGTTGGCAAGGGCTTGCCACACTCTGGCAAAGGGGTGCCACCACTTGGCAAGGGCTTGCCACACTTTGGCAAGGGCTTGCCACACTCTCGGTTCCGCCGCCCAAACGAGCAGCAGGAGCTCGGGCACAACTTTGTCGACTAACAGGTTGAGGAAATCTTCGGCGAAGAAGCGGCACCGGCGGTACGCCGGGACGAACCCGGACCGATCACATTGTTCAGAACCGCGGCGGAGAGCCGCCGCGGGCCCACAGGAGAGCTGGGAGTCGCGGCGCTAGACCGCGCCGCCAGCGAGGCGAGAGCGGCAGCAGCCGACATGTCCGGAGTGGACGCACGTCCACTTCTTTTTTGCCAGAGTATCGCGAATCAATTGGCCTCCGCTCAAAAGGTGTGAACATATTCGCTGCGGTCAGAAAGACATTTGTCGCAATAATGCAAACCACGCCACCTACCCGCGCCCACGGCCGCCTCCTGCTCGCCCCCTTCCTCAACGCAAAGAGCTTGCCGTGGCTCCGCCGCAACTCCGTGACGCACATTGTCAACGCCACTCCCGACGCGCCGTGCCTCTTTGCGCGCGAGTTTCGCTACCTTCGCGTACCTGTGGAGGACCGCGACGGCGCCGACCTCTCGTCGCACTTTGCTCGCTGCCACGCCTACGCATCGTACGCGCTGTCGGGTGGTGGCACCGTCCTCTTTCACTGTGCAATGGGCAGGCGCCTCGCCCATTCCCACCACGTCGCACACACCGCACCCCGCCGCCACCCACCGGCCTTCGCTGCCCGCGACCCAGGAGCCGCTCGGCGGCGCTGCTCGTCGCATTCCTGCTCCGCGAGGAGGGGCTGGGTGTCGCCCAGGCGCTCGACTACGTGCGCTCTCTCCGAGCGTCGGCGGCGCCCCGCGTCAGCTTTTTGAGGCAGCTCCGCGAGTACGCGGCCGGGATCGCCGAGGCAGCGGCGGCGGGCGCGGAGGCTCGCGGTGCGCTCGCCGAGCTCGATCGCTGGCTGGGCTCCGCGCCTCCGCCGCTCGAGCTCGCGCTCGTTCCCGCCGAGCTCGTCGCGGCGGTTGCGGGCGAGGGCGCGGCACTCGCCGTCTGCGAGGGGCGGCTCGCGGTGAGCGTGGCGGCGCTGGGGGCGCTCTGGCGCGGCGCGAGCGAGGCGTGGCGCGCAGAGCGCAGGCGCGGGCACGAGTGCTGCAGCGCCGCCGCAGCAGCGACCGCGCTGCCGCCCGCGGCCCCCCTTCTCGCCTCTCTCTCAGCTGTAGGCGTCACGTCCGCTAGAGTGGCGCGTGGCACGCCGCATAGGACCCTCTCGCTTCGCCGGCGAGCCGCGCCGTCGCAATGCTGAGCGGCGGGCAGAGCTACAGCGCGTGGAACTTCCGGAAGCGGCGCCTCGTGCTGCTCCTGCAGCAGGCGAGGAGCGGCGGAGACTACATCGGTCAGCGAGGAAAGCCCTGTACGAGCCCAGTTGAGGTCCAGGACATGTCCACGACATGTCCGAGACGCGTCCCACAGGCGAGGACAGCCCGTGCGAGGCGGAGGCTCTCCTCGGCGCGGAACTGCGGCTGAGCGAGCTCGCGATCCGCTCCTTCCCAAAGTCGCACGAGGCTTGGGCGCACCGGCGATGGCTGATGGCGCTGCGCAACCCCGACCCGCCCGCGGCTTCCCTCGATGCGGAGCTCGTCGCTGAGATGCGGGCGCGCCGCCCTGCACGTTCGCTTGCCTCCCACCGCCCTGCACACTCGCCTGCCACCCGCCGCCCGCCCCGAAAGGGGATCCACGCCGGAGCCTCCCCCCCCCCCCCCCCCCTCGCTTCCGCTGCCCGCCTCAGCTGAGCCTGCGAGCCATCGATCAGCGAAGGGCAAACTACCGCGGAGGCACGCCTGCATCATACAGTGCATAAACATCATACTGTGCAATCTAGGCAAACTACCACGCCGCGAGGCACGCCGCGCGCGCCGTCCGAGCCCGCGTGGCGCAGCCGGCGTGTGCCGCCGCCGCAATCGATGCGGTCGCTGCTCTCACCCGCTCGGCGCCCCCCCATAGGCCGTGCGTTCGCTGCGTGAGGCGGCGCCTTCACACTCCCCTGTCCGAGGCCTAGGCGAGCGCGCGCGCCAGCGGCGACGCATCGGTGCTCTTCGCGCGGCGCGCAGTCGTGCGCGCGGCTTGCTCCCTCCGCCTCGATCTCCGGCGAGGCGGCGAGACTCCGCGGCTGAGGCGAGGAGAGAGGAGAGGACCTCCGAGAGGCCACCGAGAGAGGAGGAGGGATGGGTCAGGGCCAGTCTGAGAGGCAGCCGGGCCTGAGGCTGCTCCACGGTCTGAGGGGCGGCCGAGGCTGCCTCCGCTGGCACGCGGGCGTGGCTCCCCTAGTGAGCGTGACACGATTGCACGCGGGCGTGGCTCCCCTAGTGAGCGTGACACGATTGCACGCGGGCCTGGCTCCCCTAGTGAGCGTGACACGATTGCACGCGGGCGTGGCTCCCCTAGTGAGCGTGACACGATTGCGGCAGGCCGCTCGAGGTTGGCTCGCGCGTCAAGGTGCGCCGAGAGCGCCACGCCATCTCGGGCAATCTCGGGCAATCTCGAGGAAGCTCAGCCACTCTCGGAGGGCCCACGAAGGTGTACTGGCAAGACGAGAAGTGCTTCTACGCGGGCCACGTAGCGGGGTTTGGCAAGCCGCGCCACGGCCGCGCCACGGCGGGCTCACGCAGCAAACGGGCGAGGCCTTGCCGCTTCGGTCGCGCTCAACTTGGGCCTAATCTTGCGGCCGTAGGTGGACGTGGTGTACGACGACGGCGACGCAGCTAACGAGTTCGAGGCAGACGTGCGGGACGAGGCGACGGCGAGCGCGCTGCTGGATGAGGTGGCGTGGAGCCTCGGCCAGCTGGCTTGCGCGCCGTGGCAGGAGGCGCTGTGGGCTCACACGCGCGCGTTGCTGCTCGAGGAAGAAGGCGAGCAAATCCAATGGATCGACGACGAAGAGGCTGCGGGCTGGATCGACGCTCGTGGCTGCCGGATCGAAGAGGTATCCGCGGCTGTACTAGAGGCTGAAAAGCAGGAAAGGGACACCAGGCGAAGACGCGGAGCTGCGCATCGGGCGACGCGGCTGGCCGAGCTAGAGTCGGCCGCCGCCAGGGGCATCACACTCGGCAGCGAGGAGCAGAGGGCGCGCGCGAGCAGGCTCGCCAAAAGGTACTGCGCGTGGGCGAGGGGGCGCCTGTGAACATCTCGTTTCCACTAGATCGTTTATCGAAGCAGAATCATGTGACCTTTTCGGCACACACCAATGCACACACACACGCAAAGCAAACGCGATGATTCATCTTTCTAATCGGGAGTCGTCAGCTAATGGCTCGCGGCGGGCTGTTGACTCGTGGCGCGCACGAGTCGCCCGCTGCACCCTGCTCCCCGCCCTCCTCGCTCGGCGCCGCCGGCTCGGCCCCCTCCGCCTCCGCCGCCCCCGACCGCAGCCAGAGCGGCAGGTAGAGGAGCAGCCCAAAGGCGAGCCCGACAACGATGATCGTCAGCGTGGCGCGCGTCTCCATGGCAGTGCTGACGCAGACGAAGAGCGCAATCACGATTGGCAGGGCCACGAGCGCGGCGACGCCGGCGGTGCCGCACGGGATGCGGAAGGGCCGCGACATTGCGGGGCGGCGACGGCGCAGCTGCACGGCCGCCGCGAACTCGAGCGTGGCGGCGGCGGCGGAGAAGAAGTTGTCGATGCACCTGCGGCGGGGCGGCGAGGGGTGGGGCGGCGGGCGGGTGGCGAGGCGGGGCGGGCGCAAGCGAGAGGGCGCGATGGCGGGCGGCGCGGTGGACTCACATGATGGACTCAAAGTCGAATCCGATGAGGGCGGAGAGGATGACGAGCTGGAAGAGGATGGCGAGGAGGGGCGTGCCGAGGCGCGGGTGGCGGACGGCGAAGAAACGGGGGGCGAGGCCGGCCTCCGCCATGCCGAGGAGCTGGAAGGAGTCCTCGAGCAGCTCGGAGGAGAAGAGGCCCCAGTTGGAGAGGGCGGACGAGGCTAGCACCCACCCGCCGAGCCAGCGCCCGCCGACCAGCTGCGCCACGTGCGCGAGCGAGCCGTCCTTCCAGTGCGCCCACTCCTCGTCGGCGAGGACGCCGGCGGTGAGCGGCAGCACGTAGCAGACCACCATCAGCAGGCAGCCGCACAGCAGCGCGCGCGGCAGCGTGCGGTGCGGCGCCTCGACCTCGCCAGCGAAGGTGGAGACCGAGTCGAAGCCGGAGAGCGACCAGTACGCGACCGAGACCATCGCGGCAGGCTTGAACTTTGTCGGCCGGAGCCGGAAATTGGCGGGCCGCGCGCGCGGCAGGGCCGCGACCACGAGCGCGAGGTAGGGCGACATGACGAACAAGCCGAGGCCCACGAGCCCGCGGCCGACGAGCGCGCTCGAGAGGCAGTTTGGCGCGGTGAAGGCGAGCAGCAGGAGGAGGCGGTAGAGGTACTCGGCGCCGCACGACTTGTCCTCGTCGCCCAAGCAGCTCCAGAGGGTGGCGCGCGCCTACTCGTGCTGGGGCACGAGTCAGGGACGTCGCACGTGGCACATGCACATGCACATGAACCTGTGCATGTGCATGTGCATGTGCATGTGCATGTGCATGTGCATGTGAGGAAGAGAGAGCGGCGCTCCTCGTCGGGAAAGTCACCCTTTCCGAGCGAGGCGAGGCTGAGAGCCGCAGTGGCGTTGCCCTCCGCCGCGCCGCTGTTGAGCGGCAGACCGCCGATCAGGTGCGTCGCCGATGTGTAGAGCAGCACTGGGTAGAGCGCCGAGTCGACGACGCCCGAGAACCAAGACCAGTACGACTCCTGCACGGCCCAAAAGTCGCCAAAGGCCGCCTGCACCCACAGCGAGTAGCCGCCGTTGTCGGGGAAGGCGGACGAGAGCTCCGCCGTGACGAGCGCCTGCGGGAGCGAGAAGAGCGCAGCGAAGCCCACGAGGGCGCACAGCCCAAAGCCGGGCCCGCCGTACGCGATCAGCTGCTCAGAGCCGAGCGGCCCGCCGCTCACGTTGAAAAAGACCACCGCGAGCACCGCCAACGTGCCCAGCTTGGGCGACGCGCCGGCGCCGCTCGTGCGCGTGCGGCGTCTGTGTGGGCTCGGCAGGTGCGAGAAGATGGACTCTGCTATTTCCGAGAGCGACGAGACGCGCCGGGGCGGCTGCGGCGGAGGAGCCTCGTCCAGCAGCGGCTCGGCCGGCGTGCGCGAGTCCATGAGCATGCGGCGGCTCGAGCGGCCGCAGCGTCACAAAGAGCAGCTAGCTGGCGCCTGCGTCCGCCAGGGTGCGATGCCCTGACTCGTCCATGCCACAGCGTGAGAAGAAATTGTACGACATGTGAACGCGAAAAGAGTGGTCCGAGCACTGTGGGTCGTTGCGGCACGCAAGGGGGGCCTCCCGGACGCATGATGATCCTAGCCCAATACATCCCACGGAGCACATCTCGATTTTTGACAGAATTAAATCCACTGCGGCCCGGACACGGTACTAATGGTCGAGGTACCATGTGGAAGACGGCTCTAGTGCTAGTCCCCCATCGGGAGGACGACCCCGGCTAGTCGCCGACCACACCCACAAAGAACCCTGCACAAAGATCGCACGGGCGGGGACCTGTTCTGTGCCGCGGTACTTTCCGACGTATTTGTGCCTTATTGCCGCATTTCTCTATTGACCGAATCTCTCGGGGGTATATCCCCACATTCATCTGACCTCGCGCCACGGCCCACGCAAGAATCGACTGCAGACGACGGTGGGGAGAGGCTCGTGGGACAATGGTGGCAATGTGGCGTCGGTGGGCCACCTCTACGGGTTTGGAAACACGCTGGACAAGGCGTTGACGGGAGTCGTGGGGTGCAAGGAGCGTGGCCGTCAGGTGGACGGACCGCTCGACCACTCGACTGGAAAGGGATGGGTCAAAGACCACGCGTATGGAAAGGGGTGGGTCAAGACGGATACAGGCTGGAAGTGGACGGGGCGCAGTACTACGACGCGAAGTGGGTCAAGAAGGCCATAACGCGGCTGGTGCTCGTGGAAACTTTGGGTGGCATTGCGCCGCCCACCAAGCAGTTCCTCCACGTGTTCGCCAAGGAAGCGGCGGGCACCAACACGGACCGGACGGTGGTACGGGGCGGCGTCGGCGAGCGCCTCCTCCTTCGTCGTCCACCACACGCAGCAGATCTCCAAGGCGGCGGTGGCGGGCGACGCCGAAAACATCAACAAGCAGGCGCGCAAGGAGCGTACCGACTGGATCAACAAGCAAAAGAACAAGCAAGCGACAAACGGCTTCTTGTCCTCGGCCCCAGTGGGGGGTGCCCGCGCCGCCTAGCTCTGCAGACGGGCCCCTCCACCCTTCATGTAATCATGTAGTCCCCACATCCGCAATCGGTGCATCGCTTTTCATGTGAGAGAGTAAAGAAAGAAAGAAAACAGAGAGCCCAAGGGTCAGGGCTCTTTTGCTCTCGTAGCGCCTGATCCCGATCACCCGGCCCGCTGGGATCTGCTGGGTGCTTCATAGCTCTCTCCGGGCTCCGGCCCTGGGTGTAGGGTGTGAGGTTGCCGACTGCACTCCAGGTGCTCCATCCTCCAAGGATCGAGGTGGCTTTGGCGCGCGAATATCCGGTGTGGCGCCCTGGCGCAAAGCCGCCGTCGCTCACATCTCGCGCGCCAAGCGGCGGCTCGAGCTTCAACTTCATTATTCAGCGCGGACCGCGGTGTCTGGCGAGATGGTTTTGTTTTTGCCGGTGAGAGAGCGAGCGAGCGAGCGCGCGCGCGAGAGAGAGAGCCGCCAATTGTAAATGAGAGAGAGAGATGCGAGTGCTAGAGTTGTTTTTTGTTTTGTTTGGATGCCAGTGTGTGAGGTGTGGGCGGGGGGAGAGAGCCGACGAGATATGGTGTGTGAGTGGTCGCGACCTCGCGTAAATAAAGACCGGCCGAATCCCACGCACGACTGTGAGCACATACACAGTCCGACAAGAAATAGCTACCTAACAGAAGCAACCTAAGGAGCAAGGCTGAGGCATACTAAAGAGAGAGGAAGACAGCTCGCTGAACAGTGTTCCACCGCGGACAGGCAGCGGCATGTTGCGCGCCCGCCTCCTCCTCGTCGTCGTCCTCCGCAGCAGCAGCAACCGATGGCTCTTGTCTATCGCTGCGGCTTTGCCCCGTCCACGAGCAGCATGTCGCTGAGCATCTTTTGCTGCCGGACCCGGTCTGTGTGCCGCCCGACGCAGATGGAGAGAAAGAGGGTGCCGCCTGTGATGTAAAGCAGCTGGCCACACTTGGTGACCACCTCGGGGCGGATGCTCTTGAAGTAGGGCATCATCGCAAACAGCATCGACCCCCCGAGGTACATGACGCTTCCGGCGATAGACGGGTCCGCCTTCATCGACCGCCATAGCTGCATCGCATACGTCTGATGCGAGCGGTCCATGAAGGCCACCCACTCGTCCTTCGTGAGCGAGTCGTCGTCGTCGTCGCCCTCGGCGGTCGCCGTTTCCCACATCGCCTCAAACTCCTTGTTGCTGATGTGCACGTGATTGTCCTCGAGGAAGCGGCGCACCTCGGCCTTTTGCAGCCGCCCATCTTTGTTGACGTCAATTCTGTTGAAGGCGTCGGCCCAGCTGTCGTGAAACCCCAAGCTTCTCAGCCCAAAGCCCCCACTCCCCTCGCACGCCGAGGCCGGCGCGGCGCAGAGCCCCGCAGCCGCGGCCACGGCGGCGGTGGCAGCGGCAGCGGTGGGGGCGGCTCTGGGGCAGAGCCCGCGAGCGGACACCGAAGAATTGGCGGCGCGTGCGGCGGTGGCGAACAGAGATCGATGGGTGGTGGGGAGTAGAGATCGCAGGCCGGGCATTAGGTATGCGCCTCTGCGCGCAATCGCCATGCGCGACGAAAGCATGGACGATCGCAGGACGTTCGTGTTTCTCCCTCTTGAGCACTTGAGCACTGGATAGGGTCGAATCCGCGTGGTACGGGACCCCTCGATCGTCTCGCCCTCCCTCGCTGGTGTGCTCATTGGGGGGGGTCATAACAAACACATTAGCAATGTGGACCGAGGAAGATGAGAACCCGGCTAGAGCGACAATGGCGCACTTGCTTAGCGGCGCCTGCCTGGGGAATAGGGAGCAGGCCAGATGGTTCCTCCGAGTAGCGCGAGCGCAGACGGGGACGGCGATCAGCAAAGTAGCACAGGCGGCGCCCGACTCCAAGGATACGCTGAAGACGCTGAGGATAACGCATGTCGCTGCGCTGAAGGGCTCACGCTATGGGGTGCTGGATGAGGACGGGTACGATGCGCTAGCCCCCGCACGGTCGGGGGGGTGTTGCCAGCGCTGGTAGATGACCTCTCGGAGAAGAGTCGGAGGGACCTTGGCGCCGGGGTCATGAGGAACTTGAAAGTCGTGGCCGAGGCGGCGACGGGAGCGCGGTGCAGAGGTGGATCCAGCTCAATGATGAGGCTACGGCGCGCATAATGAAGAGAGAGGAACACATCGAGTGGCTGAGGAAGCTCTTCGCTGGGTGGAAGGAGGCCCGGCCGGCCTTGAGGGAGCCGCGGAGGAGGAGGGATAACGGAGGTAACGTGCGGACAGGCCAACAGCCAGTGGGACGAACGAGGGCCGCGACGGCAGCTCAAGCGGGAGGGAGCGGAGACGGTGGGCAGCGAGCGAAGTGGGTGAGACTGATGGATGCTCCTTCGACTTGGCTCTTGGGGAGCGGTTCAGCTGCTGGGCGGGCTTCAGGGTGGTGTTCACGCGAAAAGTAATCGACGCGATGTACAAAGCATACAAGAAGAGGAGAAAGAAGAGGAGCGCATGTTGGTGACGAAGCCGCCGATCAAGAGGTGGGCGGCATTGGTCAGTCGGCAGAAGGATCCGTCCATCAAGACGCGTCGTCAGGCATCTCCGCCACGGTGGTGGAGCGCTGAGGCGTCAGTCGCGCCTCGCCGGCCCGACCCGAGGCAACCAGGCTGGCTGCGGCGAGAGGCGGGTGAGGCGGGCGAGAGGCGGGTTTAGGCCCTCCAAATTCGGGTCGGAGCGTAGCGGAGTGGGCCCCGAGTTTGAAAAGGGCGACGGACGCTCAAGCGTCCTAGCCTCCAACAACGCCTCCCCGGCGCAGAGGGCGGGGGCCCCCGGAGGGATGCTCAACCGCTCCACGCCACGCTGCTTGCGGCGGTCCTCTTCCCAGCTCCGCTGAGGGCCCTGCGTTATTTATTTATGGTGTGATAGACTCCAAGCAAGCCCTTTGTGCTGGGTTCCGGCTCCTACCCAGATAGGGGGTCTGTCCACAAACTGGCTGGCCCCTATGCAATAGGTAGGTAGGTAGGTCCGGTTTTGACCGCCCCAGAGGGCCCCGCAATAGGTAGGTAGGGTAGGTAGGTGGTGGTGGTGGGGTGGGGGTGGGGGTGTTGGGGGGCAGGGGTTAAAAAAACCGCTTCGCTCGCGCGGGAGACGGCTAGCCGCGAACGGGCCATGGCCCATGCGCATGCCAGACGAGTCGCCTGCGGCTGGGACGCCAGCCGAGACGGGTGCGGCGGCGGCGCCCGCGGAGCCTATTCACAGAGGGCCAAACGGGTATTTTTCGCTTCGCTGCGCGGCCCGCAATAGGTAGGTAGGTGGGGCACGGAGCCTGGCGGTTGGCGCCCGCAATAGGTAGGTGAAAGGCAGGGCGTTTTTCGCGCCACTATCTACTCGAGTAAAGGAGGCTTGATGCCCGCGCCGACCACGAGCCAACTACCGCCGTCGCCGCCATGCCGCCAGCCGCTCGCTCGGCCGCTCGCACCAGCAGCCTATACGCCAGCCCTCCCGACCGGATCGCCATCATCGGCACTGGCGTGATTGGCGCCTCATGGGCCGCGCTGTTTGCGGCGCGTGGCTTTGACGTGGTGGGCATGGTGCGGAACGAGCACGAGGCCAAGCTCTTTGCCGCGGCGGCCAGCGAGGCGTGGGTGCGTCTTCGCGCGCGTGGCATCGCGCGCGAGGCGGCTCCGACACGCATCCGGCACGTCTTTTCGATCGAGGAGTGCTGCGCTGGCGCCGTCTATGTGCAGGAGTCGGTGCCAGAGAACCTGAGGCTGAAACAGCAGGTCGTCGCGCAGATCGACGCCGCCTGCCCGCGCGGCGTCCTCATCGGCACCTCCTCCTCCTTCCTCTCCGCGTCCCTCATCTCTCTCAGCTGCGCCGTCGACCCGTCCCGCGTGGTCACCGTCCACCCCTCGCTCCCTGCGTGGGACAACTTTGTCGAGGTCTTCAGCTCCGAGCCTTCGCACGTCGCCCGGCTCGTCGACCTGCTCGACTGTCAGCTCGGCATGGACGTCGTGCCGCTCGGCCGCGAGTCCCACGGCCACGTGCTGAATGCGATGCTGCTCTCCCTCGCAACCACCTCGGCGCTGCTCATCCGCTCGGGCGTCTGCAGCGCAGCCGAGGCGGACCGCGCCGCTTCGCACATGGGCAAGCTCATGTACGCGGGCGGCGGCGGCTCGGCCAACTACGTCGGGCTGATTGGCGGCGGCAAGCTCGACGGCGTGGTCGCGATCGCCACGGACGGCTACACAAACGTCCCGCTGGGAATGCTCGGCTCGGCGGTGACGGCGGTCTTTGGGCACGGGCTCCTCGGCCGCGCGCTGCTGTGGCTGCTGCAGCTCCTCCACGCGCCGCTCTCTCTCCTCGAGGGCTGGCTCCACCCGATGCGCGCGATCCAGACCTACTTCCTCTCCCCCTGCCTGGACGAGTACAGGCGGCTCGGCGGCGGCGACGCCCTGTGCCACCGCATCCTGCAGCGCGTGATCGCGCTCGACTCGGCGGACAACTTGCCGCCGCTGTCGGACTGAGGCCGCGGGCGACAGCCGAGCGGGCCGCGCGACAGCCGGGCCCCAGGCGCTGCGCACAGCGAGCGCTGCGAGCCATGTCCAGCATGTCCCATAGGCGAGATCATGTGAGACAATGGGAGCCTTAAAAAACATGTCTCATGTGACATGCACATGTGCATGCACATGTGCATGTGCATGCACATGCACATGCACATGTGTGTCGAGGTTACGTTGTGCTGCTCCTGGACCCTTAAGTTTTATTCGCGGGGGAGGCAACCCCCCCGAACCCCAGCGCTATTTGGGGGGTATTCCCCTATTCTCGGGGACTCCCCCGCCATTTTTGTGGAAACGAAAGGCTCGCGAACAGCAGCCCCCCCCCCCCCCCCCCCCGCCCCGCCCCGAGTCCCGTTGTGGGAGTGCGTTGAAAACTTGAGCGGGTTGTCGGTTGAATATCGCGCACACAAGTCACAACACATCACGAAACCCGGGGCTTGTCATTTACTTCCGTTTTGCTTTCGGCCTGCTTTCGGCCTGTGAGAAAAATAAGAAGTCTCGAAAAAGTTTTTATTTTTTTTGCTGTTGCTGTTTGAGCGCTCTACCCAGCCTGTGCTGCTGTGCTGCTGCTGCTGCAGCAGACCGCACGACCGCAGACAGGAGAGATGCAGTCCCCACGGAGGAAGGGCAAAGGCAAGGCCCGGGCGCTCGTCCGGCCGACGCCTCCCCGCAAGTCGCCGCCGGCGCAACGGCTGGGCAAGCGAACACTCGAGCAGTCGGAGGCCGGGCCCTCAGCACCTCCGACTGCAGAGAAGGCACCTCCAGAACCTCCTTCGCCTCCAGTGGCTCCCGGAGCTCCAGTGTCTCCCGGCAATCGCAAGAAGATTGTCGTAAACACGGACGAGGCGCCCAATGCGCCGAGGAAGCAGCACTCGACGAGGAGTGCGACCGCCTCTGCCGGCCAGGCCTCCACGAGTCGAAAGCTCTTCGACGATGGCTGACGTCGCCGGATGTCGGCGCCCAACCACTCGTCGCAGGCCTGCGGCGCTGCGAGTCGCGGCACAGGCGCGAGCCTGCGGGCGCCACTCGTCCCGCGCGAGCAGGACACACGCTTCTTCCGCGATTGCCGCTCCAGGCGGCTGGCCGCATTCTCCTCGGGCTGGGGCCTACGTGGTGTTCAAGACGGCGGACATCCTCTCGCCCGCAGCGGGCGGCTCTCCTCGCTCTACGACCCAACGCGAGCACGCAGCAGGAGAGGCAGGCGCGCCGCGGCACCCACCCTCCCACCCTCACGGCAGCCTCGCCCGGCACGCACGCGCCCCGCAACCCATTTCCACAAGCGCTCCTTCGGGGCTCGCTCCCCTTTTCAGGCCCGTGCCGGTGCACTCGCTCTGTGGGCCGGCGCGGGCCTGGAGCAAAAGCAAATTCTCGTCTGACGGCGCCGGTAGAGAGAGAAAGCCGCGCGCGTAGCCCCATCCCCAAGGATGCCATGATTACACTTCACAACACACTACACAGACTACACACAGCTCCACCGTCCACCCACTATGCACTAATACGATAAAACGAACACAGCCGACACACGACACAGCGGCAGAAGTACCGTTTATTCATTATTCTTTATTGTGTGTCTTTTTTGGATTTTTTGCTTATTTTTTGCATTTTGGATTTTGCGACTGGTTGGGTAGTAGTCTAAGTTCTGAGCCTGGAGGCCTAACGGGTCTAAGTGTGGCTAGCCACGCTGGAGTGCTTGCGCGGTCTAAGATCAGCGGGAGCCTCTTACATCGGCTAAGTCGGCCGTGGACGGCCTGGGGCCAAGAGGCTCCCACCGTGATCAACGTACAACGATACGGCGCAGCCCCCAAATTTTCTTCGCCTGCGGCGGGCGATCGATCCTTCTCATGCTCAGCAATCGCCGCCTCAGCATCCTCCTCTTCCGATTCTCGTTGCTGCTTCTTGAGCGCAATCTTCGGCGACTTCTCGCCAAACAGTTCTCACAAATAGCCTCAAGCTCAAACAAACGCGTGTCAGAGAAGCCTGTGTATGCTGGTCCTCTTTGAACGATCCGCGCGTGAGGTAGCATAGGGCCTTGTTGGCAGCAGCCAGCTTGTTGCGCTGCTTCGTTGCGATGAGCTGATTGGGATCGCAGAAGTGCATGCCAAGCACCGCCACGATCTTGAAGCAGAACACATCGCAACCGCATCGTCCGCACTGCCATCGGCATGCCGCGCCCGCCGCTTCGCCGCAGCCGCCTTAGGCACGCATAGCGGCAGCATATGGTACGTTGCGCGTACTTGAGCAGGCGTTGCGCGCCGCAAGTAGCGCACTGGCCCTGGGAGAAGGCGATATGGCGTCGTGCGCGCGGCAAACGTTGGTCGGGACGCGTCCAGGTATTTTTCGGGCAAACCTGAAAGCTTTTCAGGTATACCCGGGTTTTACCCGGAGTTGGCCTTATGTCGTCTAAGTTCATGCCCCCCGACCATGAGGGTCTAAGTCTGAGCCCGGCTCCGTGCGGGGGCTAAGTTGAGCGCTCGCTCGCTGCAGAGGCTAAGTGTAGAGCGACCCTCTAGCCCTACTACCCAACCATTATTTTGCGATTGCGCTCTGGGGGGAGGCGGGGCCCCTAGCGGGTACCCATGCGGGGGGAGATGGGGTCCCATGGCCCGCCGCAGGCGCCGATTTAAAAGCACGTCTTGTCCTTTTGCCTGCGGAAACGTTCAGCTCCCCCACTCGTGTCCCCGCCCGCCGGTCTCAAAGAGAACCCCGGACAAGCTCCGTTGCCACCTTCCAGTGACTGTGCAGCTCTTCGCTATGCCAGAGACCCCCAAGGCTACGGCGCCGGACTGGGCGAGCTCCCCCGCCGACACGACACAGCGGCAGAAGTACCGTTTATTTCATTATTGTGTGTCTTTTGGATTTTGCTTATTTTTTGGATTTTGCGATTGCGCTCTGGGGGGAGGCGGGGCCCCTAGCGGGTACCCATGCGGGGGGGGGGGGGGGACCCATGGCCCGCCGCAGGCGCCGATTTTTTTGCGATTTTTTCTCTTATGCCCGATTTTCTACTTGTTTTCATGAGAATTCGCGTATTGCGCGACCATCCATGCTATCACGCCTTGCGACAGCCTGTCGGCGCTGCTGACCGTGCCATGCTGCTCAACTGACCGCCTGCATAGCTCGCGGCCTTAGTCTTTGGCATTCAGTGACGACCTGATCGTACGGCCAGTAGGAAGGTGTCCTTCCAGCGCGTGCACGCTTCTGACGCAATGCGCGTCACAAACTGCCTCGGATTGGCTGCTGGCACTCTCGAGGCTATGGCTACACAGCCTCGCGCGCATGGGCAGTCAAGAGGGACCATGCACCTTCTCACGACAGCGCCGGTGCCTCTCTCTTGGACCGGCAAACGTGGTGGTCTCGTGTCACCAATGTGGGACCAGTGCGGCATCGCGCCATCGACAGCTCTGAACTGCGCCTCACCACTGACCGGGAAGGCCGCCAAGTGGGTCAGCACCGGTCGCACATTGTGGCAGCAGTCAGTAGTGCATGTCTGATAGCTAGAGCAGCAGCGTCAGGGTCGCAGGGTCGGATCGTGTCAAGCCTCTCGCCCGGCCGGCCGCGTGCAGACGTCGGCCTGTCTGCTGTCTGGAGTGATCTGTCGGCGGTCAGTACGACCGATCAGGTCGGAGTTTTCTGATGGCTGGAGGGTCTATCTGTATGTACTCCTCGAGACCTCTCCAAATCTGCCCTCTAATCAACCGTAATCATTCGGGAAGTCGGTGGTATGAGCGAGTATGAGCGCCGGGGCCCCGTTTCCGCACTGCGGCCGTCAGGGGCGGCGACCCCCCCATCTACTGATGATATGCGCATCCTAGATGCCAAACGCCATCTAGGATGCGTTTTCCATCTAAGGACACCGGGTGTCTCCACTATGATTGGGTTCTCCAAGAAGATTCAATTATCTTTAGATGGTGCCCCGCGTCTTTTGAGTTTTGTGTTTTGATAGCCCGTGACATCTCAGATACTGCAGTCGTCTTCAGACGCACAAGTGTGCCGAGATGATACCCTCATCTTGGGTTAGTCCATGCATCCCAGGATGCAATGTGGCATCTGAGGATGCGCAATGCATCTCAGGAACATGAGCGCGTTGTCGGTTTTTTTCACTATTTTTCGATCGACAGTGTCGGAGTTTTTTGCCGAACCCGAACCCGAAATAAAAACCAGTCTTACATATACAACCTTCCATAGTGTAGAAAAGTCAGCATTAGCACAAGGGCTAAGTGCCCCCCACCATCACTCACTGGCTCCCAGTTCCATCACTATCAGTAGTATTCCACAGACAACAGAGTAGTTAGTGCTTAGTCACATCACACTTACATAAAAAATTAGATATTCTTACCTTCTTGCCCCCCTCCGAGACTGGAGACAGTCACCACCCGTACACAGGAGAAATGGGAGTGCGCCCCGCCCCCGCTTGCCCTGCCTGCGCAGGATAGCGTGCCCCGATGACGGCGACACATAGCGGGGTACACTGCGCAAGGAGGGGGTGCGTCGCCTTTCTTTGTCCTCTCGAGGGAATGTTCTCTCGACGCCCATGGCCTTTTTCTGAGGTTTCGTACTAATGACGTCCTTCTTGGCACTTCGGGCGTCGGTTGTGCGTATCTGTAGTGTCTATTCCCTCGGTAATGTGTTACGGGTATCGGTCACTGAGTGGACGCTATCTCTAACCATTTGATCTACGTTTGCCGACTTCGGCCGTCCGCCTCTCGATGGTCGAGTGGCTTCCGGATCGAATCGGCGACTATGACCCTTATAATTTTTTTCACACCTGGCGGGCCCAATTTTGCTCAGATGCACCTCCGAATTCGAAATCGCGTCCTCACGCTTAGCGCTTGGTGTGCGTCCGTTTTTCGTCACGGGTGTCGTGTGATCACACTTACATAGCCATACTAGTAGCAGCTGAGATTAGCATAGATTCATAGTCTCCACTCCCACTTTGATCCAAGGGCTCACACGCCGCTCAAGTCTTTAAATTTAACTTGTATTTTAATGATTAAATGCCAAGCATCTTGGGATGCGACGCATCTTCAGATGATTCGAGCATCCCAGGATGCTCCGGCATCTTAAGTTGAAAATACCATCTAGAGATGCTCGAGCATAGGCAAGACAGTGTGCAGTCCAAGTAGGGCGCATCTTAGATGCATATTATCTCAAGATGCGCATATCATCTGTAGATGGGGGGGTCGCTGCCCCTGACGGGCGCGGCGCACGGTGCCTCCGGGGGCCCCCGCCTCCCCCCAGAGCGATTGCGTGTGCCGTTCGGTGTGCCCGTGTCATGACTCATGAGAGCCCATTCGTTGACGCAATTAAAGTGTATATGTGCACAAATCCCGCCGTGTGACGCGTCCCGAGATATGCACGCGTGGCGTCAGCCGTCACACGACGCACTCGCAGACCGACTGATCCGTGATCGTGATGATCCACTCTCCACCACGAGCTCAAAAAATGTACCAGAGAGTCTCCCCCTCGACCAAGCCGAGCCCTCTCGCAACTCGCTGAATCTCGCCCTCCCCGCCCTCCTCGGCGCGGCGAAGCGAGACGCAGACCGCGACGGGTCCGCGGATGTCGCGCGTGTGCACGACGGGGAGGGTGAACGGCGGCAGCAGCGCGCCGTCGCTGCCGCGCAACCTGTGGTTGGTGTACAGCTCGCCCACCTTGCGCGGGTTGATGTCGGCGAGCGCGACGACGCGCGACCGCGCGGCGGCCGAGAGCGCGGCGACGAACGCCTTCCCGTCCCTGCCCGCGCCCCAGACGGTGAAGGTCGCCCAGCGAGGGTCGCTCAGCACGCGCCGCTCGAACGCGGCGGCGCGAGCCTGCAGCAGCGTCCTGCGGTCGACGGTGGACGTCATCGACGAGGCGGTCCACCTGAGGACAGCGATGGACGAGTCGTGGACGTGTGCGCCCCTCCTCAACATCCGCCTGGCGAGGCCGCGCCGGTAGAGGAGGAGCGGCTCCTCGCGGCTGCCTACGGGGGCGTGTCGCGGACGTGTCCCGGACATGTCGTCGGCCGGGCAGAGGAGCGGCTCCTCGCGGCCGCCGACTCGGAGGAGCGGCCGCTCTGCGCGCGCGGCCCGGTCGAGGTGCGCGTGGAAGAAGAGGAGGTCCTCGGCAGGCACCTCCTGTGGACGCGTCCTGGGACGGGTCACGGACGGAAGGAGAGGGCGAGGCGCCTCCGCGGGCACGCTCCTCGAAGCCGCCGACCGCGTCGAAGGTTGCTCGCGCCATGGCCCAAGTGGGCATCTGGACCGTCGTCTCCTGCGCGGCCGAGAGGGCGCTGGGGCGAGGCGCGGAGCAGGGGGTTTGCGAGGGCGGGAGAGGCACCCGGAACTGGTGCAGCCAGAGCCCCTCCTCGTCGAGGGAGTGCGCCCACGCCTCGTGGTGCGCCGTCGCGCCGTCCGGCCACCGCCGCCACGCCCCGCCGACAAGGGAGCGGGGCGAAGCGGACAGCGCGGCGACCTGCAGCTCGACGCGCCGCGGCAGCATGACTAGCGGGCGAGGAGGCGGCGCGGTGAGTGGGCGGCGAGGGGAGTGGCGGCTCGTGCCGTCGGGGAGCAGGCGCCGTCGTCTGCGTCGAGGAAGGCGAGCAGCGAGCCCGACGACTGCGCAACGGCGCGGTTCTTTGCGAACCCGATCCCGCCCGCCTCGGCGTGCGCGTCTCCGCCCCACCGCGACCCCGACGCGACACAATCGACCCGGGCGGCGCGCAGCCGAGGGATCCACGCCTCGATGAGGGCGCGGGTGCCGTCGGAGGAGCCGTCGTCGAAGATGGACACCTCGAGCGGCCCGCGGTACGTCTGCGCGAGCACCGACGCCAGCGCCTCGTCGAGGCACCACGCCGCGTTGTGCGCCGGCACGACGAGCGAGACGCGCGGCAGCGACGGGTCGACGTCGCGCGGCCTGCCCTCGGCCGCGGCGCCGAGCCGAGCAACCTCGGCCGCGAGCGACTCGGCGGAGGCGACGGAGGGGCGCTTGGGCGGCGGGAGGAGGAGCGCCTCGTCGGGCGGCCGCTTGGACGGCTCGCCTAAGGACGCCCTTAGCTCGCCGGCCGGGCATGGCTCGCCGGCCGAGCATGCCGCAAGCCCCGCGGAAGAAGCGCACCCTGCAGAGGCCTCGCCGGAGCGCGAGGGCGGAGGGGCGGAGAGGAGGGCGAGGCTCCGCACTCCGTGCGCCGCAAAGGCCTCCGCCGTCACACGCGCCATGCCGTTGACGAGCACGCGCGGCGTGGCGGCCCGGTTGCTCGTCCCGCCGTGCACGAGCCACGGGTGCAGGAGTACCACGTCGCCCGCCTCGCCGCACACCTGCAGCACCTCCGCCTCGGACGCCGCACCCTCCTCCTCGTGGGCCGGCTCGCCCGCCGCCGCCCGGCCGCCGCCGCTCTCCCGGGCGAGCCGCAGGCAGCCCGCCTCTCGCCGCGCCCCCGCCTCGCGAGCCGACCAGCCGTTGAGCTCGTCGTGCGGCACGCCTGCGGGACATGCCGCGCACACGTCGTGGACGTGTCACGGACCGGCCGACGAGCCGCTCGCGCCGCTCGCCGCGCTCTCCCACCTCGCGCAGCGCCGCCGCAACCCACCGGTGAGAGCCGCGGATGAGCGCGGTGCCGCCGCCGCCGGGCGACCATCCCGACCCGAGCAGCAGCACGACGGCGCCCTGGAAGGGGTGGCCCTCGCTGGTGCGCGCGGCGCCTGTGTCAAAGCCAGGTCCGATGTCGACGTGCCAGCCACGCCACCGCTCGCCGCGGCGGTTCACTGGCGCCCAGCTCCCGGCCGGGTCGTCGCAGCCTCCGCGCTCATCGGGGAATGCGACCGGGGCGTACCAGTGCCGCACGGGCACGCGGCCGCCGTCGGTCGGCGCGGCCGCGTTGACGGGAAGCTCCCAGCCACCCTCGCCCAGAATCGCGTCGAGCGCCGCAACGAGCCGCGGCGAGGCGACGAGCTCGGCCCAGTGTGCTGCGTCGCCCGGCGGCGTCACCTCCAGCACGCGGCGAGACCCGCCCGAAGGCCACGTGTCTGGCCGATCGAGGCTGGCCGACGCCTCACCAGACTCGGCGGCGATGGACGGCGCCTCGAGCTCCCTCGCGATCTGCGCCATCAGCGACTCCATCGTCGCCGGCTCCACAGCCCGTCGGATCGTCACCCAGCCGTCGCGGGCAAAGGCCGCGCGGAGGCGGTCGGCGTAGACCGTGGACATATATTTATGAGAAAGCGATTCTCCCAAGAATTTTAGTGCGCCACACTGCGTGGCGCACTCTGTGGTCTCAAAAGAATTCTGCGCCCCGCGCTTGAGCACTTGAGCACTGGATAGGGTCGATTCCGCATGGTACGGGACCCCACACTAACTAGGCACCGGACTGGCGCGCACTGGCACTAACACAGGTACATCACGGGAGCCGCCTAAGTAAGTAAGTGACTCCTGCGAGGACGGCGAGGCACTTAGCTCCGTGCACTCGACCGCGGCCCTCGCCGCAGGTTGGGCTGTAGCAGGTTTGCCTCTCGCACCCCGTCTCTTTTCCTTTCCTTTTTTCTCTACTCGGTTTTCCTCTCTCTTTTCCCGGGAAAACTCCGTGGAAATCGTCAAATTTTGGGCTCTGTCCTCTGAGCCGAGTCTATCTCTCTCTCTCTCTCTGAGGCTGGTTTGGGCCCAAAATCAGCCAAATTTTAGGCCAAATCGGCAAAATGCCGGGAATTTCGCGGAGAACCCGTGTATACCTGGAAATTACCCTGCGACCGCCTGTGTATTTTGTCGATTTCCTCAATTTTGCCTCAGATTTTGCCCCAGAAGAGCTCTCAGACTCAGGGAAACTCGCGAGTTTCCAGAATGGAGCACCAAACACCTCTGAGCTCTGTTTTCCCTGGAAATTTCCGGAAACGCAAAGTGCTGGGGACCCTCTGTTTTCCTTTTTGTTTGCCGGACAACCTGCTACATCCCAAGCCGCAGGCAAGCTCATGCACAATCTGCTCTGCGATGGCCGTGTGAAGAACGACTGAGATGCGCTGCTTCTGCAGCCCTAAGCCAACTCTTGGTGGTCCAAGTCACCTCATCGAGGTACTGGGCCCGCGTCAGCTTGTTTCTGCAGCACGTTCGCCGCCTTCCAGAGGATCTCGCCGACCCCCTTCCCGAACACCCACCGAACGACTCGAACAGCAGCAGCTGCACGTCGACGTCCTTGCTTGTCCTCCGCGCTGGGCCTGGTACAGCGATACTCGCCGCCATCGATTAAGGACGGTATGCGGCGGTCGCCGCCCACACCCACCTCACCCTCCCGCCTCCCCCCCCTAGTCAGCCAGCGACCCGTCCCCTGCCCCCTCTCGCCCAAAGAATTTTCATTCGGCGGAAGTCCCTCTCACAGCAGACTGGCACGGGTTGTACTCGAGTAGGGTTTCTTTCTTTCTTCATTCAGCAGACTGGCACGGACTGGCGCACCACAAAAGGCACAGCAGGCGACGGTCCTTTATGAAAGAGAGAACCCAAGGGAGGGAGGAAAGAAAGAAAGAAAACAACCCAAGGGAGGACGGCACAGGGCCCGGGAAGCGCGAATAAAGCCTGTCCACCTGTTTTTCACACCTTTGAAAAGGCCGTTCAAACGCACCCTCTCGCCCCATGCAGCCGGCTGCTTGCTGGTGGCACTAGGGCCGCTGGGACGCGCAAGAAGAATGAGCAAAAAAGACGAAGATGGCGACGAGCACGAGCATGCCAAAGTGGGACTTCGCGTGCGGGTCGAGGGGCAATCCAAGCTCTCTTCACAGGGGTTACAGGTGGTCGGCCTGACTGGAGGACGGGCCCCGTGCGCGCTCCCAGCGCCGAGCCGCGGCCCCACGCGCCACCTGGGCTGCCTCTGGCACGGCCGGGGTCCGCCGAGAGGCTGGGCTTGGCCGGCGGCGCGACGCGTGGCCTGTGCTGCGTCCGTCTCGGACGTTCAAGCGGCGCCAGCCAGCGGCTCGGCCGCGCATCCTTCACACACGCCGCCACGACCGGGATGAGTGGGCCCAGTGTCGAGCCTTGATGTGAGCTGCATGTGCGCGGCGGCCGTGGCGACAGCAGGTCCACCAGACGGACCTCAAAGCTTGCCGTCGGCGTGCTGTCGTGGCGAGAGCGCGAGACAGCTGCAGAGGAGCCGAGTGCAGTGGCGAGCCAGAGGCTACCTGGGTCACCAAGTGGTAGCCCTTGCCCATTCTGAGCAGGGCTGTGCTTTGGTGGGGTTGTGCTTGAGCGTGTGTGAAGTGGGAGTGCGTGCCGGCGGTGTCTGTGGGTGAAACAGGCGTGTGTGAGGCCGTAAGAGCCATGGTATGAGCCAGAGTGGGCTTCATCACCCAAAATAAGGACGGTTTGGGACAGCTCAGACTTGATACTGATGGGCCTTGGCCAGGAGAGCGACAGAGAAGGCGAGGTGGTGAGCTGGGAAGCCGCTTTGTCTGCACCTGGACGTGTCGTGATGAACTGCCGAAAAGTACTATTTGCGGCTATTGCTCAAAACCTTTGGAGACAAGGCCTACATATTATGACTGCATCCATGCGTCTGGTGCATGAGGGCCGCGGGTCGGGACATTTCACGGTCGGTGGCGCCGATAATGACCTCCGTAAAGCCCTCACAATCGCTCGGCACGGGCCACCGGGAGTGCTCTCGAGCGCCTACACCGGAGCATCACGAGCCGGTGTGAGCTTGAAGACCCGAGATAAGTGTGCGGTCTGGGACAGCTCAGGCTTGATACTGATGGGCCTGGGCCAGGAGAGCGACAGAGAATGCGAGGTGGTGACCTGAGAGCAGGAAATAGCGCTTCGTGGCAGGTGCTTCGCGACAAGGTCACACGCGGACGCTCCAGCCTCTCAGCTCACCACCTCGCCTTCTCTGTCGCTCTCCTGGCCCATGCCCATCAGTAGCACGCCTGAGCCGTCCCAGACCGCACTTACCTTGGGTCTGCAAGCTCACACCGGCTCGTGATGCCACGGAGAGGGCTCGAGATTGTCTCCGGTGGACCCCTTGCCGAGCGGTTGCGAGGGCTTTACGGAGGTCATTATCGGCGCCACCGACCGTGATATGTCCCGACCCGCGGCCCTCATGCACCAGACGCATGGATGCAGTCATAATATGTAGGCCTTGTCTCCAAAGGTTTTGAGCAATAGCCGCAAATAGTACTTTTCGGCAGTTCATCACGACACGTCCAGGTGCAGACAAAGCGGCTTCCCAGCTCACCACCTCGCCTTCTCTGTCGCTCTCCTGGCCAAGGCCCATCAGTATCAAGTCTGAGCTGTCCCAAACCGTCCTTATTTGGGGTGATGAAGCCCACTCTGGCTCATACCACGGCTCTTACGGCCTCACACACGCCCGTTTCACCCACAGACACCGCCGGCACGCACTCCCACTTCACACACGCTCAAGCACAACCCCACCAAAGCACAGCCCTGCTCAGAATGGGCAAGGGCTACCACTTGGTGACCCAGGTAGCCTCTGGCTCGCCACTGCACTCGGCTCCTCTGCAGCTGTCTCGCGCTCTCGCCACGACAGCACGCCGACGGCAAGCTTTGAGGTCCGTCTGGTGGACCTGCTGTCGCCACGGCCGCCGCGCACATGCAGCTCACACCATGGCTCGACACCGGGCCCTCTCATCCCGGTCGTGGCGGCGTGTGTGAAGGATGCGCGGCCGAGCCGCTGGCTGGCGCCGCTTGAACGTCCGAGACGGCCGCAGCACAGGCCATCGCTCAAACAATCGGCCGGTGCTAGGGCCGCCGCAGTCGCCGGTGGGCCCACGGCGATGGGCCTGGTCGATTTCAGCCGACGGGAGGGCAGCAGGGCCGCGTGCGGGGCCTGCGCTAGGATTGCCCCGTCGTGCGCACGGTGTCCCCAGTGTAGGTGGACAGGCTTTATTCTTTTGCCGAGCGAAAAAAACCTTTTGCCGAGAATGTGAGCGCGTTCCCCCTTCCGCGTATAGCTGCACAGCGCACTCATCTGGGAGATGAACGACTACGACGCCGATAACGGGCCCCCACTCGTGGGCATGCGCGCCCCGCTCCTCTACCAGCGGGTGAAGCTCCACGGCCTCGTCTCGCGGCCGGAGCTCAATGGCTCCTTTGGCAAGGCGGTCTCGTGGAGCGAGGAGAAGGGCCGGTACGGCGTGCAAATCGCGGGCCACGAGGATATGATTGCGCTCAAGCCGGCAAACCTCGCGGCGGCCGGCGCCGAGGAGGGTGTCGTGTGCGGCCACTGCGGCGCAGGGGCGGCCAACGAGCGGTGCACGCGCTGCTTTGCCGTCTGGTACTGCAGCGCAGAGTGCCGGAAGCAGGGGTGGGCGGCTCACAAGCCGGCCTGCACGCCTCCGCCCGTGGCCGAGTTTGGGAGCGAGATGTCGCACGCGCAGCAAGCAAAGATTCAGCAGCACATGCAGGCGGCGATCGACGCGGGCAAACGGGGCTCGGCTGCCGGCAAGGCGCAGGAGATCAAGATGCTCCGGCAGAGCGCGGCCGCCGACCCGCAGCAGCCGATGACCTGGTTCAACTTGGCGCAAGCGTACTGGGACTTGGGCGTCAAGGGCGATGCGGTCGAGGCGATGTGCAAGGCCGTCCACAACCTGGTCCGCGTGCTCAAGAACCCACAGGCGGTGGACCTCAGCGACCCAAACGCCAAGTATCTGATGGAGGAGCTGCCGCCCAAGGTGACGGCTACGGCGGCGAAGCTGCTCGAGGACGCCGTGGTTGGCCGGGGCGGCGACCAGCTCGAGTGGGACGAACGGCTGGGGCGCCTGCTGCAGACCCTCGCCGACCTCTGCGGAAGCCGGCTGCACCCGGGCGCGCGCAGCCTGACGCACTACGTCTTTGGCAACGTGCTGCGAAAGAGGCGCAAGAACGAGGAGGCGAGGGAGCAGCTCGTGCTCGCCGACCGCGCGGCGTGGAACGGCGGTCGAGGCGAGCGCGACCTGGTGTCGCTGTCGGCGATCCCCGACGTGATTGCCAACCAAGCGCTGAACCTGGGCGGGGCCGCACCCCCCGAGCTGTGGGTTGAGGCGATCAGCGCGGCGCGCGAGGCGCTCGGGGCGACGCCGAGGAACCACCGCATGCACCCGTCCGTGCAGCTGACGCTGGCGAGGATGCTCTCCAACCGCATCAGCAAGGGCCTCGCCGACGCGCAGGGCCACGTCAACGTCGACGAGGCGGCGCCGCTGGCGCGGGAGGGCGCCAAGCTCGCTCGTGCGGCGCGCGCGGCGGCGCAGGGGTCGGATCCCCGGCTCGTGGCGCTGGCCGACCAGCTCCTCTCCCCGAGCCAGCCTTTCGGCCTGCTCGCCGGCGCGTGAGGGCTGCCGACCGAGGAGTTGGCAGTTCCGGAGGACACGCGTGAGACTTGACTCGCTAGGCTAGCGTGAATTGATTCCGGTGTTTCTTATCACCCTACTACAAAATGCGCCTGCGGGCGGACCCTTGCTGCTCCCAGATCACCCTGCTGTGAATTGCTGATGCGGGCGGGCCACCGTTCGTTCGCGCGAGCTCCGGCCGCGCGCCAACCCAGGGTGATGGTCCACGACCAGCTGGTCGACGACAGGGCCGAGCCGCTCCTCCCGGCCGAAGAAGCGGGCAAGCTCCGTTCCGCGCTACGCATCGACCTCTCCGTGGGATGCTCCCGCGGCGGAGTGCTCCAGCCGTGCCGCCGCAAGCACGAGCCGCCCAGTCGTGAGGCGCGAGCGCAGCTGCCGCTCGGGCCGAACGAGCACGCGACCGAGGGCGATATCTGCGACATGTACGCGCGGTTGGGCTGGGACGAGCGAGACCAGCTCGGCGCCGTCCTCGTGCTCAAGCTTGCGCTCTCGCTGACCGCCTCGGGCATGCCAACCTACACCGCCGAGCCGCTCCTCCGCACCGTCGCTGCCGCCGCGAACCTCCCTCACTGCCACCTGCTGCTCGGGATGCGCTCGCTGCAAATCTCGTTCGGCGGCGGGCCGGTGCACGTCCTCTCCTCGCGTCAGGGAAAGGTGCTGCACCGTCTCTCCGACCTCCACTGCCTCACCCTCGCCGTCGCCGTCGCCGTCGAGCCCGCCACTCTGATGGCCCTCCAAGCTGTGGACGCGATCAACCGCCGCCGCTCGCCCTTTGGCTGGGCGATCGAGGCCCTCGCTTACCACGGCTTTGCGTGCGCCGCCGCGCCCGCCATCTTTGGAGGCGGCCTCGGCGATTTTGCCGTCGTCGCGCTCGCCTCTGTCCCTGTGCGGCTGACCCTCGCGGCGTGCGGAGCGCTGCCGCAGCTCTCCGCGCTCAGCGACCTGCTCCTCCCCATCGTCGCCGGCGTCGCCGCGCCTTCGCTCTGCGCGCTCTTCGAGCTCGACGCGTGCCACGCGGCGACGGCGACGCTCTCGCTGCTCCTCTTCGAGCTGCCCGGCTCGGAGCTGCTCTTCGGCGCGACCGAGCTCAAGCGCGGCAACCTCGTGGGGGCGACGCGGCTCGTCCACGCCGTGGTGCTCACCATGTTCATGGCCGTCGCCCTCGCCCTCGGCTGGTGCCTCGCCGCCCTGCCGATCTCGCGGCTCGCGCCGAGCCCGCCACCCAACCCGTGGCTGCCGGCGGCGGCGCCGTGCAGCGGCGGCGCCACCGCCGAGCTGTGGCCCGCCCTCCTCCAGAACGGGCTGCAGCTTCTGCCGCTGGAGGTGGCCCAGTTAATAGCGAAGTGCCAGTAATTAGCTATGAATTAAGGGATGCAGCTCGTGCCTCTGGAGGTGAGCTTCTTCGTGCTGCTCGGCGTCAGCGTGCGGGAGATGCCCTCCGCCGCCGGCTTGCTGCTGCTCACGATGCTGCTCCAGTTCTTCCTCTCCCACTCGGCGCTGCCTCTTCCGGGGCCGGTGTCCAACGCGGCAACGCTCTTTGTCGGCACCGCGCTGGGCTGCGCCCACGAGTACGTCCACGGCACGTCGCACCTGATCGTGCTGCTGCCCACCATTGTGCTCCTCGCCCCGGGCGCCACCGTCCTGAAGGCCGTCCTCGCCTCCATCGACGCTTCCGCGCCCGGCACTGCGCCTGGCGGGGACGGCGACGGCGCGCACCGAGCGTGCACCGACGGCGCAGCACTTGCGTGTAGGCGCGGCAGAGCCGCCCCCGACCGACGCGTGGTTCGAGCTGCTCATGCTCGCGGTCTCGTTCGCCGTCGGCGAGGCGATCGCGCACCACCTCTGGGCGCCGGCCCTCTCGCGCCGCGCCGCCGCGCGAGCCGAGGCGACGGCAGTCGCTCTCTCAGACAGCAAGGCCGTATGCCCGGTTCGGCTCGCGCGGATTGTGGCTGTTGGCGTGCCGGTGGCGGAAACGCTGGAGTGACACGCACCATCCCATCCAGATCCGCACCGATCAGCCATCAGTCCAGTTCTCGAGTCGAGAGATCAGACTCTCTCTTCATGTTAAGCGCAAAAGTGGACGTGCAACCCACTGGTGTAACCACACCCGCTCATGGTGTCGCAGTGCTCCGAGGGTCTGCACGACACTAGCCCTTGCTTCGTGAAGCTGCTATTCCAACGTCCGGCTTACAGGCGCCCGCCACCCGTCTGCCGCCCCCTCGCTCTCGTCCTCGCTCTCGTCCTCGCCCTCCTCGCTCTCCTCCTCACTCGCCTCCCCCCTGCTCGCGACGGCGCGCCTCGGGTCGAGAGCGGAAGGCGAAGAGGCGAGGCGCACACCGAGGCTGGCCAGCGCCTCTAGGGCCTCGGCGGCGGAGGCTCCGACATTGAGCTCCGACTCAAGGTACTCGCCGCCGCGGTAGGCGGCGAGGGCGGGAAGCACGTCGGTCGAAAGCCTCGCCTGCGCTTCCGAGGCGCGGATGGAGACGAACTTGACGAGGTCGTACCTCGCCGCGAGGCGCTGCATGCACAGGCCGAGGGCGGCGCACGCCGGCAGGTGAGGCTCATGGATGTGGACCACCACAAAGGTCTCTGGCGGCTCCTCCTCGACCGCGGCGACAAAGTCGTCCTGAGAGAGCTCCGTGACGCAACCGTATGTGCGCCGCGCCGCTGCGGCAGCGCGGAGCTCTCCGAGTCGCGCCTGCCGAATCCGGCGGAGCGTATCGCCGTCGTCTGAGTCGCTGCCGTCCGAGTGGGTGTGCCCTGACGTCAGCTGAGACCGGCGCAGCTGGGCGAGGCGGGCTTGCCGGGCAGCTTCGCGCGCGTCCTCCAGCACCGCCTTGGGCCCGGAGGCGTGCGATTCGCCACCAAAAGTGACGGATGTCGGGCTGCCCGGGCGGAAAAGGGCGGCACCGACGACCCTGCCATCCTCGCCTTCGATGCCCTCCGAGGCGTTGAGAATCGTCCGCTCTATGGGGTCCGACGGAATGTGGCCGGACCAGCTCGTCATCGCGCAAGTCGAGGTGCCTCTCTTGCCTTGCCCACAGCGGCGGCTCGACCAACCACCGCCAGCCAAAGTTCTTTTTTCGGACTCTACTTTAGGGGGCAGATGACAAGGCAAGGGGAGGACGTCTGGCGCCGAGTGCGTCTGGCACCGGGCACGGAAGCTCGCACACTCATCAGCCGCACGCGATAGCGATAGTGCTGCCGCCGCGAGAACGCCAGTAGCCATGTGTGTGTACGTGAGTACGTACGATGTGAGAGAGAGATTTTTAGAAGCCAACAAGAAAACGATGTGCATGGACGATATATATTACGTGGGGAGGAGACGGACTGGGTTTGCCGCATTCAAATCGCTCCAACAATCGCTCCACATTTAACTATTTCCCTCATTGTCAAGGCTCTCAAGGTCAAGCTGTGCAGTCTACGATGACCTCGTGAGCTCACGACTCCCCTAGCGACTCCCTTGGAGCTTGGTCATACATACGCCGAAAGAAAGGTGAGAGAAGCCGCGAGAGCAAGGCCTCGGCAGGCGCCGGTGCCATCGCAGAACGAGGCAGAGGAGAGCGATGAGGCAGAGGACGACGGGGCAGGAGAGAGAACGACGAGAGTGGGACGACCGCGAGGTGGCATGAAGGTTGCTAGTCTCCCCCCGCGCACTGCCTCACCCCGGGGGAAGTCCCTTTGCCAATTTTACATCTGCTCCCTGTCGTGGGCCTTATCCAAAGCAGCCTGATGCTCCTTTGCAGATTGCAGCCCGTTCGCGCCCGCTCAGACCTCGTGCACACGCTCCGCAGGGTACATCTGCTGGCCGAGAAATGTCCATGGGGTCCGCTGGTTTGCTGCCGGCGCAGCCCATATGGAGATGAGAACACTCTCAGCCTGAGTGCGCACAGCACACAGCAAATGGTCGGAACAGGCACGCGCGAGCAGAGGTTTCTGGGAGGGCAACGGGCCGATACGAGCTTGCGCGAAGCGGGCTGGTGGGTGCGGAAGGGGTACACCCAGCTAACCCTCGGAGACCCGTGTTATGGCCCTGCGACCGCGCACCCCCGTGGGCTTAATAAATTGCTCCGGGTAGCCCGATCCAATCGTCCGGCCCGCTGGGTGCGCTTCTTAGCTCCCCGGCCCTGAGCGTGCGGCTGCCGACTGGGTGCAACCAACGTCCAAGACTTGCGCAAGAAGAAACCGCCGGATGAAAAATAAAAAACGAACCGCGTAACGTGCCAAAATTCCCAAAAAGTACTATCTACTAAGTACGGCTTTACGGCTTTACCCCGTAGGCCTGCCGCCGGCCTCCCGGCCTGACAGAGTGCTCACGGCCGCCCCTAGCGAGCAGCGACTTTTGGACTCGACCACCCGGCTGCCGGCTCCCGCGTCCCGGGTCCGGGCGGTTTGACAAGTCACAAGAATAAATAGTGGGCCGCACGGCGCGAACCAAGTGATCCTGAGTAGTTAGCGCAACCCAGTACTGCGCGCAAACCAAACGCGACGACGAGAGGGATCACGCACCGCGTGCGAGCGCCCTCTCGGTCTGCGCCCGCAGCCTCCGCTCCCGCCTCCACGCGCGCAGCCGTGCGCCGCCACCCTGCACGCCCGCACGCGCCGGTCCGCTGCCGGTCGGGGCGACCTCCCGAAGAGCTCTCAGCAGGTCCTCGAGGCTCACCTCGAGCAGCCCGGAGCTCGCTGCTCGGCCTCCCTTTCGCACCTCCGCGCCTGGCGCCAGCCCGCTCAGCAGCCGCTCGTCTGCGTAGCGCTCCAGCGCGAACGACGTCGCGCTCCGCAGCAGGCCCGCGAGGTCGGCGCCGGAGAAGCCGCAGGTCGCATCCGCAAAGGCGCCCGAGGCCAGCGCAGCGGCGGCGGGCGGCGCGAGGCAGCCGCGCTCGCGCAGCCGCTCGGAGTGGATGGCGGCGATGCGCTGTCTCCCCGCCGCGTCGGGCTGTGGCACCAGCACGTGCACCTCGAGCCGGCCGGGCCGGAGCAGCGCTGGGTCCATCAGCTCCGGCCGGTTGGTCAGGCCGATGACTGCAGCGGGGAGAGGTGGGAGCAGAGGCACGGAGTGGCAACGAGGGGAGGGAGGGGATGGAGGGGAGGCGGAGCACCCAGAATGTTGTCGAGCTGCTCGACGCCGTCCATCTTGGCGAGCAGCTGGTTGACGACCGAGTCGCGGATGCCTGAATTAAATACCAATAACCAATCAACTAATCAATTAAGGCAGCTGGTTGACGACCGAGTCGCGGATGCCTGAATTAAATACCAATAACCAATCAACTAATCCATTAAGGCAGCTGGTTGACGACCGAGTCGCGGATGCCCGACGTGTCGCCCGAGAGGGAGCCGCGCTCCCTCGTGAAGGCGTCGATCTCGTCGAACACGATCACGTGCAGCGCCGAGTCGTCGCCCGCCTCGGCCTGCTCCACCTCCGCCTGCGGGGCGTGTCCAGGACACGTCATCGGCGTGCCGAAAGGGCGTCCTCGGCCTGCCCCGCCTCCGCCTCGGCAAAGAGCGAGCGGATGAACTGCTCCGAGTCGCCGACGTACTTGGACATCATCTCGGGGCCGTTGACGATCTTGGGCTCGCGCGCGCCCATCGCGCCAGCTATCTCGCGCGCGAGCAGCGTCTTGCCGCAGCCGGGCGGCCCGTAGAGCAGCATGCCGCGCACCGGCGAGACGCCCAGAGGCCGCATCAAGGCCGGCGGGTACAGGCGGGAGGCGAGCGCCCGCCGCACAATCTCGTCCACAGCCGCGTCCAGCCCGCCGACGCGCCGCCCAATGCGCGCGGTGAGCCCCGGCGCGGAGCCAGGCTGGCCGCTGGTGCGGTCCATCTCCCGCTCTCGCGCCAGCGCCTCCTCGCTCGGCTGGTCCAGCAGCAGCAAGTCGGCCACTCAAGGGCGGGGGCGGGGCAGCGGCGCAGGTGAGAGAGGGCAAGCGCTGAACGCAGCTGTGAGAGTGCAAGCTGCCGCACACCCTTCTCGACTCCGATGCAGACGCCGGAGACGACGTCGGTGTTCTCTTCGCACGACTCCCCAGGCGGCCGTCGCCAGCCGATGCTGCCCTCGCCGCCGCAGTGCCCCGGCGGGAAGCTCGAGGTCGGAGGCATCATCGCGAGCTGGAGGAAGGCGGACGCGACGCCGGGCACGCCCTCGAAGGAGTGGCAGCAGCCTCCCGCGAGGAAGCACGGCTTGGCGCCCGACTTGAGCACGCGCTTCATCAGCTCGATCGGGGTAGACGTCTTCCCCGTGATGTCGAAGCGCAGCCGGCGCACGGTAAACTGGCCGAGGAGGGGGACGCAGAAGAGGACAGACCCTCGCGGGAAGGCGGCAGGCGGCAGCGTGCAGCCGCCCGGCAAGGCAACCACCGACACCTCGTACTTGGCGCCGCGCGCCGCCACTGCGCGCAGCGGGCGCGGCGCGTCCAGCCACCACGCGAGCTTGCGGCCGCGCAGCCCAAGGAGCGCCTCCGCGCACGCGGCGCGCAGCTCCGCGCGAACCCAGTCCCCGTAAGCCTCCTGCCCGCCCGGGTCCGGGTCTGCGACCGCCCTCTCGGCGGCGTCGACGATCGCCGCGAGCAGCGCGTCGTCGAGCGGCGGGTACGCGGTCGCGAGGGCGGGGCGCGGCGCGAGAGCGACGTCTCCCTCCGCCTCGCCGCCCTCGCCGCCCGACTTTGTGTACACGGCCTGCACGAACCGCTCCCCCGGGGCAGTCAGCCCGGGGGCGGGTGGCTTGCCACGCTCGTCGTCGCACGACTCCTCATCGCACGCCAGATCGGCCGTCTGCGCCACGGCGGGGCGGCAGCGAGCGTGCCAAAGTGCCGCTGGCGTGACGCCGGACACGGCCCCTCGCAGCCTCGCCACACCGCCCCCTCGCAGCCTCGCCGCAGCCTCGGCCGCGCCTCCCGTTCCGCCGGCCACCGCCTTGTCCGTCAGTGCGCTGAGCCGACTCTCTCGCCACCACTCGCGCAGCCGCCGGAGCACCTCGCGCCTGCCGCCGCCGCGCCGCCGCGCCTCGCCCTGCGCGCCGGCCTCTGTCCGCCGCGAGAAGGTCTTGCGCGGCGACGCCTCCCGCAGCGCTCGCTCGATGTCTTCGTACCGCACCTCCAGCAGGCCCTCCTCGCCGTCGTCGCTGCTGGCGACGGCGGGCGGCTTTGCTGCGCCGGGGTCCCACCCGCGGAGCAGCGCCTCGTCCACGTAGCGCTCGAGGCTATACGACGTGACGCTGCGCATCAGCCCGGCGAGGTCCGCGCCGGAGAAGCCGCCGGTGACGCGCGCGAGGGGGCCGACATGTCCTGGACACGTCCCGCCCGTGAGGCACGCGGCGGCGCGCGGCGCGAGGCAGCCGCGCTGGAGGAGCTCGCGGCTCTGGATGCTCAGGATCTGCTGCCGCCCTTGCGCGTCGGGGCGGGGCACCTCGACCTGCACCTCGAGCCGGCCGGGCCGGAGCAGCGCGGCGTCGATGAGCTCCGCGCGGTTGGTCAGGCCGATGACGAGCACGTTGTCGAGCTGCTCGACGCCGTCCATCTTGGCGAGCAGCTGGTTGACGACCGAGTCGCGGATGCCTGAATTAAATACCAATAACCAATCAACTAATCCATTAAGGCAGCTGGTTGACGACCGAGTCGCGGATGCCTGAATTAAATACCAATAACCAATCAACTAATCCATTAAGGCAGCTGGTTGACGACCGAGTCGCGGATGCCCGACGTGTCGCCCGAGAGGGAGCCGCGCTCCCTCGTGAAGGCGTCGATCTCGTCGAACACGATCACGTGCAGCGCCGAGTCGTCGCCCGCCTCGGCCTGCTCCACCTCCGCCTGCGGGGCGTGTCCAGGACACGTCATCGGCGTGCCGAAAGGGCGTCCTCGGCCTGCCCCGCCTCCGCCTCGGCAAAGAGCGAGCGGATGAACTGCTCCGAGTCGCCGACGTACTTGGACATCATCTCGGGGCCGTTGACGATCTTGGGCTCGCGCGCTCCGAGCGCTGTGCAGATCTCGCGCGCGAGCAGCGTCTTGCCGCAGCCGGGCGGCCCGTAGAGCAGCATGCCGCGCACCGGCGAGACGCCCAGCTCCTTGGTCAGCGCGCGCGGGTACAGGCGAGAGGAGAGCGCGCGGCGGACGATCACCGCGAGAGGTGCGTCGAGGCCGCCCACCTTCTTGGCGAGGCGCGCGAGCAACTCCGGCGCGTCGTCTGGCATCGCCACGCCTGCTCCGCCGCTCGCCGGCTCCCAGCCGCCCGGCGGCGGCCGCTCGACCTGCACCAAGTCGGACGCGGCCACCTCGATGGGCAGGTCCGCCGCCGCCGCTGTCGCCGCTGCCTCGCCGTCTGAGAAGCGCAGGCTCGGAGGCAGCAGCACGACCTGCAGGAGGGCGGAGGCTGCCCCCGGGGCGCCCGTCCATTGCAGGTCTCCGCCGGCGAGGCTGGTCACCGTCTCGGCGAGCAGGGAGCGGCCGGAGCTTCCCGGCCGATGCACCGCTGGCTCTCCGAGCAGCGGCGTGGCCAGCACCAGCGAATCAGGCGGGTAAGCCGACGCCGGAAGGGCGGTGCCGGCAGGGAGAGCCACGACAGAGACGTCGAGCCGCGAGCCGCGGGCATAGGCGGCTCGCAGCGGCTGCGGCGCATCGAGCCACCACGCGAGCTTGCGGCCGCGCAAACCACTGAGCTGGCGCTCGAGAGCAGCCCTGCTCGAGCCGTCACACCAAGCCAGGTCGCCGTCGCAAGCGTCGGCGCCTTGCACTCTGAGGCAGGCGACGGCTGCCTCCACCACCGCATCGAGGAGAGCGCTGGGCGTCCCGATCGCTGGTGGAGGCGCCTGCGTGCCGCCCGGAGCCGTGGGAAGAGTCGGCGCGAGCGCAGTGCAGGCGGCGACGGCAAAGATGTGGTGCTGCATGCCGAGGAGCGCTGCGGGAGGTCCAGATGCGTCGGCGACGCGAAGGACAGTACGCTTGTGGGCGTTCCACGAAAAAAAGAATTTTCCGCGGCCCAATAAATGTCGCTGGCGAAAAGGTCGATTCGCTGGCGACCTTTTTGTGAGGTTTTCTGATACATTTCACTCCCCCCTCAGCGCCGCCTCGAGGGCGCCCACCGCCGCCGCCACCTCCTCCTCGGACGTGTCGAACGCCGTCACGAGCCGTACGCACTGCCGGCCCTCCTCCTCGCTGTCCCAGGGCGTGCCGCCGACCGTGCCGAGAGCCCGGACCAGCGCGTCGCCCCGCGGTGTGCAAGGCAGCGAGAGGAAGAGCTGGTTCGTCTGCACGGGGTGCTGCCAGCGGAAGCTGTCTCCGTCGTAGCCGGCGGCCGCCGCCTCGAGCCGGCGCGCCAGGTCCGCGGCGCTCGCGTTGGCCCGCTCCGCGCTGCTCCGCCACAGGGGCACGCCGCCTCCGCCGTCTGCGAGGTAGGCGCAGATCTGCGCCGCCAGGAAGCGGCTCTTGGAGAGCTCGTGCCCGGCCCGCTTCCTATCGGAGAGGCTCCGAGAAACTGTCACGGACGGCTCCGAGAGCCCTCTGGCCCGGCGCGGCGCTTCCTGCGGCGGCGCATCGCGAGCTCGGACGCCAGCTGCGCGTCGGCGGCGCCGCCGCCGAGCGAGGCGGCGGGCTCGAAGACGACGACCGCCTCCGCCGCCAGGGTGCCTCCCTTGGTGGTGCCGAAGGAGACCATGTCGACGCCCGCCCGCCAGGTGAGGTCGCTCGCGGAAGCGCCGAGGGCGACGAGCGCGTTGGGCAGCCGCGCGCCGTCCATGTGGACGAGCAGGCCGTAATCGTGCGCGAGCGCGCACAGCGCCTTGAGCTCGGCACCGGTGTAGAGCGTTCCCGCCTCGGTAGGCTGCGTCAGGCTGAGGAGCGACGGGCGGTGCGCGTAGGGCGCAGCCGCGAGCGGCGCGGCCGACTGCAGCGCCAGCGCGAGCTCGGAAGCGCAGACCTTGCCGTCCTCGCCACCCAGCGGCTGCAGCGGCGCGCCGCCGCTGTAGAAGGCGACTGCGCCGCACTGCCAGAGGCGGATGTGGCTCAGCCGGTGGCAGAAGACGGCATCGAGCGGCCCGGCGGCGCTGGCGATGGCGAGCGCGTCCGATGCGATGCCCGACACGGTCGGGAGGACGTAGGCGTCCGGAGCATCAAATAAGTCGCGGACGGCAGCGGCGGCCGCAGCGCTGTACTCATCCGCCCCATACGAGGCGCAAGAGCGAGGCACGTTGGCTTGCTGCAGTGCCGCCATCACCTCAGGCAAGACGCCGCGCGTGTTGTCGGAGGCGAAGCTGGAGCAGGTCGAGAGCTGGCGTGCCACATTTTTGACGAGAGGGCGTGCACACAGCCGACAGCGGGGCATCGCGGGCCTCGCGGCCAAGCGTGCCACTGGCAACAAAGAAATCGATGAGCTCACCAAAGCACCCTCGCGCCTGGCTGTGGGGCCGCCTCACTGTCTCGACTGGACGTTGGGCGGCAGCCCGTGCACGCGGATGGAGCGCAGGCCCCAGTCGTGCCGCGCGAGCGCCTCGTGCGGCCGCAGCGCGAGCCAGCGCAGGCTCGCCGAGCGCGTGCCGAGCTGCAAGTCGACCGTCTCGCCGAGCGGCACGGCGAGCGGCAGCGCGCGCGCCGCGCCGGCCGCCGTCATGACGTACGCCGTCACCGACGGGTTGATGCCGCGCGGGCAGCGCAGCTGCACGAGCTTCGCCGCCAGCGCCTCGCCCCAGCCCGCCGGCGCCGGCATCGGCGGGCCCGCCACACGCGGCGCCGCCGGCGCCGCCGGCGCGCGGCCTGGGGTCGGCGGCAGCGTGCGCACGGCGAGCGGGTGGACGCAGCGCGGCGCGGTGAGGTGGTCGAAGTACGAGAGGTGCAGCAGGTCGAAGCGCTCACCGGTGGCGCGCAGCAGCGCGCCGAGCCGCTCGCGGAAGCGCGAGGGCAGCAGCGCGTCGTCCTCCAGCACGAGCGCCGACGTGTTCGCCGCGGCGAGGAAGCGCCACGCGGCGAGGTGCGAAAGGGCGGAGCCCACGTTGTTGCGCGCGAGCGCGCTGCGCAGCAGGCCGGCGCGTGCCATCGCCTCTGGGTGGACATTGGTGCCGTACAGCGCCGGGAGGCGCGCCCAAGGCCTCATGCCCGCCGTCTCGAGCGTGCGATTCATCTTCGCCCGCCGCACCGTCGACCCATCCAGGTTGATGAGAATGGTGAGCGGCGGTCTGCGGCGCGGTGTCGCACGCAAGAGCGCTGCGTGGAGCGTGCGCCTGCCTCGGAGCAGAGCCTGTGCGCCACGCTGGTTGATCATGCCCGTGGCCTGCATGTCTGCCGGCCGGTCCAGCAGTGCGCCCATACAGTCAGCACAGGAGGAGTTGGCTCGCGATAGGCAGCACGCCGTGCAGTGCCGGCGCACTTCGGGTGCTGTCGCCTTGTCGAAGATTCTGCTGCACCACGGCCCGCCCGCTGCAGGTGCGAGTCGCCGATCGCGCATGGGGCGTGAGTGGATCGCCGGCGGATTTCTTTGTACCCGGGTACTGTGCCGTACCAAAGTCTGTGCAGCTGTGAACAGCAGCTCGTGACCACGGCGCCGCAGGCGCCTGTTGATAGATCCAGGTGATAGCCCTGGATGGGCAATGCATACGCCTCACTGGGCCTCAGATCCCCCGACCGCGTCCCGGTGCTCTGTGGTCGGATTTGTGTGAGAGAGATTTTTAGCAATACCAAACAACTCTAACACTCACACGTAATTTGGGGCCTGGAGCCCTGTTCACGCGCGCGCGAGACGTGCAGACAGGGTTGCCAGGTGAGAGCGAATGGCGCGGTTCACGCCTCGCACAACAGAGAGAGAGATGCGCTCTGCATGGTGGGACATAAAAGAGAGCGAGTACTTGGGCGAGTAGGCCGTGCGGTCAACGCTGCCGCGCGCGACTTTGCGCGCGAGGCGGCGCAGCTTGAGAACGGCGGTGGGCGAGAAGCCGCCGCCGAACGTCTCGTGGAGCAGCAGGTTGAAGTTGTTGCGCTTGACAAAGATCGCGTCGTGGTAGAAACCGCGATGCGCCTTGACGTAGCCGTGGCCGGTCTTGTGGTCGAAGGGTTGGCCGGGCTGCCCGCGCGCCTTGCAGCCCATGTTTAGGCGGCGGGCCTTTTCTTCGGTGTTGCCGAAGGCGTAGGAGTGGCCAACGGAGGCGGGCGTGCCGCCACTCGAGGCGTTGCCAACGCCCGGCGAGGAGGTCTACTTGAGGAGGGGCGTCCAGAGCTTGATTTCATTGTTTTGTCGGATTTGTGACGCCGCCGCACCGCGCCGCGGCCGGGGGCCGTCCGGAGGCCGAGGATGGCCGTGGCGGACCGGGACGAGCTCTGGGAGGTTCAGTGTCAGTGTATATATTGTAGAGACTAACCATGTGCACAATATCTCTCAGTCTAGCTAAGCCTGGGAAGGCGATGCCGGGGCCGTACAGCAGCTTGATGGTGCTTCGCCGGCGTGCGTCCCGGAGCGGTGCCGGATGGGCGGTCCGTGGGAGGAAATCGGGGATCAGCGCCGACGGCGCTCTGATTCGACTTTTAACTTCAAACAAAGACAGTGGCACGCGCCACAGCGCGGCGCATGCCACTGTCAGGGACGGACCCGTCACCGGGCGGCCAGTGCTTGCACTTTGAATGCCGTGGGGCTCCTGCCCGTGTCCGGGCGTGGAGATGCGAGGGTCGCCCCCCCTTGCCCCACCACTTTGTGTGTGTGGAGAAATCTACCTTACCCCTTACCTTACCTGGACCCGTCAGTTAGAGTCGTGTTCACGCCGGGATCGTGATCCCGACAAGCTGCACAGACTTTAGCCAAGTACAGTAACAGCAATCCAACAAGAAGAAAATATCGCATAGAAATCTCTATGCAATATGATCGACAGACGATCGACACACAACCACGGCGTGGAGTCCCGGCCCGGGCGCTCATCCGCTCAAGGCGTCAACCGCCCTCCTGCTCCAGCTCCACCGACGGGTCCCACGGCAGCGCGCTGCCGTCGTAGCCGAACTTTGCGCTCACGATCCCGCGCACGCGCAAGTCCATCGGCAGCGAGGCTCCGTGCTTGACAAACTGCGCCTCGAGCAGCCGGAGGAAGGCCTCGTGCCCGCCGTCCGCCCCTCCGCCCCGCAGCGTCCGCCCGCTGACCAGACAGCGGTTCTGCTGGCTGTGCACGTCGTCGCCGCAATAGAGCAGCTCCTCCTCCTCGCCTGTTCACACGCGCCCGCCGTGAATCCGCCCGCCGCCGGGGCGGGGCTGCTCGAGCAGCCCGCGCGCCGAAGAGCTCGCGCAGCCGGCGGCGGCGGAAGCCCTGGATCCACGACTCGAAGAACTCGGCCTGCTCGAGCAGGTCCGAGTAGGCGGTCGAGCCGCGGTGCTTCGGGTTGAAGACCGCGTTCCGCCACGAGGTTGCACGCGCGACGGCGGGGAGCACGCGCCGCAGGAAGGCGGCCGGCGCCTCCGCCTCCGCCTCCGCCTCCGCCGCCGGGAAACGGTACTTGCTAAAGAGGGAGCCGAAGCCGTCCTCCTCCACGCCCTGCGGCGCCGCGGCGCAATGGTGGAAGCGGCACGCGCCCCCGTCCTCGCAGCTGCCGTACCGGAGGAAGCGGCGGCAGAGCTGCTTGCCCGCGGCGCGCGCCTCGTCCTTCGCAGCGGCGAGCCGCGCCGCCTCCTTGGCTCGCGCGCTCTGCTTTCGGCCCAGCGCCTCCTCGCTCGCGCGCGCAGCCTCCCGGTCGACCAACCGCTCCCCGCCCGACCCCGCTGGCGCAGCCACCGGCGAATCGGCTGGCGCAGCCGCCGCCGGCCCCACCTCGGCCGGCCCGCACGGCTCGCACGGCTCGCACACCTCGCCGGCCTGCGCCGCCGCCGCCGCCGGCCCAAAGTAGAGGTCTGCGAAGAGGTGCGACCCGCCGCTGCCGGCGCCGGGCGCGCCGACCAGCTTGCAGCAGCAGCAGGTCGCAAAGACGCAGCCGCGCACCTAGCAGCAGCGGAGACGAGGCAGTGAAGAAGAGCTCGCGCCGGCCGGCGGGCAGCAGAGGCGCCGCCACCACGCCGAGGTGTCTCCGCACGAAGTCGATCCCGGCGTCGGTGCCGGGCCCGCAGAGGTGCTTGCCGAGCACGAGGACGTTGCTGTACCCCTCCGGCAGGCTGTAGTCTTGGATGAGCGCCTCCACCCGCCGGACCGCCCTCGCCGCCTACAGGGATGCTCCGGGGAAGCTTCCGCGAAGGGTCCGCCTCCACCCGCCGGGCCGCCCTCGCCGCCTTGAGGTGCGGCGGCAGCCAGAACTCGCCCCGCAGTTCGGGGCGCGGCGAGTCCATCTCGACGCAGATGACGGGCACGTTAAACACCAGGGCGATCAGGCAGCTCAGGTTTGCGTTGCCTCCGCCGATGTCGACGACGAGGTCGCAGCCGTCGTGCGCGCCGAGCCGGTAGAGTTGGTAGAGAAGGCTGAGCTCCTGGCTGGCGTACTTGTCGTTGTACTTTTGCGCGCGCCACAGGAACTTCTCGATCACCCGGCACGACCGCGCCTGCGCCGAGGCCGCGTCCTCCTCGGCGCCGTCCTCCTCGCCGTCGGGCCGCTGCAGGAGGGCGGTGCGCTGGAGCAGCTCGTCGCCGACGGCCTCAAAGAGCTCGCACGCGGAGGCGCGGGGAAGCTGCGGGTAGAGGGCGGCGTCCGGAACCGCGTTGGCCGCGTCGCTGTTCAGCCGCTCGCGGAGCCGCCGCGCCTCGTGCAGCATCGCGCTGTGCCCTCTGGCGGCATGCTCCGCCTTGGCCTGCTGCTTGTGCAGCATCTTTGCCTGCTTCTTGAGCTGGCTCTTGGAGCCAGCCGTCGGCTCCTGCCTCTCGGACATGGTGAGGCGGAGGTTGGAGCGTGGAGGGCGCGTAGGGCTCGCAAAATAAAGAAGTTCACGTGCCCCAAAAAGAATTATCAAAGGACAAAATAGCGTTTGTGATTGCCTGAATTCCCTTTAGATTTTTAGAAGCCAACAAGAAATGTGTCACACAGAGTGATTTGCGCCTCTTCAACACCTGTGAACGGGGTGGGGTGCGAACTGTTTTTTCCTTTCGAGAGATTTTTAGCAATACCAAACAACTCTTTTGTTTTTGTCCTTTCGTCGCCCGTCTCTCCTGGTATTTATTTTTATTGTCTCCCCCTTTGAGCTTTGTTTGGGTTTCTAGATGTTTGCGATTTGGGGTTTCTTTGATTCTTTGTTTTTTATTTATCTTTCCCAACAATTTCGCTCTTGTTTTGTTTCGGTCTTTCCCGTTACAAAATAAAGAAAAATCGAGACCGGCCGCCATAACAGGGGCGCTGCGCCGCCGGTAGAGATGTGGGCATGTGGCTGCAAGCCCCCAGTACGGCGGTGCAAGCGTGCATGACCTAACGTCGTTTCAGGCGAGCGAGACCGCGCCGCTGGCGCTGCTTGCCGCTCCGGATGGCGCCCCGTCGCGCGTCGCGCTCGCGCACGTCAGCTGCAGCCAACCCATCAGCTGTCCACCAGCACCTCGTCCGCCACGCCCCTCGAGGGCCACAGTTCAAGTCCCGCGGGCGGGCGCGTCAGCCCGAGTACGGCCAGCCCTTGGGCGGTTGGCGGCGACGGGGCCACGCGCACCTCCCACGCGGGTGCCCAGCCCTGGGCCTTGAGGAGGGGAAGGAGGAGAGGCCACGCTTGGCGGAGGGCATCGTGGCAGCGCTCGGCGGTCTCGAAACCTGTCGCTGCGGGGTCAGGCTTGCGGTTGATCAGGTGAAAGAGCCGCTCCACGTCCCATGGCATGCTTGCGCGGCAGACGGTGAGCAAGGGCAGGCAAGACTGGGAGCTATCTTCGGAGGAGCACAGGTCGAGGCACACACGCTCCAGGGACGGAGATGTCGCGGCTACTCGCGCTGCGAAACCGTTGTCGCCCGAATCCACCAGCCGGCCGAGCCTGGTGCGAAGCGCGGTGCGAAGATACGACTCCCCATCGTCAAAGATGCTTCGCCGCGCCTCGCCGGGTTCGTACCGGTTCCAAATCGGCCGAACGGACAGGTCCAGCAGGAGAGTGAGCTGCTTAAGCGCTGGAAGCCGCCAGCCAAACTCGGCCGGCATCACTGACGGGACCAGTCTGATGCTCATGTGCGTCAGGACCGGAAAAGTCTGCACCCCGCGTCGGTCTCCGCGGTGGTACTTTGGCCGTATGAGAATGCCGCCTTTGGTATGATCCGGCTTGTAGACGACCACCTGCAGCGTCGAGGCATTCTTGTCCACCCGTCGACTCAGCGTGTCTTCCTGCGCGTTGGCGACTCCGCCGCCCCAGACTCGCAACTCCTGCATATTGTCCTCCGGAGACAGCTCGTCCGGTCCTTGTGACGCTACACTGGACACGTCCAACCAAAATAAAGATAGCGCCCTAGCGTGGAATAGGACCGCCGCAAGCGGCGTGGCGTGGAGCGGTTGAGCGTCCCTCCGGGGGGCCCTCTGCGCCGGGGAGGCGTTGTTGGAGGCTAGGACGCAAGCGTCCGTCGCCCTTTTCAAACTCGGGGCCCACTCCGCTACGCTCCGACCCGAATTTGGAGGGCCTAAAAGTTTAAGGTGTTGCTGCGCAAAAGGGGTCGGACACAGGGCACAGCTCATGCTAACTAAGAGCTAGAAGGGGAGCTAGAGAGAACGACTACCCAGGGTCCCGTTATTGCGTACACCCCCACCACAAAAGCTCAAAACAAGAAAGCTCTCTCTCTCCTAGTCCTCACTCAGGGGGGTGCCACAACTACCCCGAGTCTCTCGACTAGCTGCCACGTTGCCGACCGAGAGCGGATCTCCTCCTGCTCCGCAAGGAGGGTGGCCAAGGCTAAAGTCTTGCCGGAGCCGCCGGGCGCGTTGACGACTTGGAGAAGGTCCCCTTGTACTTGTACTTGTAGAGATGCTCGAGGGGGTGCTTTGTGGGGCGGTGCGCAGCCAGGCCAGCAGTGAGGGGAGGCGCACCCTCACTCTCCTCGGTTGCAGAGCTCGTCGGAGGCTGCGGCACGACGGGAGGGTCGCGACAGCAGTCCTCGGGCGAGCCGACGCGCATGTCCAACCACGCAACCAGCGCTGGGACTCGTTGTGACGGCAGACGCCGGCTGCCTCTCCAACCGCTTCTGCAGCGTCCTTCTTTGCCCGGTGCATGGGCTCGATCCGATTCCGCAGCGTGTCGTCCCCAGCGGCGGCGCTGCGCGGGAGGCGGCCGCGGGCACGCTGGGCTCGATCAGCTTTCCCTCAGTTGCTTCGAGTTGCTCCGAAAGCACGGATTTGGCGGACGTTCTTGGCTTCAATTTTACGAATGTCTTGGCACCAGCGTCTGGCACCAGCTGAAGGCTTGCGTCCGTCCACGGCTCAGATCGCCGCGTCTGCGACGCGGGCGCCTTGCGGGCAGAGCCCTTAGCCACCCTTTATATCTTGCGCGGTCAAAAGTGAGTCAGAAGTCGTAGAACTTTACAACAAACTCCCTCTCACGACACTAGGCACGGGACTGGCGCGCAACTGGCACGTCCAAGAAATTGACTCAGATCGCAGACCAACCCTCGGCGACCCGTGTTTACTTTTACGGCCCCCTCCCCCTGCGAACGCGCATCCCCAGGGTCAGGGATCTCTAGCCCGCACGCCGCAGCCCAGCCCGTCCCCGAGCATCCCCGGCCCCGCTGGGTGCGCTTATTAGCTCTCCACCCGCCTCCCCGCACGCGCGTCGCCGCACCCTTAAGCCTTATTACCGGCTCGTACGTGGCTGGGTTCACAGCCTTGTTATCCAATGATATAAGGGTAGCCCCAGCGAAGCGCCGGACTTTTGGTGAAGCCGCCACCCAGGTCTCGAGCTTCAGCTGGCGAACCATCATGCCGCTCTCGGCACCGCAGCAGCGCGAGCGCCGCGCCGCGCAGCGCGCTGCCGAGGCTCAGGACGCGGCTCGCGGGCAGCGCAACCGCCCGGCGCCGAGCCGGTGCTAGGCCGCCTCCGCTGCGCCTGCTTCCTTGCGCGCCGCTGGACGTCGGCCGAGAAGACCGCTTCCCTCTGGGGACCCGACTCCGCGAAGATCGCGCGCGCGTCGTGAGTGGCGGCGCGCGCGCGATCTCCGTTCCCGGGCACGCCGGTCGCAGTGGCATGGGCTCCCAGGCTCAAAAGCGCTCCCGTCAACAGCGAGCGAGCGCCGCCGCTGCTCCTCCTCCCGCCGCCGCTGCTCCTTCTCCCGCCGCCGCTCACCGAGACCCGCCGCCGCCGCCGCCGCCGCCGCCGCCGCCGCCTCGCGCCTCGCCTCCGTCACCGCCGCCCTCCATCTCGCAGCGGCGCGTCCCTCTGATGGCGCGGGCGCCTCGCTCACCGGCGCCTCGCCGCCCCCCCCCCCCTTCTCGCGCCGCTCCGCTCGTGGCCGCCGCCTCCCCTGTCAATCCCGCCGCCTCCCCTGTCATCCCGCCGCCCGCACCACCGCCGCCACCGCCTCGCGCCTCGCCGCCGCCGCCACCGACCGCCCTCCCCTGCGCCGCTGAGCGCTTGGGCCAGGTACCAATTTTGTCGAATTTATTTCAAAATCTGCAGGCGCGGAGCGCCTGCGAAAATTTTGAAGAAATTTGCAGTCGGGCCTGATTTTCATCAAGATCTTTCAAATTTGCGGTGTGGAGTTGGGGGGTGGGTTAGGTTAGGGTTATTAGGGTTAGAGGGTTAGGGTTAGGGTTAGGGTTAGGGTTGGGTCAGGTCTGGTTGTGTCTGTATATGCCAGCGTTGCAGGGTTCTGCGCTGGGATCTGGCCCCACAGCGCCGACGACTAAGACTCAGCCCCACACGCTGACCTAGGGTTAGGGTTAGGGTTAGGGTTAGGGTTAGGGTTAGGGTTAGGGTTAGTCTTCTTGTGTTTGTATGCCAGCGTTGCAGAGTTCTGCGCTGGGATCTGGCCCCAGCGCCGACGAGTAAGACTCAGCACCGCACGCTGACCCCACCAAATGCCGCCTCAGGGCGCCAGGCCGCCAGCCACTTCTTACACGCGGCCGGCGCCCTCTCGCGGCAAAAGGGTCGAGCGAGCGGGCAGAGTCGCGATGTCTGCGCACCCGCGTGCCGATGGGCGGCACACGCAACCGAGAGAGGCCCTGTCGCGCCGCCAGTAGCGTTCTCCGCAGTCCCCACGCCACCAATTGCCGCCTCAGGGCGCCAGCCACTTCTTACACGCGGCCGGCGCCCTCTCGCGGCAAAAGGGTCGAGCGAGCGGGCAGAGTCGCGCGATGTCTGCGCACCCGCGTGCCGATGGGCGGCACACGCAACCGAGAGAGGCCCTGTCACGCCGCCAGTAGCGTTCCGCACTCCCCACGCCACCAATTGCCGCCTCAGGGCGCCAGCCACCTCTTACACGCGGCCGGCGCCCTCTCGCGGCAAAAGGGTCGAGCGAGCGGGCAGAGTCGCGATGTCCCTGCGCACCTGGGTGTTCGCCGCCTATATGCTCTATCCTGTGCCAAGACGGACACATTTTGACAATCAAAATCTACCTCAAAATTTGCGGCCGCCCCTCGAAATTTGCTGATCAAAATTTGCGGTGGCCCGGATCGAAACCTGTACTTTGGCCAACTGAGCGCGGTGCAGGGGGTGAGCCCCCGCTGCGCAGCCTCACCGCAGTGCACTGCGCTCTCCGCGCCCCTGACGATTAGTGAGGAGGTGGTGTTGCACAGCATGGAGCTCGGCGAGCGTTTAGCGAGCCCCGCAGCTAGTTGAGAAGAAAATACCTCCTATGGCGCTTCACAGCGATTGTAGGAAAATGTCGAAACCAAATCACGTCCGTCGCGGCCTTCCGACTCGCGCCTCCGCCTCACTGGCACTCTTGTAGCCCTGGCCGGTGCGCGTGCTCAGTTGAAGTTCCCGAGTGAAAATTCGAACGCGTTCTCTCACGGTGACCAACAAATGTCCACCTCAGAGGCACCTCCGGAGGCAGGCCGCCGCACGCCGGCGACACAGCTCCAGCTGTCGAACTGACCCGCAGCTCCTCTCAGAGCGGGAACTGTGACGAAAAGTGACTGAGGCGGTTGTCAGGAACCATCATACGGATCACATGGTGGCTCTCTCATGACGGGAGACCGCCCGACCACTCCTGGGTGGCACTGCCACCGGTGTCGCTCGACGCGTCCTGTCGACAGCGTGCCGACAGCGACACAGACCATGTGGGACGCGTCGAGTATCGGCCTCTACTGCTTACCCAGCCTTCGAGTGTATCCTGGCTGTGGTCCCACACCCACTGGTGTCCATCTCAGAGACCGCAGGAGGTCATGAGGGTCGATGGGAGTGCCAACCCCCCACAATGCCTAAAAACCCAGCCCAGTACACGTCGGCTTTACGCGGCTAAGCACCGGCCGCGGGCCGCCCCTGGATGTGAGGTTACCGACAGCACTCCAAGCTCCGCAAGTTATCAACACTACCGCACACGACCGCACACACGAGACGACACAGCTGCCGCTGCAGCACACATGGACGCAGGTTCGAATCACGGAGCCCAGCGCTCACCTCACGACTCGCTTCCCCGCGACGGGTCCTGCGCCTGGCAGTCTGGCCGCAGCCCTGCTCGAGCGCCCGCCAGCTCCGCCACGGCCTCCGCCCCGATGCAGTTGCCGCTCGCGCCGAGCTTGGCCAGGTGTGGAGCGCCTGGGGCACTCTCCGCTCTCGGGCGTGGGAAGGGACGCGGCGGGCTGCGCAGCTAGTGGGGCGACGGCGTGCGCGCGCGCCTCCCGCCGCCAGCGCTCGTGCGAGTGCGCGAGCGCCCCTCGACCCGATGCGATTGTTGTGTAGCCCGAGCTCGCGCAGGGCGTGCCCCGCCCCGACCACCGGAGGGCCTACGGGACGTGTCACGGACATGTCGGTGGACATGTCGTGGACGTGCCCCGCCCACCGCCACAGCGGGGCCAGAGGCGTCCGGCGCGAGCTCGATGAGGTCTCGCTCTGCGCAAAGGGGAGAGAGGGGCCGCGGTCAGTCAGAGGCAGCCCTCTCCCCCCTCGCCTCCCCGCCCGCGGCGCGCCAGTCTGAGCGAGCGCGGAGGCGAGCGCGCACATGCCGGCGTCGCCGATCGCGTTCCCGCCTGTGGGACGCGTCGCGGACATGTCAGAGAGCGTGTGTCATGGGCGTGCCGTCGTCCGCCGATCGCGACCCCGCGCCCAGCGCGTCGCCAAAGCCGAGGACGCGGAGCGCTGGCAAGGCAGCCAGGCTGGCCGCGAGCCTGGGATCGCATGTGTGGGGCGAGTGAGAACCGTCCGCACCCTTCCTCCTCGCACAAGGGAAGTGCTGTGCGGCGGGTGGTGCGGCACCTCTCGCACCCGGCGCAGCCTATCGTGTTCCCCTCGAGCCGAAGGATAGTGAGGCTGCCGCCGCCGCCCGCGACGAACGCGTCGGCCAAGTGCGCCGCGCCTAATCAAGTCATGGATCGGTCTCAGCAGCCCATCGCATCACAAACCAACCGGCCAGGTGCGCCGCGCCCGCGTCGCCGACTCTCGCGAAGCGCAGCGAGAGCGACAGCAGCGAAGGGAGCACAGAGCAGGGCAGCCCCCCGAGCGGCGGCGGCGGCGGCGCGTGCCGGCTCGACATGCGGACAAAGGAGGAGGGCGGGTCGAGGGTGCCGCTTTGGTCGGAGGCCGCCGCCGGGCTGGCGGGGCAAGACGCGACGAGCACGTCGGACGAGTCGCTGAGCTCCGCCCCGCCCTCGCCCGCCCCGCTGCGGCGGACCAGCGCGTCGGCCGGCGGCTCCTCCGCCGGCTGCTCCGCCGGCTGCTCCGCCCTCCGCCCGTCTGGCGGCGGGCCGGCGGCTCGCAGGAGGAGGGAGAGGGCGCCGGCGCCGCCGTCCCCGAGCCGATTCTCCGACAGGGAGAGCTCGCGCAGGAGGGGAGCGCCGCCGGCGGCCGCCGCCGCCTCGGCGATGCAGCGGGCGCCGTCGGGGCCGATGCTGTTGCTGGAGAGGTCGAGCGCCGTCAGCCGCGACAGCGCGCCGCTCTCGCGCAGCGCCGCGCCCAGCGCCGCGCAGTCCTCCGAAGTGACCCCGCGGAGCGTGCAGCGGAGCGCCGAGGCCGACTCGAGCCGCTTGCGCGAGAAGTCGATCTTTGCGAGCAGCGAGCTCACCTCCTCCTCCGAGGCGGCGGCGGGCTCACCGAGCGGCGAAATGGCCTCCTCTTCCTCCTCCTCCTCCGGCGAGCTGTCCGCAGACTGCTCGGCGGGGTTGCCTCCGCCGCTCGTCGGGGCCGAGTCCTCCGCCTCGGCCGGCGAAGGAGCGGTCTCCTCGGCCGCCTCGCTCGCCTCGGAAGGCGCGCTGGGCGTGCCGTCCTCCTCCTCCAGCAGCGAAAAGCTGGGCCCGCGCCCGAAGCAGGACAGCCCGCCGGTCGGGGAGCGAGGGAAGAGCATGCAGCTATGGGCGTTAGCTCGGGACGTGGTGAAGCCTCGTCCGCGTCTTGGGATAGCAGTCGGCGCCGAAGAGTGCGGATCAGGCCAAAAAACTGCGTTTTGAAACACTGTCTGATGTCTAACCTGTCTGTGTCGCTCGTGCGTGTCGACATCATCTGTCTAGCGTCCACCCATACCGCGTTGGTGTCCAGTCCGAGCCTCCTGGCTGTTCTTCACCTTTCTACCTAACCTAACCTAACCTCACACCGTGGGTGAATCGTTTTTCTCTTTCGCCGAGAACATCAACAAGCAGGCGCGCAATACGCGTATGGCGTATCAACTGGCTCAACTCCCCTGAGCGTGCCAACTGGGTCAACGACGTCAAGAACAAGCAAGCGGCAGACGTCCTCTTACCCTCGGCCCCGGTGGTGGGCGCCCGTACCGCCTAGCTCCGCGGACGGCCCTCCACCCCTCACGTACGGATCATGTAGTCCCCACAATCGCTGTCGTGGGATCGCTGGTCATGTGAGAGAAGAAAGAAAGAAAAGGCAAGGGAGGGAGGGAGGGAGGGATGGTCATGTGAGAGGTCTGTCGGCACTTGGAGCACTTGGAGTGCAATCAGTAACCGCACATCCAGGAGCTAGAAGCGCACCCAGCGGGCCGCCGTGCGCTTTCTCTCTTTGTATCTTAAGAATTCTCTCTTTGCCGACTCCTCTCCGCTCCAGTCAGGCCCTGTTGGCTCTGTATCGCCGTTGCGATTCGCGCAACAAAGAGCGAATGGCGCTCATCTCGCTGGTGCTCGTGGCCGCCACCACGCTGCACCCGACCAAGTTTCGGGCAGCGTGCGGCGGCGCCGACTCTCGGCGCTCGGCCAGCATCAGCATGGACGCCGTGCGCTCGCCGGCGGAGGGCGGGCCTTCGACGGCAGCAGAGGTGGAGTTCCCTCCGGAGGCCTCTCCGCTCGTGCAGCTGCAGCGGGGTGCCGTCTTCGCCTCAAGGGCACTGCCGATCGCATTCTCGTACATCCGCCTGTACACCGCACTGCGCTTTCGGGAGCGGGCGCTCGGGCAGTGCCTGGACGAGGAGGCGTGCGAGGTGCTGTGGACCGAGCAGCACGAAGCCGGCTCGATCAGCTTCGCTTCGGTCGTCAACGAACTCAAGGGCTTCTACACAAAGACGGGCCAGATCATCGCGACGCGGCAGGCGCGCCTCTCTCGACACTTCCGAGACACTTCCGAGACACTTCCGAGGCAATGAGGCTTGCGAGGCGCTTGGGAGCGGCTTGCGAGACAACCACACGGCCCCGCCAGGGCTCCTCCGCACAGCAACTCTTTCCTGGCCCCAACCCTGACCCCGACCTAACCCCGACCCTCGACCCGACCCACCCCCGACCCACCCCCGACAGGACCTCTTCCCGCGCGAGTACACGGACCGGCTGGCGGGCCTGACTGACCTGGTCGACCCGATGCCGTACTCGCTCGTGCGGGCGGTGGTGGAGCAGGAGCTGCACGGCGGGGAGAGAGTACCACCACCCGTACCCTCGGGTGATCTCGGGCGATCCCCCCTGCAGGAGCTGCTGCACGACGGGGAGGCATTCGACGACGTCTTTGCTCAGTTCGACGACCAGCCGCTCGGCGCCGCGTCGGTGGCGCAGGTGCACCGCGCGCTCCTCTCGCCCGAGTACGGCGGCCGCGAGGTGTCGAGCGAGCGAGCGGCGGCGGAGCGCGCGAGCGGCGTCGACTCACCGCTGCTGCTGCTGCGCGCAGGTGGCGGTCAAGGTGCAGCGGCCGGCCATCGAGGCGAAGCTGCTCGGGGACGTGGCTGCGCTCAAGGCGCGAGAGATAGCCGAGAGATAGCCGAGAGATAGCCGAGAGATAGCCGAGAGATAGCCGAGAGATAGCCGAGAGATAGCCGAGAGATAGCCGAGAGGTAGCCGAGAGGTAGCCGAGAGATAGCCGAGAGATAGCCGAGAGATAGCCGAGAGATAGCCGAGAGATAGCCGAGATAGGAAGCTGCTCGGGGACGTGGCTGCGCTCAAGGCGCGAGCGCCGAGGGCGCGGGGAGGGTGCGGACTCTTCACACCCTCCAGCCGTGAACAGGGGGGAGGGGGGAGGGGGGGGCGGCGGACGGCGTCTCTTCACACCGCCTCGCTGTGGTCAGGCGCTGGCAAAGGCGGTGCGAGGCTTTGACGCGATACCGGTCGACTACTACACCGTCTTCTCGGAGCTCGAGGTGCGGGACGCAGCCGAGACGCAGCCGAGACGCAGCCGAGACGCAGCCGAGACGCAGCCTCCCTGCGCCTTCTCCCCTCAGGTGCAGCTCTCCGACGAGTTCGACTTCATCAAGGAGGCGGCGGCGATGGAGCGGATCGGCGCCGCCCTCAGCACCGACCCAGCCACGGGCTCGCCTCGGCCTCCTCCCGTGGTCACGCCGCGCCCCGTCGGAGGGCTGGTGAGATGTAGCCGAGAAATAGCCGAGAGATAGCCCCTGGTGAGAGGCGCGTGTGGCGCGGCGGACTCGCTGCGGAGCGGCGAGCCGCTCTCCTCGGCCCTCCTCGGCCCTCCTCGGCCCAGATATATATGTATATCAGGTGACGAAGCGCGTGCTCGTGATGGACTACTTGCGCGGCGAGCCGCTCTCGCGCGCCGTCGAGGCATGTCCAGGACACGTCCATGACATGTCCGGGACATGACCTTAGGCGAGCCGCTCTCGCGCGCCGTCGAGGCGATGGAGGCGCGCGGCATCGACCCGGACTCGGCGGAGGCGCAGCTCTTCGGCCGAAAGCTGCTGAGCGCCCTGACCGAGGCGCGCCCCCTCCCCCGCCCCCTCCCCGCCCCCTCTCGCCACGCACACTTGCTGCGCGCGCCACAACCAGTGCCACACACCAGCCACACCAGCCGCCACATATTTGTATCAGGCGTTCGGCCTCACCATCCTCGAGGGCGGCTTCTTCCACGCGGACCCGCACCCGGGCAACATCTTCGTGCTCGACGACGGCCGCGTCGGGCTCATCGACTTCGGCCAGGTCAAGCAGATCGGGGCGCGCGCGTCGACGACGCTGGCCAAGGTGATGGTTGCCCTCGCGGCGCGCGGCGCGGGAGGCGGCGAGGGGGAGGACGAGGCGCAGCTCGACGAGATCTCTCGCCTAAGGTCATGTCCCGGACATGTCATGGACGTGTCCAGGACGAGGCGCAGCTCGACGAGATCTCTCGCCTCGCTCTCGAGCTCGGCGTGCGGCTCCGCGACGGCTCGCCGCGCGAGGGGCCCGTACCCCCCACTGTGCCTACCCACCCCCTACCCCCACAGTACCCGAACCCAGGCTCTCCACGCGAGGGGCCAGCGGCGACGGCGATCTGGCTCTTTGACGGCTCGGTCGACACGCTGCCAGGAGGCTTCGACACCAACGAGCTCTCGCCGAACTCGCCGGTCAAGGCGCGCCCGCTGTATCTCGGCTATCTCGGCTGTATCTCGGCTGTATCTCGCCTCACCTCTCTGGCGCGAGGCTCCCTCACGCCCCTCCCCTCATCGCAACGGAAGGTGCTCCAGTCCTTCCCGCAGGAGCTGACGCTGGTCGGCCGCTCCACGGCGCCGACTCCCAAACACAAGCTCGCAGCACTTCTCTCCTTGACGCGGCGCCGCTCCTCGCCAGGTCCTCATCAAGGGCATCGCCTCCCGCCTCGGCGTCCGCTGGTCGCTGGCCTCGGAGTGGGCGCCGATCGCGCGCCGGCTCCTCGCTCGCCAGTCCGCGGCGAGGTCGCCGTTCGGCGCACCTCCCCGCCTCCGGAGCATCGTGCGGCTGCTGGGGCAGTGGGCGGCGGCCAAGCTGAGCGCCGTGGTGCTCGCACTCCCGCCGCCGCTGCGAAGGCTCGTTGCTGCCGTCGCGCTCCGTTGCTCAAAGCGAGGGTCGTCGCCCACTGGTCAGCTCGCCACGCAGAGTTGAGGCATTGAGACAGTTGCATTAGAGTGTTTACTCTGTACAAATATAAGCCGCGCTGGTGCGGCGCCGCGCGCGGCGGGGCCCACCAGCCACCTGCCACCACATTTGAGATGAGACACCCCACGTCCCCACCTTCTGTGCGCACCGCTGTGTGGCGGCGCGCGCCCGCCAGCGCCCGCCGCCGGCGCGGCCGCGGCCGTCGCCGCCGGCGCGGCCGCGGCCGTCGCCGCCGGCCGGGCCGCCGCCGCGCGGGGTTACCCTCTTAAATGGTTATCGTTTATGTTAAAAATTGCAGTGACCAGTGTGTGTATATGGCGAGAGGAATATTGCTCCACACGCGCGGCGGGTAACGCGCCCATCGAAATTTTTAAAGCGCGTGTGAGTATCAGCGGCGATCAGCCGCCGCACACGTGTGTGGTGTGTCCTGCGAGTCACGCGCGCCCTGAGAGTGAGACGTGAGTGCTGAGTGGTGGAGAGAGAGAGCTCTGACGTCTGAGTCTAGGAGTCACGGGACACAGCGGGGAAGCTCTGGTTATGTCAGTCCGCACTTGTCAGTGGTAATACCTGATACCTACAAGGCCGTATCCTTATACGTTATAGCTGTGCACGCCGCACGCGCGCAACGGGGACCGCACACACATACTTGACTCTCACAGACACACACGGTACGCACACATCTCTGAGCACAGAGCATGTCTTCCGACACACACGCTACACTTCTCACATCCATGGCAACTCCAGTACCCCCCCAGACGTCACGACGTCGTACGTGTGCGCCGGCAAGCCTTATGGAGCGCGACACGAGGCGCTGCGAGACTAGCTGCGAGACTAGGCTAAAAGACCTGCGGCAGCAAGCTGGTTGTGCCGTCGCCGTAGCATGCGTGCACTCCGGTCGCGAGCTGGACAGGCTGGCGGCAGAGGGGGCAGGTTGCTCCGTCGGAGCCCGCCCGCTCGCACCAGGCGACGATGCACTCCTCGCAAAAGATGTGCGAGCAGCCCTCGAGCACGACCGGCGCAGTCATCGGCTCCTGGCAGAGGGCAACACACGCGTCCTCGTGCGACCCGGGCTGATCTCGCTCCATCTCGGCTTCTCTCGGTCCGGGCTGGCCTCGCCTGGCAAATGGAGCACGTGTCCTCGCCCGCCTCGAGCACCTCCTCGGCGGAGGCGTGCTTTCCGACGAGCACTTGCTGCGTGAGCAGGGAGCGCGTGGCGAGGAGGGCGGCGCGCGTGCGCTCGACGAGCTGGGTCAGCTTGAGCGTCAAGTAGAGGCCGGCCAGCAGGGACGCGAGGAGGCGGCCCCGCACGGCGTGCACCAGCCACGCGTGCCAGAGAGGGATGGGCAGCAGCGAGCGGTAGAGCAGGCCGCTGAGCTCGAGCACGGCGAAGGCGCGACGCAGCGAGCAGGGCGCGCGCACGCCGGCGGCGCCGCGCAGCGCGAGCAGCGCGCCTGTGGGACACGCGGCTGGACGTGTCGTGGACGTGTCGTGGGCGTGGCGCCCGCTGTAGGTGCGGTGCTGCCGAGCTTGAGGAGCATGCCGACGAAGCGGACCTAGGGTTAGGGTTAGGGTTAGGGTTAGGGTTAGTGCCGAGCTTGAGGGTTAGTGCCGACGAAGCGGACCACGACGTCGGCGGAGAGGACGGCGAGCAGCACTCCGAAGAGGGTCGCGCCGTTCAGGGCCCAGTCCGGGAGGCGGAGGAGGAGCTGCGAGACGAGGTCCCGCCCGCAGAGCAGCAGCAGCGCGAGGAGCTGCGTCACGATCTCGGCCGCCACGAGCAGCACCCCGGCGCCTCCGGGCGGCGCCTGCAGCAGCGGCAGCCACAGCCGGACGCGCGCGTTGGCGTGGTGGAGCACAAAGGTGCACCAGCTGAAGGCGAGGATGGGCAGCAGGTGCTGCTGGAGAAAGACGACGAGGAGCAGCCCGCAGAAGGGGACCGTGTCCTGCAGCCAGCGGACGCCGGCCGCAGCGACCGCCACACCGGGCGCTGCGAGGTCGCCCGTCTGCGGCACTGCCTCCTCGGCGGCGGCCGCCAGACTCTCCACAAGCGCCTCGGCGGTGATGCGCGGCGAGGTCGCAGGCTCCTCCGTACTCGTGGATGGGCCGCCGGCAGGCTGTCGCTCTGCCGTCGGCGCCTGAGCCGCTGCCGCCGCCGTGGACGAGCCGACGCCGGGGAGGTTTAGAGGGGTGCCTATCAGCGCCGCGCCGATCCTCTCGGCCGCCTGGGCGAGGCTCCGGGAGGGGCTGTTCGGTGGCAGCATGAGGAGCAAGCGACAGTTCGCAAGAGCTGGACGGCAAGAAAAAATCCACGATTATTTTTTGAGAGCGCCTTCGTTGTTAATAGTACAAACCCAATGGTCCTCTGCGAGCGGTCCTTCGTTGCAGTCGCACACACGCACACGCCGCGCCGCACCGCGCGCCCGCCCACCGCCCCGCCCAGGCGGGAAAGAGATGAGGAGATGGGACAGCGAAGGGGGAAGCACAAGCACGTATGGGAGGGTTCAGTAATGCGCCACGCTGCCCGGCGTCTCTCACTTTCCGGGACAGCCCCGCCCTTGTGAGGCAGGAAAGTGACGGCTACCCCGTACGCCCTGCAGCCTGCTACCCCGACGCCGACCGCCCATTCTCCCCTCCTCGTTCCCCCCTCGAATGCTCCGGACCCCGACAAGCCGCCCGACGTTGGGCCTCTGCCCCGCACGCTCCCGCCCCTCTGCCCCTCACACACACCCAGGCCCGACATGCACATACAAGACAAACCCGGCGTCCTGCTCTCAAAAGAAAAGAAAAAATGGGAAGGAGGAGACCAGCGGGGGAGACTCCCCGCCTATGCAACACCCCAGAGAGGGGCTGCCATCGCCGAAGCTGTGCCTAAGCATAACTCCCAAACCCGCAGCGGCCCGGGGGGCCTTGGGGGCAGCCTGCCGGACCGCTGTTGCACGGGGCCAAGCACCGGAAGATGAGTGGAATTGATGGATTGGGCTGTTGTCCGTGCCTCCTATGCCCACCCTACCATACATAACAATAACACCTCATACACCTCATAACAGCTCTATCATGCGGTTCTTTTGTTCTCTTTCTACCCTTATAAGTCTCTCCTGTCCGCGCCGACGCTCTTTTAACCGTAGAACGTCCCACCTAAACACCGCCCGCCGACGATCGATCAGTCCACAATCGGCCCGCACCCCGCAGCGACCGCAGCGATGGATGCCGCCCCCCACGGCCCTTACGGCCGACGCGCCGATGCACGACCGGCCTCCGTCGGACGGCTCTCCGGCCTCTCCGGCCGCTGCCGCCCGCGCTGCTGCCGATCCGGTCCCCTTCACGCTCCGCACAAGCAACGACAACTTTGAGGTCGCCGGCTTTGGCCAGGTGCCCAACACCTGCTTGCCTCCATGTTCACGCTTCGCGCCCCTTCCCCCCCTCTGACGCCGTCGTATGACCGTAGGTGAGGGGCACGACTACCCGCCTGGAAGGCGCTCTCATCAGCAAGTCACCCAGGCACCAACTCCTGGGCGTTTACGCTTGACTACGAAACCATGCAGTGGATGCAGCTCGATCAAAACGGCGACGCCAACAGCTGGTCCCTGGGCGAGTTACTCGCCCAGGATGAGGTGCGAGTCATGATGCTCGACCCAGCGTGCACCAAGTCGCTCACATTCCGTGAGTTCGTCAACGGGCGACTGCGATCTCGAACTCCGACAACTGGACTGGTGCACCAGCCGCGGAGGACGATGGCTCCCTCGACGACATCCCTTCATCGACGGACGCCTTCACCGCCGCCGGCCCTGGGCCATCCATCGCGGCCTCCGACTGGCTGCCGCAGCTCACACCCTAATCTATCTGCCTTAGGCACGGAGCCAACGGAGCCATCGCGCACGCCCGCAGCATCGCATGCTGCTCCGAGGTCTCCCGCCGAGACCGGCTCGGCGCGGGGTTTGACTGACGTGACTGACTGATGACGGCTTCTCGCCCACCGCCGTTCTCAAACTGCGCCGCCTCGCGCGCAAAGTCGCGCGCGGCAGCGTCGACCGCACGGCCTACTCGCCCAAGTACTCGCTCTCTTTTATGTCCCACCATGCAGAGCGCATCTCTCTCTCTGTTGTGCGAGGCGTGAACCGCGCCATTCGCTCTCACCTGGCAACCCTGTCTGCACGTCTCGCGCGCGCGTGAGGCCCCAAATGACGTGTGAGTGTTAGATTTGTTTGGTATTGCTAAAAATCTCTCTCTCTCTCTGATGAGTGCTTGCGAGAGAGAGATTTTTAGCAATGCTTGCGATGGATGATCTCCGTACTCCGACACCCAAAACCAAAATGCAAATGCGGAGTGGAGCCCACTTACGCGTGCAGATCCTGCGTCTCTCACTGCCCGAACAACAGAGGCGGGTACCGCCGCAGGTCCCAGACTAAAAAAAAACAAAATAACTACAGGCCCGATGACCGGCCGAGGGTGAGTCCACTCATACCGCTTGTACGCGTGCACTCTCGCATGGCCTTCCCGCTCCCGCCCGCCTCCAGCGCGCTCGCGCTGGACATCGACGGCACCATCACGCCCGCAGACCAGACCGTGGTGCTAAACCTGGTCGATGCGGCGAGAGCGCTCGGCGCCCACGTCGCCATCAACACCGCTCGGCCGACGCAGTACTGCGACTCTCCCTTCGAGATGACGTCGCGCCTCGCGGCGCGGGAGCACCACCATTGCTGCGCGTGGGCGCTACGGGACCTGCTCTTCGGCAGCTCTGCGAGCCAGCTTGCGCAGGTGCCGCTCTGCAAGGTGTCCAACATGGACGCCATCGCGGGAGCGAGCGGCGTCCGCCGGCGAGCCTGCGCAATTCTGGTGGACGACCGACCCGAGAACGTGCTGGCCGTTAGCCGTGCCGGCTACACAGGGGTGCTCGTCGACGCGCGCAGCGGCATCACAGAGGCAGTCGCGCACAGCCTCCTCCGGCAGCTCGAGCGGTGCGCCGCGTGGGAGGACGAGGTCGCCACGTGAGGGTAACACTTGGCGTTCTGGACGTCGCAGCTACGACGACGCCAGCGCGGTTCCAGTCTGACAGCCAAAGAGATACGGGATGACTCAAATAAATAAATGAAAGGGCCAAACTCTGAGTCAGAGACTAGATGGATTTACTGACGTATAGAGGGACATGGACATGGACATGGACATGGACATGTGCATGTGACATGTGTCCCCGCCCTAGACGATCTTGTCGTCACAACCCGCCCTAGAACCCGCCACGCAGCGAAAACGGAGGTCGGAGCGCGGAGCGGCGAGAGTTGCGCTTGCGGGCCCCTTGAGCGTTGAGAGTTGCGAGGGCCGCGGTGCGGCTACGGCTGTGCGGCTGCGAGAGGGGCTGTGGTCGCGGGGGGGGGGGCGCCGCTGCGCAGCGTGGACGCGCCTACACCGCTCTTGCTCCACGGGATGACTTGCTTACCTCTGGGGGGAGGCGGGGGCCCCCGGAGGCACCGTGCGCCGCGCAGCAGTGCGGAAACGGGCGGCCCCGGCTCCACTAGTCTCCACTAGCACCGACTTCCCGAATGATTACGGTTGATTAGAAGGCAGATTTGGAGAGATCTCGAGGAGTACATACAGATAGACCCTCCAACCATCAGAAAACTCCGACCTGATCGGTCGTGCTGACCGCCGACAGTTCACTCCAGACAGCAGACAGGCCGACGTCTGCACGCGGCCGGCCGGGCGAGAGGCTTGACACGATCCGACCCTGCGACCCTGATGCTGCTCTAGCTATCAGACATGCACTACTGACTGCTGCCACAATGTGCGACCGGTGCTGGCCCACTTGGCGGCCTTCCCGGTCAGTGGTGAGGCGCAGTTCAGAGCTGTCGATGGCGCGATGCCGCACTGGTCCCACATTGGTGACACGAGACCACCAAGTTTGCCGGTCCAAGAGAGAGGCACCGGCGCTGTCGTGAGAAGGTGCATGGTCCCTCTTGACTGCCCATGCGCGCGAGGCTGTGTAGGCATAGCCTCGAGAGTGCCAGCAGCCAATCCGAGGCAGTTTGTGACGCGCATTGCGTCAGAAGCGTGCACGCGCTGGAAGGACACCTTCCTACTGGCCGCACGATCAGGTCGTCACTGAATGCTTGATACTAAGGCCGCGAGCTATGCAGGTGGTCAATTGTGCAGCAGGGCACGGTCAGCAGCGCCGACAGGCTGTCGCAAGGCGTGATAGCATGGCCGCAAGTACGGCGAATTACCATGAAAACAAGTGAACAATTGCGCGAAAAAGAAAAATCCAAAAAATCGGCGCCTGCGGCGGGCTGGGGGACCCCATCATCCCCCCCCCCCGCATGGGTACCCCCTAGGGCCCCCGCCTCCCCCCAGAGTTGCTTACGCACAAACCTGACCCGGAAAGGCGGAAAGAAACTTCCAGCATCCAGGTGACCGCCGCACTGCTGCTCCGCGGTGACGGGACGACGGACGTGGAGATCTGGCATGAGCTGGTGGGCAGGCCCTTGCGGCTCGTTGGCCTTCAGCGTGCGGAGCTCAACGGCTGGCTCGGCACGGTGAGCACCTACAATTCCACCACCCAGCGCGCCTTGACCCTTTGGACCCCTTGTCTCGCTGGACGGTGGCAAGTGCTTGGCGATCAAGCCCGAGATCCTCGAGGAGCTGCAAACCCTCGGAAACGCCACGATGGACGCATCGAGCCCCCCGGAGCGCACATGACATGTACATGTCATGTTGTGAGAAGTGAGATGTGTTCGGCGGCGTCTATAGCCCTGAGTTGTTGTCCCGTGGGCCACGCCGTGGGCTGTGTCTTGTGATCCTAGTTGTGATGATCTTTGGGACGTCCCAAGCACCACACAGCACACAGACTTATCTAGGCACTGCACGGCTCCTCCGCTCGGGATTTCTGGGGAGTTGGGACGTGTGCGTGCGTGCGTGCGTGCGTGCGTGCGTGCGTGCGTGCGTGCGTGCGTGTGTGCGTGCGTGTGTGTGTGTGTGTGTGTGTGTGTGTGTGTGTGTGTGTGTGTGTGTGTGTGTGTGTGTGTGTGTGTGTGTGTGTGTGTGTGTGCTCGCTCGCTCGCTAGCGCGAGCCGCCCTGCCCGCTGCGCTAAAGGAAAGGAAAGAAAACAGACAACCCAAGGGAGGGATGGGAGGACGCTGGACGGCACGCCGCCACCACACAGGGATTTTAAGGAGAGGAGTGTGGTGCTAGCCGTCGCCCACCCTCGGGCGTCTACCACTTCCTATCTCTCTTCGCAGTTTCTCACCCATTCTCGCAGAGCGACCTTCGCGCCCGCTGCGCTATAAATAAATAAATAAAACGGACACACCAAACAAGGGGTGGGAGAAGGACAGGGTCCCCACCCACCTGCGCGAGCAGGATCTTGTAAGGACGATCAGGGACACAGGGGAACGGGAGCGGGGAGCGCATCGCGACACGGAGGGGGGCTGGGCAGGGTTCACCCACACGACAGGGTCCCAGGGATTCCCCTCTCGTATAGGACAAAGTTGCACCCGGCGGCACGGGGGCAGGCGCGGGCCTCCTACTGGTTGCGCTCTCCTAGTTCTCCTGCTACTGACAAAAGGGACAGCGACAGGTTCGCAGCACGGTGGACGCCCTATTCCACTGGCGATCTCTCTCGACTACCAACCGGTGGCCGGGCGAATTCTTTTTACAACTGAAGTCTTCTGGAAACCATTTTTCCAAAACCCTGATGGCCGTCCACGCATCTGGCCGATCGAAGCACAGCGCCAGCCCGTGGCGTCCGGAGATGGATGCCTTCGTGCTGCTGCGCCACGTTCGAGACGGCATCTCGTTGCCAAAGGTGGCAGAGCAGTGGCCGTTTGAATCCGCCACCAAACGAGGCAACGATGCAATCAAGTGGCGATGGACAAATGTTCTCAAGAAGCTCGACGACCTCGAGGACCTCCGACTGATCTGTGGATCCTGCGACGAGCGCGACGAGGCGGAGACGCAGCTCAGAACCGAGATCAGCCTGCAGCCGTGGGTCGAGGATGCTCTCGTGCAGCTGCACGCGCGAAAACGTGCCGGTACTCAAAGTTCACTCCATGGACTCTCCAGGAGGACCGCCTACTGCTGCACACGTACCAGAGCGGCGCGAAGATCAACGAGATCCGCGTTGGTGCGCGAAGCTACAAGTCCATCGAATGCCAGCTACGCCGACTTCAGAACGTCACGCCACTGGTACGCGACGCGCACCACAAGAGCGTCTGCGACCCGGAGGCGCCGTATCAGTACCTGCAGCACGACATCTGGACGCCGATCGACTCGACCCTCGCTCTACCGCCGTGCGCGCAGATCGACTGGATTCGCGGCGTCGCAAAGGTGTCTCCCTTACCCTGCCTGCACGCGCGCGTGATCATTCGGCTATCTCCAACGACTAGTGAAGCCATACACTCCCAAACACGAATCTCCTCTGTCATTCATCACCCAAAATTCTGTGTTCTTTTCCTTGGTGAGCCGGTGTGTGTGCCAGTCCGCGCCAGTCCGCGCCCTTGTCGTGCCAGTGTGCTAAAGAAAGAAAGAAAGACAGACAAACCAAACGAGGGATGCCAGTGTGCTGTGAGAGAGGCGCATTTAAGAATTCTTTTCGTTCGGCGCTTGCTCGCCGCATTCGTCCCCTGCTGCTGAGCCACAGCGGAATGGTGTGTGCGTCCCCCCACCACCGCGCGCAGGGCGGCGACACACCTCTCACCGTGCCGCCTGCCTCCCACCTTTCCCCTTAGGCCGAGCGGAGCGACAACGACGGGGATGGTGTTTACATGAGCACTCAGGGCGCGAGCCTTAGCTAAGATACGCGCCTACACGTGTCGTGGGTCATTTTTGACCCACTTTCCGTGGCAACCCCGTTGGCTGAGTGTCTTGTCTCGTGGTTCTGTGTGTCGCCTGTGATTTTCTGTCTTTCTTTCATGGCGGTGTGTCCTTCTTGAAGGCGTAGAGGTGCTCGCAAGTCGAGAAGTAGACCACGCCGTCGCCGATGGCTGGCGCGCCTTGGATGCCGCTCTGGGTCTGAAAGGAGCTCAGGATCGTGCCAGTCTTCCCGTCGACTGCATACACGTACCCACCCCACCAGCCAAAGTAGACGGTGCCATCAGCGCCGACTGCGGCGTTGTTGAACGTGTCTGGAACGCAGCTGGCCGCACCCATGGTCGGATTCTCGTGCGTGGGCGTCTGCCAAAGAATCGCCCCCGTGCTCGCGTTGAGGGCGGTCATATTGCCCTTGTGGCCCGGCGTCATCACATTGGACGTCGAGAATCCGAGCAGACCCACGTAGACCCGGCCGTGGGCGATGGCGGGAGCGGCCTTGTGTCGGTAATAAATAAATAAAACGGGCACGCCAAACGAGGGGTGGGAGAGGGACAGGGTCCCCACCTGCACGAGCAGGATCTTGGAAGGACGATCAGGGACACAGGGGAACGGGAGCGGGGAGCGCATCGCGACACGGAGGGGGGCTGGGCAGGGTTCACCCACACGACAGGGTCCCAGGGATTCCTCTCTCGTATAGGACAGGTTGCACCCGGCGGTGAGAGAGAGTTCTGCGTTGTCGAATTTTTTTTATACCGGGGAGTGGGCCCAGAGGGTGGGCCCGCCTCGCCCGGAAATTATCGCGACTGCCGCCTGTCCTCTGCGCAAACTCATCGCGACAGCCGTAGTACACGTTTTGCCTGTCGGCTGTCACTCCATGCCGCCCCAGCGCGCCATCTGCCTCTGCCTCTTCCTCTGCCTGCACGCTGCCCATGCCGGTCCATGCCGCTTCACGCTTCGCCGCCCGCTGTGCTCGCTGTCTTGCCTCTTTGGCGCCGGCAGGTGCAAGGGCAGCATGCAGAAAGTGCCCTCGTCAGAGTCTGGTGGCGCGCCGACAGCGTGGGAGATGGTTCACCTCAAGGACGACGGCGTCGAGTCGAGCTGGAGCACCGTCTCCTTTCCCTTCGTGAGCGGCGGCGACATTGGGAAGATGACCGAGCGTCTGCCCTGCGACGGGGTCTGGCTCCGCTGGACGCACGGCAGCTACAACTACAAGTGGCACAACGCTCCTCGCCGCCAGATCATCGCCTCCCTCAACGGGCACGTCGAGGCGAGCGTCGGCTCGGGCGACACTCGCCGCTTCGGGCCCGGAGAGACGCTGCTGGTCGAGGACACGCGCGGCGAGGGGCACTGCACAAAGTCGCTCGACGGAGTCGGGCGGTGGAGCATCTTCATCGCGCTGCCGGACGACGGCCCGCTCGCCTGGCTCTTCGCCCGGCCAACCACCAGAGAGCTCGCCCTCGCCGCCCTCGCCGCCCTCGCCGCTGCCGCCCTCGCCGCCTGCGCGCTCCGGCGCCCTTCCGGGGCGGGCGGACTCCCTCGTCGAATCGGCCTGATCGGCGGCCTCGCGCCGGCCTCGACGATCGACTACTACAGACGGATCAACGCCGGGGTGAGGGAGAGGCTCGGCGGGAGGCATGCGGCGGAGGCCGTCCTCTTCTCCTTCGACCAGGCCTCCGTGATCGAGCTCGAGTTTGCGCAGCGGTGGGAGGAGGTTGGCGAGCAGCTCGCTCGCGCCGGCCTCGCGCTGGCTGCGGCGGGGTGCGAGGCGCTCCTCGTGTGCTGCAACAGCGTCCACCACGAGGCACCCCACCCCCCCCCCCACCTCGCGGCTCCGCGGCAGGTGGCGAACGCAGCGCCTCCTCACGCAGCCCTCGCCGCGAGCAGGTTGCCTTCGAGGCGCTCCGCCGCGCCGTCCCGCGAGTGCCCGTCCTCCACATCGCAGACGCGACCGCCGCCGCGCTGTCCGGCAAGCGGCGCGTCGCCCTCCTCGGCACCGCCTTCACCGCCAACGAGAATTCCTTCTTCGCACAGCGGCTCCGCCGGCGCGAGGGGCGGCTTGGTCGCCGCTCCACGGCGGCATCCTTCGCTGACGCTCGCCGGAGCCCTCGTGCAGGCGCGGCCTCGAGGTTGTGCTCGACGAGCCGGCCGCGCGCGCGGAGCTCGACCGGCTGATCTACGACGAGCTGACGGTCGACGTCGTGCGGGAGGAGGCGGCGAGCTGGTTCGTGGCGAGCGGCTCTCGAGCGGCGGGCCGAGCTCCTCGTAGAGGCCGCGTCACCCCGACACCTCCTCGACACGTCCCCCCGCAGGCGAGGCTCGAGCGGCTGCTCGTGCGGTGCGACGCCGTCGTGCTCGGCTGCACCGAGCTGTCGATGCTTCTCGACGCCGAGGCGCGCAAGCGGTACGCCGGCGTCGTGTTCGACACGGCGACTCTGCACGCGGAGGCCGCGGTGCGGTTCGCGCTGCGGGAGGAGTGATTCGGCAATTCTCGCCGTCCCGCGGTTGGCCTCGTCGCTTGAGACCATGTTGAGCAGAGAGCGGCTACGCGGGGGCGCGGTGCGGTGTGAGCAGAGACGCGCTCTGAGATGGCTCATTGCCCGCGGTGTTATTTTTGTGTGTTGTTTATTTTTCTCGCTCTGTCTGACGCTCTGGGGGGGTGGCACTTGCCACTTGTATTTCACTTCTGACACCTCTGGCTCTGCTGCACGTCTTTACTCTTTTTTTAGTACTTGGACGAGCACTTAGAGGCCGCGTGGCGAACTTGAAGAGGAGTCTCGTCATTCGTCTGAGCTCTGACACACCTGACACCCGCTGGACACGAGGACACCGCCGGCCCGCCGGGCACGTCTTGTCCATGGGATCTCGTCTCTCGCCGCGTCTCGGGCGTCTCGCCTTCGACGCCCGGAGCGCGCTACGCTCTAGGGCTGGGAGAGCGCGGCGGTCTAGGCGGCGGTCTGTGTGTGAACATGCGTGTCGCGCACTCATTCATGACCGGTCTCAATGCCCCACCCCCCTGCGCGCGGGCCTTCTAGGCCCGCGGGTAGTCTCCCCCCATTCCCAGGGCCTCCAGGGCTCGCACCTCAACCTCTCACAGACCAGCGCACAGCGCCATAGGACGTATTTTCTTCTCAATAACAAGGCTGTGAACGGCAGTCCCCGTGGTCACCCCACACCCCACCCACACACACACATCACAAAGGGGCTGCATGCGCATGGACCGGTTCGCACCTTTCTCTCTCCCCCGGCCCGGCCCAGCGTTTGTGTGTTTCTTCTCATAAGTCATAACAAGTCTGTGAAAACTGTCACACGCATGACACCAGGTCCGCAACATCCGCCGCCCCCCTGCGCGTGGGCCTTCTAGGCCCGCGGGTAGTCCCCCCCCATCCCCCCAGGGCCTCCACAGGGCTCGCACCTCGACCTCTCATAGCACGAGGCGCAGGTATTTCTTCAAGAGATTGAGATCTGTGAAGGAACGGCTCACTGTCCTCACTGTGCGATTTCGGGGCTCGGGGTTATTAGGAACGGCGTCCGTGCAGGTTTCGTTCCGTCGCGGTTCGACACACAAGGGATGCCAGACCGGGTGCTGCTCAACGCGCAGTGGCGCGGCGGCAGCACCATCACCGAGCAGCTCATCTTCTCCACCACAGCCTCGCCCGTCTTTTTGCTGGACGAGCCCGCCGCGCACTTCCGGCCGTGCGCTGCCGACCACCGCGGGCCCTGCCACAGCCGCGACGACAAGGCACGGTACCTGGCCGCCGCCCTCTCGTGCGATTGGTCCGACTTTGACGCGCCGGCGCTCGTGCGCTGGCAGCACTGGCGGGGCGTCTTCTCACGCCTTCCGGAGCTCCTCGATCACGACGGCTGGCAGACGGGAGACTTCTCCGCCATGCGGGCGCGCTGCGACGCGGCTGGTATACGCGGCGGCGTTCGGGCGGCAAAGCTGATCCGCGGCCGGGGGCTCGTCGCTCCCTTTGCGCGCGCCTGCGCCGCCTCCGCGGTAGTCCGATCGGACTTTGCGCGGGTCGCGCCCGCGGCGCCTTGCCTCGTGATAGAGCTCGTCCGACATCCTGTCGCGACCTTGCGCTCGCAAAAGCACTCCAAGCAGATCGAGAAGGGGCGGCCGCCCAGGGCCCGCCGGCGCGACGCCGGCGCCGGCCGCGAGTCGCGGGTTCGAGGCGCGCAGGGAGTGTCTCCGCCCCGCCTGGCGGCCGGGGCCTCAGAGACGGCCGGCCTTGAGGGAGAGCTTGAGGACTTTTGCGCGCCAATCTTGGAGGACGTCCGCGCGGTGCGCTCGTTGCAGCGAATGCAATCCGCCCTGCCGCTCCGCCGCCGGCGGCGACAGAGGGCGCGCAGGCGGTCCAATGCGTTGCCGTCCAACGCCAGCGACGCGCGGGACGGCGACGTGGAGAGCGGCGGTGCTGCCGCGGCTCGCTTGCCACGCCCCGCCACACGCGGGGTGGTGCTCACTTTCCAGGAGGTTGTGACGACGCCGCGCCGCGTCGCTCACCGGATGCACAGGCTGATGGGTGCGACCACCAACGAGTCGGCTCTCGAGTCCTTTGTGGAGCAGCACTTTGGCAGCGCCCGCAGCGACGAGGCGGCGGGCCGCCATACCGGCGGGGGCGAGCAGCAGCTGCTCCAGGCCTACGACACCTACCGCCCCCGCGTTGATTGCGTCCCCGCCACCGAGCCATTGGACCGGTGGTCTGCGTGCGCTGAGCTCGGAACGCTCGCCGCGTCGCATTTGCCAGCCTCGGCGGCTCGGGCGCTACACTTTTGCTGATAATTTGTGGAAATCCTTTTTTCATTTTGTCGCGCCTTCAATTCCACGACGCAAAAGTGAAACCGTCGCCGACAAAAAACCGCGCTCCTCCCTAAAATGTTGGCCGCGTCGCTCCTCACGCTCGCCAGAGATGGGCCACCGCGCTCGCTCGTACCCCTCTCGGCCGTGCTCGAGCCTGATCCATCACCATCACCGACGTCAGCGGCTCGAGCCAGCCTCTCGCGGCACCGCAGGCTCGAACTTTCGGTCGACAACACAAATCCGATCCGCCTGGCCCTGGACTTCACATCACTGGACGCGTCTTCCGCTCCGCAGTACTCGGCGTGCTTTGCCGTGGGGGATTGGTACCGAAGGGGCCTGCCTGCATTCCAGCTTAGCCCTCCGGCCGATGGCGTGCCCACCTGCGACGATGCAAACCCGCTAGCCGCGCTCACAGATGGCTGCTGGGGTCTCTGCAAAGCGGCGGACGTAATCACTGCGGAAAGAAAGGCCAAGATTGTGACGGCCGTCACTGCGGTCGCGAGCGAGATGGGCTCCTTCTTCTCTGTCGAGAGCTCGTCGAGCAACCTCGTGTTTGGCCGCAGCAAGGGCCGGTTCCAACGCGCATTGACGGAGAAGGGCTACACACCAACAGAGAGGTGCGCGGCCGACTGCCACTATCTGTCCAACGTGGCGGTCGCGGAGTCGTACTGCACCACAGGCGTCGATGCTGACGCCATTCTCTCTGTCACACGGCCCCCATCCATCGCCGGTGTCCTTGGCACGGGCTCAAGCTGCGCCCCTCTCATCATGGGCAAACGACCCACCTGGCTTGTGATTGCCTGGATGGACGACTTTGACGCGGACGCCACCTCCGACCAGGCCATGATTGATGCCTACCGCGGCTTCATCCGCCACGAGATTATCCACGCGATGGGCTTCAGCCACGCCTTCTTCGCGAATGCTCGAGCCTCGGATGGGAGCGCGAAGCATTTGCTACAGCTGCTACAGGTGTACGACGCCGACGGCGCCACGGACCGCGTGTACCACTTCAAGTCGACCAGCCGCACGCACGCGATGGCCAAGGCGTATTTTGGATGTAACGACGAGGCCGCGTGGGACGGGCTGCCGCTGATGGGTCTTCCGGATATTGGGCGCAACTCGCATTGGGACACTCGGATCCTCCGCGACGATGTGATGTCATACGGCGAATCCGCGTTGATCTCTTCCATCACGCTCGCAGCGATGGAGGACACCGGCTTCTATCTCGCCAACTACAGCTCAGCAAACTGCATGCAGTGGGGCTACCAGCAAGGCTGCACCTACGTTGCATCTCGCTGCTCAGGCCCGACATCCCACGACCAATCGGCGAGCGCCACCTCTTCCGCCGAATGTGACGGCGACCCGCGGTGGCGGTCCTCGCCCAGCGCTTGGTTGCGGTCCAAGTGCGACCTGGGAGACGACCCGTGCTCAACCAATAGTGGACGAGGCTACTCCTCGAGCCCGTCCCCAGTGTGCGACGCCCAGTGCTACACGCCTCTGCACAACCGCGCCGACTGCTCCGCCGGGCCGGTGGCGCCTGTCGAGTCGGTGCGCAGCCAGAGGAAGCCATCGCACCGGGTCTGCGCGGCGCGTCACTCACACCGGGCTCGTGCTGTCACAGGCGGCGCCAAAGTCGTACGAGGAGCTTGCCGAGGAGTACATGCAGTGGATCTGGCTCGGCGTCCTGGTCATGTCCGCCTTGGTGGTCGGCCTCGCCATGAACACCTTTTGCTGCCCCGCCGGGGGCTCCATCGCGGTCGCGGCGGTCCTCACCACAATAATCTTCTTGGCGGGGGCGTTGACTGCCGCCGCTGGGGCGTACGGCTACTGGGTCAACAACGACCTCGTTGCCCCCTTTGTCGGGGAGACCACCCTCATTGTCGTCATGGGCTTCGGGGGGCTGCTCTCAACTATCGCGCTGTGGACCTTCATCGGGTTTTGCTCGAAGTCGCGCTTCGTCCTCACGACGGTCTTTATCTTTTACCTGTTGACCCTGCTGATCGAGCTCGCCTTCGCGGGCTTGGTCGCCTACTGGGTCTACACTTTGCAGGCGGTGACTGAGGACGCGATGACGTTGCTGGAGGGCGGCGATGCCGAGGACGGCAAGTTTAGCGGCCGGCTCGGGGCAGACGTGCTTGCCGAGGTGGAAGGCAGCATGTGCCGATTCTATCAGGAGTGCTGTCGCGACCCCCTCCTCGGCGAGGACGGCACGTGCATCTCGTCGCACGAAGGGAGCACCGTGGATGTGGCCGAGGCCCTGCTCGACCCGGGTTCGCCCAACTTTTGCCCTTACATCTCGGGGTCGTCCGGGGTCATGTCCTTCGTCCCCTCGCCCGCCGCCTGCCTCACCGCAGAGCACCTGATCCCCGGCTTCTCCATGGCCAGCTGCGAGACGAACTTTTGCTCGCACGGCTACGAGGGCTACGAGGAGTTCCTCGCGCAGGCGGTCGACTGGATGATGAACAACGGCATCATCATTGGCGGCGTGTCCACCGCGGTGGTCCTGCTACAGCTGCTCTTGGCCGTCAACGTCCTACGCCTCGCAAAGTCGCGGATGAAGACTCGGCTCGCCATGCGCAAGGTGGTCCCCGAGTCGCGGGGCCTCGATCGGGAACCAATGCCTTTCAATCCTCCGCCCCAGCCGCAGCGAAGGCGCGCCAGGTAAGGCTGCGGGATGTGAAGCCGCCGGCCGCCGCCGCCCCCCGCCCCGCGAGGACCACTCCCCACTCGTCTCTCGTGTGGTGTGTCTGTGTGTCTCCTCAGAAGCTCAGTCTCTCGCTCTCACGGCACACGGGACACGGGGTCAGCGTACTCGAGTACGTCAGACAGTACGCGCCTGAGTGCGCCGAGGCGACGAGAGCGCGCTGAGACTGCCAGTGGCCGTGCGCGACGCTCGGCCAGGCGCAGGCCTTGGCCCCGTGCGAGACGTGTTCGGAGTGACGGGAGTCGGGACGTACGTAAGCGGCGGGCACACACCGACGCGGTGCCCCAGTGCGCGGTGGCCCCGGTGAGCGAGGCGCGCGAGGGGAAAGCGGCACACTAGGCACGCTGCCTGCCCCCTCTAGGGGGCGCCTTCGGCGCCTCTTTGCCCTTCGTAGAGGCCCCCGCTTTTGTTTTCCTTGAGAGCGGCCTCGCCTGTGCGACACGGTATGTCGCGTACTTTTTTTATCGCCCGTCGCGCGCTCTCGCTCGCACGTCCCCATCAGTACGGGTAAACACATCACAGCTACACACCGGCTCGCGAGCTCTCCGACTCCGTTCTCCCTGGCTGCCTCTGCCACGGCAGCCCACTCGCGCGCCCTGTGCCGAGGCTAGTGGTCGTGGAGCTGACCGTGACAGGGCTGCTGACCGGCGACGGCGTGACCACGCCTTGGGTGTGCGACTGCGCGGTGGTGCCCGTCGAGCGGTCGTACACCGCGGCTGCCTCCGCAAAGGCTGGCGCCGCGCGCTCTCCGCGTGCGGGCGCCGCAGCGAGGTCGTACTCCCAGTAGAGGTGCGAGCTGGTCAGGAAGGCGAGCAGGACGGCGCGCGGGCGGGCGGAGGAGCAGGCGAGGGGCAGCAGCCGCTGCAGGTACCGGTTGAGCGCGAAGGTCCGCCGCTCGACCACCGACGCGCCACCGAACGGGAGCCGCGACGGCAGCGGCGGCGGGGCGGCGCCGGCCGCCTGCAGAGCTCTGTGCAGCCGCCGCCAGTCGGAGTAACGGTGCGCAACCTGCCAGCAGCAGCCCGCGCGGATGACGGTGATGGTGTAGGTCGGCACGTCGCGCCACGCGCCAGCCGCGCCGAGGCTCGACGTGCCCGTCACGACCGCAAAGACTTGACGCGCCGCCGCATACCGCGAGCGCTGCCGCCACCCGCGGAGGTGCGCCTGCAGCACGGTCGCTGCCTGGCGCGCCTCGCCGCCGCTCGATGACGACGGCCGCGAGGAGCGCAGCTCGCCGCGAAGGAGCCGCGCGAAGAGGTCGGCCGCGGCGGCAGTCGCGTCGGGCGGCGCGGGCGGCGGCGCCGCCGGTGGCCGAGGATACGCGGGCTGGCGCTTGACCGGGCTGCGCGTGTACGAATAAGGAGCGGAGATGTCGGAGCCCGAGGCCGAAGGCACAGAGAGCAGCGTGGGCGGCCCGCTCGAGCTCCGCACGGCAAGCTCAAGACGCAGCGAGCGCAGTTCCGCCTCGAGCTCGGCGACCCGCTCCCGCTGCTTCTCGAGCTCGACTCGCGCCGCGGCGCCCTCGCGCGCAAGCTCTGCGGCGAGCGCTGAGGCGACTAGCGGCTCGCACTTTGGGCAAACGGAGGCAGGAGAGGCCGACATCTGGCCTGTTCTTCAAATCACAAAAAAATGAATTGCGATGATGGAGCTCCATGAAATACCGCCCGTGATTGCCTACCCACTGCCCGGTGCGAAACAACGACAAGACCAAGGCACGGGCAGAGGAGCGAGAGAAGAATATAGGATGGATAGGGCACCTGTTCACATAAGCGCAAAACTACAGTTCACACGGCATGGAGGGTGAGAGAGAGAGTTGAGATTTTTAGCAATACCAAACAACTCTAACGTTTTGTTTGTTGAGAGTTGAGAGATGTGAGATTTTTAGAATACCAAACAAATCTAACACTCACGCGTCATTTGTTTGTTGAGATGTGTGGAGGGTGAGCCACGCGCGCGCTGAACGTAGTCGTAGAGACGACTCCGAGGAGGACGACACGCCACTAGCAATCCCGTCGTCAGCTGTCACGATGCACCCGAAGGGGGCCCCAGCGCCAACACCATCTGTGGAGGTACAAGTGTCCGAAACGAGAGTGGACCTGAGCAACGACATGACTTGGCGGCAAATGATTGGGGTGGGTGTCAGAAGAGTCGTCCTTGCGCGAGGAGTGGCTTGATAAACTCGAGGAGCCAAAATACGCCGCGAGGAGGGCGGAGTTGCGCCGAGAAGAAGCCGCGAGCTGAGCCCTGGTGTCGAGGTGTCGAGGCCCGGTGTCGAGGGTGTCGAGCTGCTGTCGAGCTGCTGTCGAGGGATAGAGGTGTCGAGGCCTGTCGAGGCCTGTCGAGGCCTGTTGAGGCCTGTCGAGGCTGGTACCATGCTTGACCGTGTCGAGGGGTGTCGAGGGGTGTCGAGGGTGTCGAGGGTGTCGAGGGTGTCGAGGGTGTCGAGGGTGTCGAGCAGGTGTCGAGTGTTGTCAAGGGGTTTTGCGTCTAAGGTGTCGAGGTGTCCAAGGTGGCAGGATGCAGTTGCAGCCCATCAACAAAACTTGGGCAGCAGTTGCAAAGCTGTTTCATCCCTTAGTTGCAGCCTCAGTTGCACCCTGTTGATGTAGCACAACCTGAGCACAACCAGTATACTCTCTGTGGACATTTGAGGACATCAAGTGCCGGGAGTCATTGCCACTGTGCACAAAGGTACTGTGCAGGCGCAGCACCGCAGCAGCGTCGCCGCTGCAGCAGCGTCGCCCCTGCAGCGCCACCGGCGCACAAAGCGCAACTGACCACAGCGCTCATGGCCCATTCTGGTGCCATGAGTCAGTGGACATTGCCACTGCACAAGGTGCTGTCCAGCAGCTAAGGGCTGCCAGTACCCCATCGCAGCAGCGTCGCCGCCGCTGCAGCGTCGCCGTTGCAGCCGAGCGTCGCCAGTGCACAAAGCGCAATGGACCACAGGTCTGCACTCATGGCACAAGCTCACTGGTGTGAGGATTCATTGCCACTGTACAAGGTGCTGTGCAGCACCTGAGGGCTACCTGAGTACTGCCATGTTTGCTGCATCAACAGGGGTGCAACTGAGCTGCAACTTGAGCTAGAACTTGAGAGGCTGCAACTCAGGGATGAAAGTACTGCCAGCCAAGTTTGATTGCTGCTGCAACCCTGATTTCTAACTCTGACTCCAATGGGTCTACATCTCTGCTGTGTTAGGATCATCAGAGGTGTCGAGCGGTGTCGAGCGGTGTCGAGCGGTGTCGAGGGGTGTCGAGGGGTGTCGAGCGGTGTCGAGGGGTGTCGAGGTGTCGAGTTTGGCACCTTGACACGGTCGAGCATGGTACCAGCCTAGATGGTGTCGAGGGGTGTCGAGGGGTGTCGAGGGGTGTCGAGTTGGTCGAGTTGGCATGGGGTGTCGAGGTGTCGAGTTGGTGTCGAGTTGGTGTCGAGGTTTGGTGTCGAGGTGTCGAGGCCAGGGCTCAGGCCGCGAGATCAAGGGATCGGCGGGCGGCGGCGGTGAGGCCGAGGAAGAGCGACGCGACAGAGGATGAAGCGACAGGAGGGAGAACGACGAGAGTGGGACGACCGCGAGGTGGCATGAAGGTTGCAGCGAGAATTGGCGAGGGACTGCGAAGAGAGATAGGAAGAGGCAGACGGAGACGCCCAAAAGGCGCAAGCGGCAAGGGTGGGCGACGGCTCTGACAGAGGCGATGGCTCTTTGCTATTGATAGTAGTACCGTACACTAACTCTTTGACGCTGCCGCTGCCGACCCAAGTGGGATACAGATAGATAGTGATTTGTTCCATTATACACACACAAAGCAACACACCTTCCTTACACCCGTGAAATCCCTGTGTGGTGGCGGCGTGCCGTCCTCCCATCCCTCCTTTTTGGCTATTTTCTTCCTTTCTTTTACACACACACACACCTCCACAACACGCTTAAAGCAAAGCGCCCGCCGCGTCCGTCCCGCCGCCCTCCGACCCGCGAACCGTGTCCCTCGCCCGCCCCCTCGCCTCTTCGCGTCGGCGATGCTCTCCGGCCGCGTCGCCATCTTGATGGTGGACGACCGCGAGGTGGGCTCGCCGTCGCCCTCCGGCACCACCCTCGCCTACCCGTCGCTCGCCTTCGCGCTCAATGCGGAGTACGCGTGCTCGCACGGCTACGACCTCCTCTACTACCGGATGGTGGGGCCGTCGTGCAGCCACGCCACGCAGGGTGAGCGGCACGGTTCCTACTGCAAGCTGCCCGCGATAGCGCACGCCCTCGGCCGCGGCTACGACGCCGTCGCATTCATCGACTCGGACTCGTACTTCCGCATCGACGTGCCGCGCTTCCGCAACATGAGCGTGCCCCAGCTGGTCGCAGAGTACTCCCCGCCGCTGACTGCGACGGCCCCTCGCGGCGGCCCGAGCGCCTGGTTCGCATGCGACCTGCCTCAGCTCGGCGACCGGCCCAACGGCGGCTTCCACGTCTGGCGGGCGGGCGAGATGGCAAAGGCGCTGCTGGCTCATTGGTGGCACGCTCCTGCGGGGCGATTCGCAACCGAGCACGACTTTGAGCAGCACGTGCTGCAGTGGCAGCTTCACCACCTCGCGGCCGCGATTCCGGCCCTCGCGACCCTGCAGCTCAAGGCGATGGCCGACACGTTCGCACACGCAGTTGCGCACGTCGACCATACCAAGGCGGAACGGCGGCGGCCGCTGCTTGCCGCCGCCCTGCTGCGCGCTTCGCTCGAAGCGCCAGCTCGCCCCGCACCGGCAGCGCTCATGTCTCCTCTCGCCTCAAGCCACGAGCAGGCGTCGCTCCGGCGACTGCTGGGGCAGGCGGACGCGGCGTTGCCAGCCTCTCCGGGTGCGTCAATCGAGCGGAGGCTGCTCAAGGCGGTGGCGCGCCGGTTGCGGCCGCGGGCCGCGCAGCTGCACGTCGCGCTAGCGACGCGCCAAGGCGCGGCGTGCGGCGGGCGCGGCGCTCGGCTGCGAGTCGTCACTTACAACGCGACCGAGGCGGCGAGGCGCGAGCTGCCGGCCGGCGCGCGCCATCGCCTCCCGCCAGAGGGGCTGCCCCTTGCGCTGCGCCGCTGTGGCGAAGCTGCCGGTGGTGGCGAGCCGGGCGTGGACACGCCTCCCCAGCCCCCCGATCGCCACTCACTTTCGATTCCTAGCGCTACAGGCGCGCAGCGGTGGGAGGCGGTGGCGGGCGGTGGCTGGCGGCTGGCCGAGCTGGGAGTCTCGCCTCGCCTCTGCCTGCGGGTGGGTCCGCGCAAGGCGCCCAAGCCCCCGCACCTGCCACTCGCGCAGCTGGGCTCGTGTGAGAACGAGTCCGCTGCCCGAAGTCGTAGCGAAGTGGTGTTCCGTCTGGAGCGGCATGGGGACGTCGGTGGCTCGGCGCTCTTGCGCACTGCCGCGACAACTGCAGAGCTGGGTCGCGAGCTCGAGGCCATGGTGCGCGACGCGGGAGAGTCCGCATCTGCCGCCGAGGGGGCTCGGAGGCTCGGCGAGAAGCCCCGGGGGACGCCACGAGGCCGACAGCGGCGGCGCGAGAAGTCGCCACTGTGGCAGGTGGGTCGTTGAGAGCGCCCGCGCCGCCGCAGTCTTTGGGCAAGGTTTGGGCCTCACCGCACCGCTCCCGTACCCTTTAGGACGGCAGACTCACTCTCGCTCCGGATGTTGCTGGAGACCGGCATCTCTGTCTCGCCCCTTGGCGTGGCCGCGCCACAGATGGCGCGCACTATCGGCCCGTCCAGCGACCTGGATATTTACGTGGCGAGGACGACTACACCCGTGAACCTCATGTAGGCGCGGCTCTTGTCTGGGCCCCGTGCGTCGACGGCGAGTTGGACGGCCGCACGTCCAAGCGGTCGCCCCGTTGGCGGTCTGTGGCTGCCGGCGGCCGCCCGGCGCGGTTGGAGCTCTCGCAGCCCGTGGATGGCGTTACGCTCTGCGCCACAGCGGACATTATTTGACGGTTCCACCGGGAAGGTCCCGTGGGGGTATTATGCTGAAGGCTGTTCGTAGTTCGTAAGTTTCTGTTCGTAGTTTTATCAGTAAGCGCTGAAGTCTACAGGAGTTTTTTGGGTTGCGCGCACACACTGAGCTTCTCCGAGTGACGCCCGCCGAGACCCGAGTCTCTCTCGCTTGTGGGCCTCACCGTTGCCAAAAGAGGCGCGACAAGGCGTCGGCTAGCCAAGCGTCCGTCTCCGCCAAGTCAAGCAGCGCCCGCAGCGGCTTGACTTGGCGCGCCGCCTCGCCGAGGCTGGCGGCGATCCCAGCCCACCAGCGGCCGACGTCGCACGCAGACACGCAGAGCGCCTTCACCGCCGCCTGCACTGCCGCCGGAGAGGGGATTGTAACACCCACCCACCCACCCAGCGCCCCGACGGTGCGAGCGTACACAGCGCGGCAGAAGACCGCGACAGGGACGGCACTCGCGACAGCAGGAGGCGCGACGAGCCTGTCTGCGGTGGCGACCGCGAAGAGCAGCGCCGCGCTGGCGGCGGAGGTTGCCACGAGCTGGCCGGCCGCAAAGACAGCACGCGCCTTTGGGCGTCGGCGGCGGAGCTGGCGGAGCGCGGGGCTGACGAGGCTCAGCTCGGCGAGCAGTCGAAGCGGCCGGGTGAGGCTGCGCGACGCCAGCGCGCACAGGATTGCGGCGTTGAGCCGCTTGCTGCCCGGGATGTAGGGGCGAGGCGCGCGGCCGACTGGCGCGCCAAATCCGAGCCACCACGAGAGCAGGAAGACGGCGCAGAACTGCGCCGCCTCAACGGCGGCGGCACTCACCGCGGCAGCCAAGATAAAGTCGCGGGCCGCGCCCGCCCGTGTCGCCGCCTTGGTCCCGGGAGCAAACGCAGCGGCAACGGGAGCAAACACCCGGCCGGCGCGCTTAAAGTCGTCCTCAGCGCGAGAGATGAAGGCTCGGACGGCGGCGTCCGTCACACCGCCCGCCGCGGACGCGGCGGCGGCCGAGAGTGGGTCGGATGGAGGTCTGGGCGGCGGAGGAGGCGAGCGGTTTGCTGCGACGATGGGGGCAGCGCGAGGCGGGACGGAGGAGAGGAGGCGGCCGGAGACAGGGAGGTTGACCACAGGCGTGGAGACGGCAAGGATGGCTAGCATCCAGCACGGACCAGTGTTGCTGCGGAGGAGCCGCAGGGCCCGCAGTTCGCGATCCGACGGGGAAGAGAATTCATGTTGTCACTTTGGCGCGCTGGCACTAACCCAGCCCTCTCCGCGCGGCGATGCGCCCTCCCCCCTCGCTTTTGCAAAATCCTGCAAAGGTGGGGACGTGTCTGTCCTCGACCCAGCCCTAGCTTGGGATGTCCGTTGTATTTATTTATTTTATTACTAACACAGGTAAATTGTTTTTCTTTGAATCACACTTTTGTCACAACAAACCAAGACACTTTTGTCAAGTTGCCGGCGGGCACTCGCACGCGCGCGCGGCCGCCATCGCGGCGTAACACTGGAGGCATGCTCCCGCAGCCGCCTCCGTTCGCGCCTCCGTCTCCACCCACGGCGCCGCTGCCTCGGCCGCCTCCGTTCGCCCCTCCGTCTCCACCCTCTGCGCCTCGGCCACAGCCGCCTCCGTTTGAGCCGCCGCCGCCGTCTTTGCCGCCGCCAACCCCTCCACACCCTCGCCGTCCTCCAGCGCCGCCGCACCCGCCCTTTCCGCCGGAGAGCCGCTGCGAAGGGTGGTGCACTGCGGTGTACGAGTCCAGCCACTGCCGACACGCCGCGTGCAGCGCTTGCCCATTCTGCACAGACCTCTCCGAGCCGTGCTCATCATGGTGTGACCCTCAATACACTGTCCGCCACTGCAGTCATGACGACTGCTTTGGCTGCTCCTACTGCGTGCCACAACCACCCGTGCCGCCAGAACCACCGACGCCACCACCGCTGCCGCCTTCGCCAAGACCACCGCCGTTTGATCCGCAACCAAGTTCAGCGACAACCTTGCAGCCAGCAAGGGCGGTCGCCTCTTTGGGGGCGCTTTTCGAGGGATCTGTAAGACGCGGCGACGCAGCAGATCGCGCAGCGAGTGCTCCCGTCGTCGGGGTTTCCTTGGGCTTGGTCGGAGTTGGCACTGCGGTTGGCGCCGCCCTTTGGAGGCGAAACATGAGGGGGCGCGCGGCGGCCAGGAGGCGCGCAGACCGCACCAGTGGCACGGGGATATACAGCCTCAGCCTCGACCGTGCCTACAGACGCTTCGTCGGCGGGGACAGCGCCGGTAGCCGATGCGTGGGCGCCGCCAGGCAGCATGAGCTGGCCGACGCCCGTGGCCGTGCAGCATCATAAAACCATGGCTTTTCGTTATGTAAAATTCAGGGGGTCCCGACTCCCGTACCAAGCATGCGGAACCGACCCGAATTCAGTGCAACAGTGCAACAGTATGTGGATGATGAGAACGAGCGCGGGGAAGGAGCAGATATGTGGGGAAGGACACTCAAGGACAGGCTCACGCGCGTCACGGCTCAGGCCTCCTTTCACAGGGCGCGGGGGAGCTAATACACAGACGACTACAGTACGAGCATTGACGAAGAGCGCACCCCAAGCAGGCGGGGTGTGCAGCGCTCTTTTTGATTTAGACCGCTTTCGAGAGAGGAACAAACAACATACATTTTGCGCAGCGCATTGTGTGTGCGTGGACTGTGATAAAGTGAGATCTGTGTGTGTCGCGCATGACCATGGGACATGCGGGTACAATGGGGGACCACCACAGACAGGAGTGGAGCGAGCCGTCTCGCGCGCCATCCACACCGTCCCTCATGCCGCCCCCGCCACGAGCAGCGCGTCCAGACGTCCGCCACAGTTCGTCCGCCGCCGTCGAGCGGCCCTCCACCACCCTCCACCACCCAGCCTCGTCTCGGGCTGTGCTGGCGGGGCTACGGCGCGCGCCCACTCCGCTACGCCTTCCACTCGAACTTGTCCTCCTCCGCCTCCCACTCGGGCGCAAACTGGCGCATCGAGGCGGCGCCGACCATCACGTCCGCCGTCTTCTTGAGGCGGCGGAAGACGGAGTGCTGCACGTACGGCACGCCGTGCTTCTCGCAGATGGCGCGCAGCTGGGGCGCCGCCTTTTGGTACGAGAGCATCGACAGCTGCGGCCAGAGGTGGTGCTCAATCTGGTAGTTGAGCCAGCCGTGCATGAAGTCGTTGGCGTCCGCGGTGATGCCGTGGACGGGGCGTGCGGTCCCGTCCTTGCGGATGCCGTTCGCGGTGCGGAAGTTGACCGAGGTGATGACCTGCCGCATGAAGAAGGAGGGCGACTTGGGCGTCACCTGCGGAGGCGCGAGGAGAGGGGCTGAGCGGCGCGGCGCTCGAGCGGCGGCCGCGAGGCGCCGCCGGCTCGCCGAATTTTGGAAGGCGTAGAGGTCGTCTCCGCAGTGGTTGGTGGCGATGATGACGAAGGAGTGGAGGTTGGACATCACGTCGGCGAGCAGGAGGTTGACGACGGCGCGGCGGAAGAAGAGCGGGTTGACGAGCAGCAGTGGCGCCTGGCGGGGCAAGGAGGAGGGCGGGGTGGGGGGGGCGGGGGCGGGCGGGGCGCATGGAAGGGGGGGAGGGAGGGTCGGGGGGTCGGTGCGCGGCGCAGGAAGTGTGGAGAGGGGGGAGGAGGGCGCACCGGCAGGAGCAGGAAGCGGATGAGCATGAAGGGGCCGGCGACCTTGCGCATGTAGTCGACGAAGTTGTAGCCGAGTGCTGGCGCCTCGGAGGCCATGCCGGGCAGGAACTTGCCGATGGTGAAGGGGTCGTGCTTGTCGACCGAGGAGGGGATCTCCTCGCCGTTGCGGCGCATCTCGTGCATGCGGAGCTGCTTGTACGTGTTTGGCGCGTAGTAGAACCACTTCCACATCGCCGCCACCGCGGCGACGGCGACGTACTTGAGCTTTGCGGGGAGCGGGAAGTCGCGCATCGTGACGAGGTTACGCTCGACGAGGTCGGGGTCGCCTGGAGGAGGAGGGGTGAGGGAGGGAGGGTGTGTGTGTGTGTGTGTGTGTGTGTGTGTGTGTGTGTGTGTGTGTGTGTGTGTGTGTGTGTGTGTGTGTGTGTGTGTGTGTGTGTGTGTGTGTGTGTGTGTGTGTGTGTGTGTGTGTGTGTGAGGGCGGCAAGGTGAGGGCGGAGGGTGAGGGCGGCAGGGCGAGGGCGGCAGGGTGAGGGCGGCAGGGTGAGGGCGGCAGGGTGAGGGCGGCAGGGTGAGGGCGGCAGGGTGAGGGCGGCAGGGTGAGGGCGGCAGGGTGAGGGATGAGGGGCGGGCGGTGAGTGGCGAGGGTGGCGGCGCGCCTGGCTCCCCGGTGCGGAAGTGGTGGAGGTTGTTGTGCTCGACGTTCCACGCCTCGGGCAGCATCCAGTCGAGCCAGTCCATAGCGCGCCGCTGCACGGACCCGAGTGCGAAGCCTGAGTCCGGGGCGGGAAGGCGTGTGGAGTGGGGTCTGCAGTCGGCGAGAGGAGGAGAGGCGGCGGAGAGCGGGAGAGGCGGCGGAGAGCGGGAGAGGCGGCGGAGAGCGGGAGAGGCGGCGTGAGAGGCGGCGGAGAGGAAGAGGGAGAGGCGAAGGGAGAGGCGAAGAAGGGAGCGGCGAAGGGAGAGGCGGAGGGAGAGGTGGCGGTAGAGATGGCGGAGGAGAGGCGCAGCGGGGGAGGTGCACCGAGCGAGGTGAAGCGTCCGGTGCCATCGTCCTGCTTGTTGTAGCCGCCGTGGCAGGTGTGGTGCGCAATCATCGTCCACCTGCCGCAGGCGAGGGCCGAAGAGGTCTCTCTCTCGGCGGCGAGGGCGGGGAGAAGGCCTCATGGAGTTGAGAGCAGGCTGGCGGCTGGCGGCGAGGCTGCGGCCGAGGAGCCGGTGTGGCGAAGCGAGCCTGGACATGGTCCACAGCGACAGGCCCATCACGGAGATGAAGTTGGGCTTCATCCACATGGTGGCGACGCCGACGGCGCCGCAGAGGTTGGACCAGAGGATCATGCGCTTCAGGTGCTTGACGTCCGCCTCGCCCTGCCCTTTCTCGAGCCGGCTGCCCAGCTCGCGGCACTCCTTGCCAAAGGCGGCGAGGTCGACGCGCGCGATCCACTCGTCCTCGGGCGCCACTGCGGCCGTCGAAGCCGCGGCATCAGGCTGCTGCAGCGTCGCAGCCGAGGCGACGGGAGGATGCAGCCGGCGAAGCAGCGGCGAGGCGTGCACGGCCGGAGCAGTGGCTGCCGCGACGCGCGCACGCACGAGAGGCGACGACGCGCTCAGCGCGGACGCCGGCGACGCCAGGCCTAGCAGCAGCAGCAGCAGAGGCGCGGCACGAGGGATCTCCATGTTGTTCATTTTGGAGGCGGACAGGTGAACCTTCGCTGAAGCGAAAAGAATTTCACTTTCGTCCGCATCACAGGGAAAAGAATTTTACAACGCAACTCAATGGGCAGGGGAAAAGAATTTTACAACACAAGGCGGTGGCACGACACTGGGCACGGGACTGGCGCGCGCTGGCACTAACAGGGCGCAGACGACGGCTTCCTTAGAAGCCGCCGTCCTCGCCATAGAGGAAGTCGTCCCAAGGCGGATGATCGAATCCGCAAGCACCGTAGTGCTCGCCGAGACAACCATCATCCCCCTCATCCAACTCCCACCGCTTCCGCTCCCGCCGCGCCCCCCGCTGGCGTCCCTGACGGGACTTCCCGCCCCCCCAGCCAGCGCCGCGCAGCAGAGCCAGCAGGTCCTCGGTGAGCAGCAGACGCTTCCCAGCCCTCACCTGCTCCCGCCACCCCTCCACCTCCCCAGCGATGCCCTCCCCCATCACCACCAGCGAACCGCGCCCGGGCCACCAAACCTCCACCCGCCACCTGTGCCGCTCCCCTTGCCGTCGACACCACTCCCGGCCGCAGATGTAGGAGCAGTTGTACTCCGCCACGAGCACCTCGACCATGGCGCCCCGCGCCGCGACCGAGAGCCGCCCGAAAGCCGAGTAGACCGAGCGACGCCACGCCGCCGCTCCATCCTCGCCGCGACTAGTCCCAAAGCCCCTCCTGTCCCACTCCACCATGCACGCCTCGACGACAGACGCTTCCTCCTCCGCCAGCACCCTCGCCAAAGCCACACGCGACGCAGAATCGCAGAAAGCGCCGCACGCGCCGCCCCCTCTCGAGCCTCCTCCTTCCTCCGAAGCGCATACCACCGCGCCTCAGACGCCAAGTACGACTCGACCGACCCATCGCACACCTGCCCCTCCTTCTCCTCCTCCTCCTCCTCCTCCTCCTCCTCCTCCTCCTCCTCCTCCTCCTCTTCCGCCTCGTCGGCCGCCTCGCCCGCCGCAGATCCCGTGGCCTCACCAAAATGACGCAGTTATAGGGTGTTGTGTGCCGTCGGAGTCACTCTCTGTGTGTCAGGGATAGTCAGGGCCGTCCATCAGAGCTCCAGTAAGCTCGGAGACACCCCATTAGCGCGGCTCGACCTCTTTGAGTCACTGCCTTCCCGCGGTTTGGCTGTAGAGCCTCTACAACAAACTCTACAGCAAAATCGCGCTCTACATCGCTCTACAGGCGACTCACATCGTCACGCGCCGGGTTAGAGCTCTACAGCTCTACAGCGCTCTACAGCTCTACAGCTCTACAGCGCTCTACAGCTCTACAGCTCTACAGCGCTCTACAGCTCTACATCCTCTACACCCTCCCTCAGGCACGGCAGCTCCTACCTTGACCGGGACGAGAGTAGCGGCCGCGTACCGTCATCGAGTCAAGCCGATTGTCAACTGCCCCCCCCCCCCCCCCCAGTTCGAATCCGGTCGGGCCTGCTGCCGGCCTCGTTGGCTCGCCAGGCCTGCCGGGCTTGCCCGAATTCGCTGGCGACGTTGGCGAGGCTGGGGTGGCTGCTGGGCATGGACGGACGTCGCGGCTGTGGCGTCCACGTCTAAGTTCATGGCTTCCGACCATACGCAGCGTCTAAGTCGGAGCCGGGCTCCGTGCGGGGGCTAAGTAGAGCGCTCGCTTGCTGTAGAGGCCAAGTGTGGAGCGACCCTCTAGCCCTACTACCCAACCATTGACAGCACCTGGCAGACAGCCTGCCTGACAAGCTGCTGACCTCGTCCAGGGACCAGGGGCTGAGCGTGCGCGGCTCTTGCGCTGAAGTAAATTCATTCGGCGCGAAGCTAGTGGTCGGCGTGGAATTCTTTTCTTTCGCTGTGTATACCACAGCTGCGCGACACAGCCCAGCGGCGAACGAAGTGCACGAGCACTCGCGCATCTTTCACCACCCCAACCTCAGCTCATCTCCCCTCGTCCTCCCCTCTCCTGCACCGCGACCCTCGCACACCGGAGGCGGCGCACTTGCGCGGCTCGCTCACAGCGACCGCCACGTCGCCACCCTGCGCGCTCCACCCAGCACAAGAAGTACACACTCCGCAGACACCCTCGCATCGCCGCACCTTTCCGCCTCCGCCACCGCCTCCGCCCCGTCGCGCGCGCCACCGCCGCGCCACTCCGCCTCACAGGCTCTCTGCTGCCCGCTCCCCGCCGCGCGCAGAAAACAAACCCGGTCGTCATGTCCAAGGAAGCGGTCCGCATGGGCAAGGTCTTCTCGGTGTCCGGCCCCGTTGTGATCGCCAACGAGATGTCCGGCTCCAAGATGTACGAGCTCGTCCGCGTCGGCCACACGCAGCTCGTCGGCGAGATTATCCGGCTCGAGTATGACAAGGCGACGATCCAGGTCTACGAGGAGACGTCAGGCCTGACGGTGGGCGACCCGGTCGTGTGCACCGCGCAGCCGCTCTCGCTGCAGCTCGGGCCGGGCGTGATGGGCCGCATCTACGACGGCATCCAGCGGCCGCTCGAGAAGATCGCCGAGCTCACCAACTCAATCTACATCCCGCGCGGCGTCTCGACGACCGCGCTCAACGCGGGCGACGTCTGGTCCTTCGTGCCCAAGAACGTCAAGGTGGGCGACGCCATCACGGGCGGCGACATCTACGGCGAGGTGCCGGAGAACAACATCATCACCCACCAGCTGATGGTGCCGCCCGGCACGATGGGCACCGTCAAGTACATTGCGCCCAAGGGCAGCTACACAATTGAGGACGTGATGATCAAGGTCGAGTTCGAGGGCAAGACGACCTCGCACAAGATGCAGCACTTCTGGCCGGTGCGCACGCCGCGCCCGACGGCCGAGAAGCTGCAGGGCGACCAGCCGCTCCTCACCGGCCAGCGCATCATCGACGCTCTCTTCCCGTCCGTGCTCGGCGGCACGTGCGCCGTGCCTGGTGCCTTTGGGTGCGGCAAGACGGTCATCTCGCAGGCGCTGTCAAAGTACTCAAACACGGACTGCATCATCTACGTCGGCTGCGGCGAGCGCGGTAACGAGATGGCCGAGGTGCTCAAGGACTTCCCCGAGCTCACCATGGAGATCAACGGCAAGACCGAGTCGATCATGAAGCGGACGACGCTCGTCGCCAACACGTCAAACATGCCCGTCGCGGCGCGCGAGGCGTCCATCTACACGGGCATCACGCTCGCCGAGTACATGCGCGACATGGGCCTCAACGTCGCGATGATGGCCGACTCCTCCTCGCGCTGGGCCGAGGCGCTCCGCGAGATCTCCGGCCGCCTCGCCGAGATGCCGGCCGACAGCGGCTACCCCGCCTACCTCGGCGCACGGCTCGCCTCCTTCTACGAGCGGTCGGGCAAGGCGACCATGCTGGGCTCGCCCGAGCGCGCCGGCTCCATCTCGATCGTGGGCGCCGTCTCGCCGCCCGGCGGCGACTTTTCGGACCCCGTCTGCTCCGCCACGCTCGGCATCGTCCAGGTCTTTTGGGGCCTCGACAAGAAGCTGGCGCAGCGCAAGCACTTCCCGTCGGTCAACTGGCTCATCTCGTACTCAAAGTACCTGCGCTCGCTCGACCCGTGGTACGAGGCCAACTTCCCCGAGTTCCCGCCCATGCGCACGTGCGTCCGCGAGCTGCTCCAGTCCGAGGACGACCTCACCGAGATCGTGCAGCTCGTCGGCAAGGACTCGCTCGCGGAGTCGGACAAGCTCATCCTCGAGGTGGCCAAGATCATCCGCGACGACTACCTCGCGCAGAACGGCTTCTCGGAGCACGACAAGACGTGCCCCTTCTACAAGTCCGTCTGGATGATGAAGAACATCGTCGACTTTTACAAGCTCTCCCACAAGGCGATCGAGAACTCGACCGCCGACAACAAGGTGACGTGGCTCCGCCTCAAGTCGGCGATGGGCGACACCATCTACAAGATCACCGCCCAAAAGTTCCAGCTGCCGAGCGACGGCAAGGAGACGCTCGTCAAGCACTTCCAGGCGCTCAACGACGAGATCTTCACCGCCTTCCGCTCGCTCGAGGACTGAGCGGCTTTTCGCGGCGCAGCGCGAGGCGGAGAGAGCGGTGCGCCGGTCGCTATTAGTCTCCTCGGTACGTCTAGAGGTTGTACAAAAGGCCTTGTTGTTGCTGGTTTATTCACCCGCGAAAACCCGCCACCCCCGCGCGACGACCGACGTCCGTGGAGCGTGGTCCCCGAGTCGAGCTCTGGCCCGCCAGTTTTTGCGGATTGTGCGCGCACGCCCGCCGACAGCAACGACCACAGCGCAGCTCCAGCTGTGGCCTCTCCCCGAGTCCCCGCTCCTGTCCCCCCTGTATCTCGACTAGATCGTGTATGCTGTATCCGTGTATGTGGGATATCGAGAGCTGGAGCACCTGGCCGCTGCGGCCTGCGCGCTGGAGCGAGGAGCGCTCGTCACTCGTTACCAAAGTGCTAGTGGTATACAATACCCCAGCTTTCACTGGCCTGCTCGCTCGTCGGGCCGCACGCCGCCCCCCGCGCTCTGGGGCCACTGCCGGCTGTGTCTCTCCTCTCCTCTCTCTGATTTGGTTCCTGCTGCTGGGGCACCGCCTCGCGCGCCTCCCCTCCTCCCGCGCACGACTCCTTCCTACGCTACGGCAGTGCGGCCGGCGGCCGGCCGTCAGAGTAGCACGACCCGCCCCTCGTCGATGAGCCTGCGGATGCCGCGCTGCGGACAGGGTAGGGGAAGGGGGTTGTAAGATCCTCTGCCCGAGGGAGTTCGGGCCGGGCATGCGCGTGCGCGTGCGGGGTGTGCGTGTGTGCGCGCTCTCGCCTGCTCCGCGAGCCAGTCGTGGAGGAGGGCGCCTGCGCACGCGAGCGGCGGGAGGAGGGGGGGGTGCAGAGCTCTCGTCTCGCCGGCGGCGGGCAGATGAGGTGCGGGGAGAGCGGGCGGCTGTGCGTCCACCTGCCGCGTTGACCTGGAGATGGATCCGCTGCTCCTTGTAGTAGTGGAGCTCCTCGCCCGAGTCGAAGCCGTCGAAGCCCGCAAGGTGCACCACGCAGCCGCTCTCGAGCAGCTTGGTCAGCATGACGAAGCCGGTGGTTGGCACCTGCGCGGGGCGGGCGGGTGCAGGAAGAGGGTGCACGAAGGGTGCACGAAGGGTCAAGGACGGCGGCAGGACGGCGGCAGGGCAGGCGGCAGGGCAGGCGGCAGGGCAGGCGGCAGGAGAGGCTGGCCTGGTGCAGCCTCAGTCCGAGGTAGCGGTGCGCTGCCCAGTACGTGCTCGCAGACCAGGTGCAGCTCCGCGGGGCGGGAAGCATGGGGAGGAGGTAGCCAGGGACGAAGAAGAGCGGGGCGAGGACGACGTGGTTCCTGCCGCCACCACACACCTCTGGTCAGCGCGTCCTGCCTTTGTGGCGGCCGGCGGGCAGGGCTCTTCACCAAGCGTAGCAGACCGGCACCGAGGGCGAGCGGCGCGAGATGTCGACGCCGCCGACGTGGTAGGGCTGCAGCATGTGGCACCAGAGCGAGGTTTTGCTCCCCGTGTGCTCCTCGAGCCCCTTGGTCACGAACGAGTTGAAGCGCACCACCGTGTCAAAGGCGTCGATCTGCCCGCCGAGGTGCCGCTTCCGGATCGACGGGCCGTTGCCCACGAGCAGCACCCTCCCCATCGGCTCGCAGCGGCTCGGCACGGGCAGCATGCCCGCCTCGCCCGAGCCCGCGGACGACTTGCAGCAGCTCCTCCCCAGCCCACCAACCGCGGGCGGGAGCGGCGTCGCGGCGGCGGCGGCGGCGCTGAGCGGCGGTCGCGCTCCGAGCCGGCAAAAGGTGCCGGCGCGCCAGCAGAGGACGGCGAGCCACGCCGCGCCGAGCGGCGGCAGCTCAAACAGCAGCAGGCCGAGAAGCGCCGCGAATATCAGCCACGCCAAGTAGGCATAGTAGGTCAGCGTGCTAAAGGCCCAAAAGACGCCGCACTGGCCCGTGAGCCGCTGCAGGATGGGCACCCAGAGCGGGATGGTCAGGCTGACGAGGACGTAGAGGCTGACGAGGACCCAGAGCGTGCTCAGAGGATCGGACACCAGAGGATCGGTCGTCACCGCGAGCAGCATCGGGCCGATGCCGCTGCGCGAGAAAAGATGTCCGCGAAGAAACGCCCTCGCTCACAGGTGGCGTTTATTTTTGCTTGGGGCGGACATCATGATGAAATTCTGGAAAAACCTGACCGGCCCCTGCGGTGCCCCTACCTACCTACCTACCTACCTACCTTACTTATGGGAAACTAAAAAAGAAATCACTCGATGGGTGAAGGTGGGGTACTATACCAACTAAAGTGATGGCTGGTGGTACTCTCCTGCACCCACAGTCCTTCCTGTGACATGGCAGGCCACTATCAAGCCCTACAAGCACCAGATCACCCACTTGGGGAGGGTTGACGTCGTGATTTCCGCGGAAAATTTCTTTTTCTGCTGTGAAAATTCCGGCGTGAAGAGAGGGAAAACCCCGACGGGAGGGCCCAGACCCTACCTACCTACCCCGTCATGATGTCCGCCCCAAGCAAAAATAAACGCCACCTGTCGCTCACATGACAAAAGAGCTTGTTCTTGACGTCGTTGACCCAGAGAGAGAGAGAGAGAGAGAGAGAGAGAGAGAGAGAGAGAGAGAGAGAGAGAGAGAGAGAGAGAGAGAGAGAGAGAGATGGGAGCACTCGAAGGAGCGAAGAAAAAGAAAAGCGAATCCCTCGCCGCCGCCCTCGGCGCGGCCCGGAACGAGTGGACCATGCGACGGGCCCGACTTCCCCTCCTAGCCTTTTCCGGCTGCGGCCCCGGCGTTGCTGCCGAGTCCGTGCGTGCGGTGCACTCAACTCGCTCGCCCTTCTGCCGGCCTGGCCACTTCCTCGGCGCGTCCACGGCGCGAGCTCCCTCCTCGACGAGCTCGCTTCGCACCGCGAAGCGCTCCTCCGCCGCGTTGAGCTCGCACACCGGTGTCTCCCTGACCGCCCGCCCGCTGCTGTGTCCGGGCGTGCGCGGCTTCGCTTCGCCGTCCGAGGAGCCGAAGAAGGAGCCGTCGCGGTGGGAGAAGATAAAGGCGACCTTTAGAGAGCACGGCCCGGTCTTTGTCGGCTTCTACGCCGTCACCTGGCTCGGCGGGTTTGGCGTGTGCTGGACGGGCGTGACAATCGCAGGCGTCGATGGCGTCGCCCTCCTTCAATACTTGGGTGTGTCTGTGCGCGATGCCGGCCACTCGCGCCAACCCCTCTGAGCTTGCCTCGCCCTCCTCTCCAGGCGCGGACAACGTGTTTGACACCAGCGCCCTGTCACCAACGCTGGTCAACGCCCTCATCGCGGCGGAGATAAACGAGCTGGGAGAGTTTGTTCGACTGCCTCTCGTGATCGCCACGACGCCCGCACTGAGTCGGCGACTCAAGGCGCTTCGAATATAGACGGTGCGCGCTCGAGGGCAGGGCAGCTCGCAGCGCGGTTTTGTGCCCGATTGTGCCCCGACTAGGGCGCTCGGCGTGCTTTTGTCGCCGGTGTGCGGGATATAAGATTTTCAGAGACCCAAAATAGTTGTCGCTCCAACGAGGGCCGCGACGGGCGCACACGGCTCACGAGCGGGAGGGAGCGGAGACAGTGGGCAGCGAGCGAAGTGGGTGAGACTGATGATGCTCCTTCGACTTAGGGAGCGGTTCCGCTGCTGGGCGAGCTTCAGGGTGGTGCTCACGCGAAAAGGAATCGACGCGATGTACAAAGCATACAAGGAGAGGAGAAAGAAGGGCCGAGCGTTTTTGATCTCTCGGTAAGTGGGCGCCCGCCCGCCGCCTCTGAGGGGGTCGGGCCCCCTAGACTGAAAACAAAAACAAGCTCGAAAACAGCCAAAATCAGCCTGCGAGAGAGGCACTGCGCGCCGCTGACCTCATGTGGGGATGTGTGCCGACACCAATACTGATCTAAAACCTGGAAACCCTTGTTCAAATCCGACCCTAAGCGCCATCCTTCCTGCTCTCACCTGATGCTGCTTCCCCGCGCCGCCTCCTTGGGCCCCCCTGGGCGTATTTTCTACTCCCAGGGGGGGGCCTGGGCCCCCGGGCCCCCTCTTGTTTTCTGTTTTCTGTTTTTCAACACAGAGGAGCGGCGGGCGCAGCAGACTCGATTGGGAGGCCGCGCTCGGCGTGTTCGACAAGCCAGTCCGCCATGGCGGGAGGGCACTACCGCGGCCACAGTGGTGGGAAAGCGGCAGGCTCGGGCTACTGGGTGGTGGAGCCTCTGCCACCTGGGGCGGCAAAAAGTCACCAGTTGGACACCATTCAAAGCCTGGCGGAAGCTGCTGCTGACGAGTCGGATGGGCAGGAGGAGCCGCGAGAGGAGGGACATGGCTGCGCCACGAGAGGGGGCCACGCTGGACGGAACAGCTCATCTATGGCCGCGATTCTAGACGCCAGCGGCGGCATGAGTGGCGCGGAGCTCCGCGCCTCTCTTCGGTGGGTCCGGTCGAGGTTGGACCGCAAGCTTGGCGAGTCGATGATGGCGTGGGCCTCCGACGGCGGAGCGGACGAGAACGACGCGACGGCCGACGAGGTGGCATCCGATGCCACGGTAGAGGGCGGGGAGGAGTTGGACGAGGAGGACGTGGAAGAGGCGGGTGCTGGGTTTGAGGAGCAGATCCGTCGGCTCGAGGACAGCCAGGAGCGCGGCGAGCCTCCGCTCGCATTGCACCCTCACCACGACCCTGCGACTGCGGGCGCCATCTCCCACGCGCGATCTGCGGCCCGGCTCGACCACGGAGCGACCAGCCAGGAGTTAGTGCGCCTACGCGACGAGCTCGCGGAAGCGTTGCGCGACGGTCTAGCCCTGGAGGCGCGCTCCAAGGCTGCTGAGGCGGCTCTCCACGCTGTCGAGGAGGCGAGGGCCGCCCAGGCTGCGGCGGCAGAGCTGGCTCATCAAGAGGCGGCTGATGCGACCGCGCGAGCCGAGGAGGCGGAGGCGGGACGAGAGGCGGCGCTAGAGGCGGCGGACGGCGCGCTAGCGACGGCGACGGCGGCCGCCAGGGAGGCGGAAGAAGCGGCGGCTGCCCGGGTTGCGGCGGCCGCCACGGCTACAGCTAGCAACGCTGAACTGTTCGCCGCGCTGGAGAGAGCCGAGGCAGCAGAGGCGGCAGAGTTCGAGACTGCCGCTCTGCTCGCAGATGAGCGTGAGGAGACCGCCCGACTTGCCTCAGCACTGGCCCTCTCGGAGGCACGGTGCGGAGCGGCAGAGGCGGCGATGGCGCAGACCTCGCAGGCAGACACGGAGCGGGAGGCGGTGCTCGCGGATCTGGAGGCGGCACGCGCCGAGCTGGAGAGTGCGGAGACGGCTCTAGAATCGGCGCGAACAGAAGGCATTGCCTCGGCAACGGCGGCAGCCACTCGGGAGGGGACGCTGCAGAGTGAGCTAGAGGCTCTCCGAGGTAGCCTGGCTCAGGCGGAGGCGTTAGCCGCGGCTCGGCACGACGAGATGGTCTCGCTCGAGGCGCGCGTCGAGTCCGCATCCGCTGAGGTGGAGTCGGCACGTGCGGCAAACGCCGAATGCGAGGAGCGGGCCACGGCTGCTTCGAAGGCGTTGGGCACTGCTCGCGCAGCCGAGGAGGCTGCGCGGGAAGCGGCGGCGACAGCGCGGCGCGAGCTTGAGAGTCTGGAGGCGGATCGAGCTCGTTTTGCGGCTGACGCAGTCAAGCTGCGGGACACTGCTGCTGAGCTGTCGTGCCGCGCTGAGTCGGCGGAAAGCCGTGCCGAGGCAGCCGAGAGCCGCGCTGATGCAGCCGAGAGCCGCGCCGAGGCGGCTGAGAATGCGCGCCTCGCAGCCGAGGCCGAGGCCGAGGGGCAGAGGGGCCACGTGGTGCGGCTTGAGAAAGAGGTTGCCGCGGCGGCGGAGACGGCGGCTTCGGAGGTCGCGGCATCGCGTGCGGCCCAGTGCAAGGCTGACGAGGCGACCGCGCAGCTCGCGGTGCTTCAAGCGAAGGCTGACTCGCTGGCGGCGAAGGCGGACTCGTTGGCCGCGGATGCCGCCGTGGCGAGGAAGGAGCGCGACTCGCACGCCGCTGAGGCGGGCAGAGCCGCGACGGCAAGCGAGGAGGTGCGGGCAACGTGTGCCCGAGCGGAGGGCCGCGCGGCGGACCTCGAGGCAGCAGTCAGCACGCTCGAGGGCGAGGTTGCCGCTCTCGAGGCTCGGCAGCATGGCCTCGGTTCGCAGCTCGAGATGGCAGGCGAGCTGGCGCGCGTCGAGGAGGAGAAGCGGCGCGTGGCGGAAGAGGAACTCGAGCTGCTGCGGGCGCGCGTGGCTCACGAGGAGGAGAAGCGGGCCAGGGCCGAGGCAGAGCGGCTGGCCAAGGAGGCCGAGCTTGCTGCGGTCCGCGCACGGCCCGCCTCGGGGAAGTCACGCGTCGAGAAAGCTGCAATTGTGCCTCAGCAATTCCGACCGTCGGGGCTCGGGGCGGCACCAGCGCCGGCGCGAGGCCCGACAGCCCCGCCGCGCCGTGCAGTTTCGGCACAGCCAGGTGCAAGAAAACGGTAGACGTCCAGCTGCATGGCGGTCGGGTCTGGAGGTGATGAGTTTTCTTGGGCCGGGTGTTGCGTTAGAGTAAGGTTACGCCGGAGCTGTACTCGTGTGGCTGTGTTTCTCAATTTGTGTGTTCTCGAATGTCGAGATACATTTGTGCTAGGTGATACAGCGCCGCCCGCGGGCGTCGCGGTGTGCGTCACCGCTACCGGTCAGTGCGTGCCACCCACACGACCAGCGTGCGCGTCGTGCTCGGACTGCTGTGAGTCAGTCTCTGCTCGCGTGGTGTCGGCCGGCGGGGCAACCATCGTGTCCGCCGGGCGGCGCCGGGGCGCGGGGGGCGTGCGCGCGTGGGCAGTCCAGACCGGGCTGTGTGCACCGGCGTGGGCGTCTGTACTGTATCATAATAAAAGCGCGAAGCCCCCCGTTCCGTCGCAGTCGCTAGTGGCAAGAGCGCACACACCTCTCTGCTCCCACGCCTGGCGCGCACGCCTCAGGACCTCAAGCGCAAAGCCACTCTCAGTGGGTGGCTGTGCGTGCGGCTGCACACGCTACGCCATCCCATGTCTCGACGTGCGCGCCGGATCCTGCTAGTAGATTGCCTTGTTCTGCCTTCGAGTTCGGCCTCATTCATCGGTCGGCGAGTGAGGGTCACATGCCTCCCGGCGCCGCCGCAAGCCTTCCTCCTGGCCTGAAGCATGTTGTGACCCGCCCGGCGCAACGGCTGCCTCGCCGTCGAGGGCACCCTCGGATTCGTCCTCAAAGCTCACCTACAGAGGCCCAACCGCTCCGACTCCACCCAACCGAACGTGAGCTCGCCGCAGCTGGTGGGTGCCCTCACCGGCGTGCTGGTGCTCTCGTCGCCGCGCCCCTCGCGGAAGACGCCGCCGTCCTCGCCCTCGCCCTCCTCGCCCTCGCCGTACTCCTCGCCGTACTCCTCGCCGTACTCCTCGCCGTACTCCTCGCCGTACTCCTCGCCGTCCTTGTCCGCCTCGTCCAGCCTGTCCTCCTCTCCCTCCTCCTCTTGCCCTCGCCACACCTCCCTCGGCATCTCACGCAGCGAACCGCCGCCACCGCCGGCCGTGCCGCGCAGCCGCACCCGCCTAAAGGACATGTGATGGACGTATCATGGGCATGTCGGGCGCGTGTGCGTGCCCCACGCAACCCTAGACGTGCCGGCGCGACCATGCCGAGCGAGAGCTGGAGAAGCCGCGCCGCGCAGAGTGCAGCCCGCCTCCCAGCCCGCCTCCCAGCCCACGGCCGAGCCCGCCGCCGAGCCCACCGCCTCCGAGCCCACCGCCTCCGAGCCCAGCGCCTCCGAGCCCATCGCCTCCGAGCCCACCGTAGGCCATCTCCGCCATCAAATCGCCGCCGCCGCCCATCCCACCCATCCCGCGGCTGTTCTTGAAGAAAAAGTAGAGGAGCGCCGCCCCGAGCATCAGCGGCATCATCACTGAGCGCACCGAGCCGAAGAGGCCGCTCCCTCGCTGCGCCTGCCGCCGGAGCTCCTTCGCTGCCACGAGGCAGCCGCTGTCGAGCGACCTGCGGACGTGGCGTGTGCTGCGGTGAGGGGGCTGGCCTCCGCTCCACTCGCCGGCACTGTGGAGGCCACACCCTTTGCCGATCGCTCCCGACAGCTTCTTGGTGATCCGCCGCGCCTAGCAAGCTTCCGAGCACCTTCAGGCGCCACGCCCCCCTCCCGCCAGCAGCGAGTGGCGTGCCTGGGAGCGGCCGATGCGGCGAGAGACGCGCGAGCCTGTCCACAGGTCGGCCTTGGCTGCCGAGACGGCCACCACCAACACCGCAGTGTTGTCGACCAGCCGCCGGTTGCGCCGGTTGGCCGCCTCAGCCTCTCGGCTCCCCGGACTCCCCTTCTCCACACTGACCTGCGGCCACCACTTCTTGGCGACGCCACGCCCGAGGTCACGAAGCTTGGTCCCTTCTGGCATGGACGAGAGGAGGACCATATAGCAGCGTGTGCCGGAGGTGGCGTTGACCAGGCTGAGGTTTCCGTTGAGCAGCTTGACCGTCTCCGGCTGCAAGAGCCGGTCCGGGTCTGCTACCCACGCACCGTCATCAGGCAGCTCGGGCAGGCGCGCCACGGCCTCAGCCGCACACGAGCCGTCCGACTCGGAGCAGGTCTGGCCCGCGGCGCGCCCGATAATGAGCAGGAGCAGTGGAAATTGAGCTGGAAATGGGAGAGGCAAGCCCATCAGGCACGACCGGCACGACCCTGGGCGGCTTCTTTGGCCAACTACTACAGATATACTCGAGCAGTGCTATACGAAAGTGTGAACAGGTTGGAGAACAGCTCCTGAGCACGGCGCCACAGGCGCCTGTTGATAGGTCCAGGTGATAGCCCTGGATGGGCAATGCATACGCCTAGTTGGGCCTCAGATCGCCCGACCGCGTCCCGGTGCTCTGTGGTCGGATTTGTGACGCCACCGCACCGCGCCGCGGCCGGGGGCCCGCCGGAGGACGAGGATGGCCGTGGCGGACCGGGACGAGCTCTGAGAGGTAAGGTGTCAGTGAGTATATTGTAGAGACTGACCATGTGCACAATATCTCTCAGTCTAAGCTAAGCCAGGGGAGGCGATGCTGGGGCCGTACATCAGCTTGATGGTGCTTCGCCGGCGTGCGTCCCGGAGCGGTGCCGGACGGGCGGTCCGTGGGAGGAAAACTCAGGACAGTGCCGACGCCGGGTCGCCGCTCTGATTCGACTTTTTACTTCAAACAAAGACAGTCGCACGCGCCGCAGTGCCGGTGCGTGCGACTGTCAGGAGCGGACCCGTCACTTACTTGTGTTCACGCCGGCATCGTGTCCTGACCAACCTGCCCAGACTTTAGGCTTGGACAGTAGGCAGAAGAATTTTACAACCGACCTCCCTCGCACGACACTGGGCACGGGGGACTGGCGTGCCAGTAGGCACAATGTGAATGGCTTCACCGATACCAAAGCCGTCCTCCCACCCATCCCTTGGGTGTCTGTTTTCTTTCTTTCTTTTTACCGCGTTGGTGTCCAGTCCGAGCCACGCACTAAAGAGGCATCTCTCCCTCAGCCGGTGAGAGCGGTGTGCCGGCGTCTGCGGACTTTAATCTTTTATCTCTTCACTCGTCTCTTGCGCTTGACCTTGAGAGGAATCTCTTGGTGCGTGCTCAGTTTTACATCCAACGTGAGAAGCTCTTTGGTATGACTTTAAGGCGATTCAGACACTCGCCCTGCAGCGTCGGGTCGCTCAACGTCACTCAGACCTCGCCGCCTTCGCGGGCGGCGGCAGCTCGGCCCCGTGAGCGACCAGGTGCTCCTGCAGCTTGACGAGCGCGCGGTAGCGATGTGAGATCTTGTTCTTCTCCGCCTTGTCCATCTCCGCGTACGTCTCGCTATAGCCCTCCGGCTGGAACACCGGATCCCACCCAAAGTCGGTCGGACCGCGCGCCGGCACAATCTGGCCCGGCGTCCGCCCATCAAACGTGATGGGAGTCTGGCCGGGACCGGCGGAGAAGCCGAATATGCACTGTGCGTACGCACTCTTGTCCGGGTACGCTGCGAGCAGGTTGTTGAGACCCTCGTGCCCCGTCTTCTCCAGAAACCACTTGATGTAGGGGCCGGGCAGCCCGCCGAGGGCGTTGAAGCAGAGCGACGTGTCCTCGACAAAGACGGGCCCGCCAACCTGCTCCGCGGCGAGCCTGCACTTCTCGCTGGAAATCTCCTCCGGCTCGCCCTGCAGCTCCGGCAGATCGAGCTTCTGGCTGACGATCCGGACTGGGAGCGCGTCGCCACCGAGGATCGCGCGCACCTCCTCAAGCTTCTTCGCGTTTCCCGTCACGAAAGTGACGACAGGCCGGCTGGCGCTCATGGTCAGGGACGCTAGGGAGCGGTGTGCGAAGCCGAAAAAGAAGAAAATGGGCCCGACGAGGAGATGGATGGAGAGTGGCGTGGTGGGCTACAGCCTGGCGCGCGCACTGGCTCACACAGGGCGAAGTAAGAATTCACCCTAACCTGTGACATCACAGTAAGAAATTACGCGGCGGACACACACTCCTCTCCTTAAATCCTCCCATCCCTGCCTTGGGTTGTCTGCTTTCTTTCTTTCTTTCTTTTCCTTAATTCCCTGTGTGGTGGCGGCGTGTCGTCCTCCCATCCCTCCCTTGCCGTCTCTGTTTTCTTTCTTTGTTTTTGGTCCTCCCATCCCTCCGAATGGTTTTTTGTTTCCTTTCTTTCTATCCTGTGTCGAGCCTGTGTGCTGTGAGAGAGAGTTCTTTTGTTTAAATTCTTTCTATCACGGAAAAGAAAGAAAGAAAACAGACACTGCCCGTAACCCGATACCGATCATCCGGCCCGCTGGGTGCGCTTCTCAGCTCCCCGGCCCTGGGATGTGAGGTTACCGACTGCACTCCAAGTGCTCCAAGACGACCCAAGGGAGGGATGGGAGGACGGCACGCCGCCACCACACAGGGATTTTAAGGCACGACACGCCGTCCGTGGACAGTTGGTCTTTATACGCTTTTCTCGCCGAGTACTATCTATATTCTTTTTGCGTATTCTTTCCGTAATTCTTGTCCAAAATAGGGTCTATATTCTCGTATATGGCAAGAATATGGCTCCAAATAGGGCCTAGCTCGACCCCACGATAGCCTCCGAAGGCTGACTTTGAGAGAGTTTGTTTTCTGACTTTGCGGCACCATCATCGGACGATGTCGACGAGTTGGGTCGCTCTCGCGGTAGCCAGATGACCTCTCATACTGGTAGTATCGGCCATATGGCCGCAGGGAGCGCGGGGGAGGGCGCTGGAAGCAACACGGAGCTCCGTTGGAGACGTTTTCAAGATTAGCGTGTCAGAGTGAAATGGCACTAGCCAATACCAGAAATAATGTATGTACTTTATATGACAGGAGAAAAGACGGCCACTTGTTGTGTGTTGTGGTGGTGGCGCGACTGATCTCGGGGATGGATCGCTCACTTTGTTTATTTATTCATAGTACGACTTCGGTCGTGCCGGCTGGCTGGGCGCCTGCGTGCGGCCACAGAGAGAGCAAGCACGGACTGAGTGCGGCGGGGCGCGGCGACGGTCCAGCAGAGCACCTGCACACTTAGTTCGCGTCCGTCCACTGCGGACACTCTCAGGACACGTGCGAGAGCAAGGTCAGAGCGCGCAATGGCCACGGCTCGTCGGCGGCTGGCTCGCTCAGCAGGTGAGGCTACCCGGGCGGCGCCGGCGCCACCAATAAGGCGAGCTCAAACCGAGCCGGCACCTCGGACTGTGCAGCTGCTGCGCATCAGCACGAGCTGCGAGCCAATGAGCAGAGCGGAGGCGGCGCACTCAAAGCTCACGTTGCTGCCACGGGTCAGCGTAAGCATCGAGGGCGGGAGGGACAGTATACGCGCGGGGGCGCCGTCTCCGCGGCGTTCCTTGACCATTGCCGTCAAGCGGCACCGGCACCACGAGGGTGTCATCGCCACCACGACAGTATCGATCGACCTGCGGCGACTCATGTTGTGGGCAGTCGCGCTCTCGCTCATCGCCTCATCCGCCGCGTACACGACGGCCGTGGTCACAGATCCGGAGGCGGCAAACGGCCGATCCGACGCGCGAGAGCTGCGAGAGCTGCGTGGGCTGGACGAGGCTGGCGAGTGGCGCCGGAGGCATGGTGGAGCCCATTCAGGCGGGCGCGGCAAGTCAAGCTCGAGCGGCTGGTGGTGGAGGCGCGCAACTGAGAGCGCGCCGACCTCAGACGGTGCCCTTAATGCGAACGGCCGCGCATGCGACGCGTCGCAGCCCGCGGTCGGCCACTGGGTGCCGCTGCCGGAGCCGCCCTACGCGCTCCCGACGTCGGCCTTCCAACGGCTCAAGGGGAAGGCGATACCCGACGAGAAGCTGGCCGGCTCCATGGCCGGCCCCACCTGCAGCCTGGCCAAGCCGTCGCGCCCGCACTTTGAGTGGGAGGCGGAGGGGTGCGAGCTTGCGCCGTTCGAGCGCGAGACGGCTTGCGCGCTGCTGCGCTCGCGCGGCATCCGGCAGGTGTTGATCGTTGGCGACTCGCTCTCGGCGCAGTTCTTCGTCTCCTTCACGATGCTGCTCGAGGGCGAGGAGGGCTTTGGGCCGCCCCGGCCCGCAGAGCACAAGAAGCTCCGCGGCAATATGCTCTTCGACGCGGCTGCGTCTGTCTGCGACGACGAGGTGCGGGTCTCGCTGCAGCGCAACGACCTGCTCGCGCTGAGCTGTTCCGGCCTTGAAACGGGGATCTTCAAGGCCTGCGACGGTTCCATCCTTACCGCCCCCTGGGGTACGCGCGCCGTGCACGATGCGGACCTGGTGATCCTTGGCAGCGGCATGCACTACCCCTCGCTGCCGCTCAAGATCAAGAACCAGAGCGCGCCCGGTCTCGCCTCGGAGTTTTTTGCGCGCAATCTGAACCATACCCTCACCACCCTCATCGCGCACCGCGCCGTCGCAGAGCTGCGAAACGGCAGCTCACACCCCTCCTCGATCGTCGTCGTCGGGCCGCCCGTGCCCGTCCCGGCGTGCAACACCTTCGCGTCGCCCGTGCACCCGGCGGAGGCGCTGCTCGCCTCGAGCGAGAGCGCGTCCAAGTTCGCCGCATCGTGGCGTGACGTCCATCGCCTCAACGCGGCGGCGCGCTGGCTAGCGCTGCGCCATGGCGCCACCTTCCTCGACGTCTCGACCTTCACGCAAACGCGGCCAGACGCCGCGGTCGGCTCGTACGGTCGCGGCTCGGCCAAGGTGGTCGATTGCGTGCACTCGTGCCAGCCAGGGCCGCTCGACACGTGGGTGCGTCTTCTCGTGCACGCCCTGCGCGAGCGCCCTGACACAGCCAGCCCCGCCCAGCCGGAGGCGAGATGGTTTCTCGTCCCGCGCTCCGAGTGGCTCGAGAAGGGCGGCTGCGCCTTTGAGCAAAACTACCCGGGCTGCCACAACACCCACAGGCTCCCAGGACCGGCCCCCTACTACTGCATTAGCGCGGCGCCGTGGTTCCCATTTGGGCGCTGCGCGCAGGGCGGTGCCGCCGCTGTGACCATAGTAGCGAAACAATGCGAAAAGCGGGGAGGCTGGTTTTGACGAGAGAGGGCGGACTGATATGTCGTCGTGCCTCTCTTGGCTACTTTTTGAAACGGCTCGCAGTGAGGGTGCGAAGCTGCAGCGGCGAGGGGCGCCACTGGCTGCGGCGCGGCGGCGCGCCTGCGGCTGCGTCTAGCTAGATCGGCAGCAGATTAAGCGGGTCTCCGTGCTTCGGCCTTCGGGCGCCTCTCTCGTGCTCGTCTTTTGTGGGTCGGGGTCTCCTCTTCCTTCTTCCCTTTCTCGGCACTCAGAAAATGATGATATGATTGATTGATGTCTGTTTATCGTTTCGGTTGTGTGTGCAGCCACACGAGGCAGTCCCCCCACCCACGACACATACATACGTGTCACTGCACACTGGCTGGTCTCTTCTCGACGGCACGTCCACGTGCCACGTGGGGAAATAAATACTCCGCTTCGATTACCTGCTCAGGGCGTGAAGAAAATGGAGTTGCGGAAGGCACCGCTCAAGATTCAGGAACGCATCCGAGCGAAACCCCGCGAACAAAAACCGAAGCGACCGTTTGCGTCATCACAAGTTTATCGCAAAGTTGCCCGGAGCTCCGCTGCAGCACGACACAGACACACACACACCAGCCTGCTGCGACCGGTCTACAGCTGCGTATCTCGCGAGACGTTCTGAGTGCAAGCTGCGTGCTGCGTGCTGCGACAATGGCCGCCACCATTGACGAGGATGTTGTGGAGCGCCAATTGGCCAGCTTATTGCGCCAAGCGCAGCTCAACCACACAACCATTCAGGCAATGTGGAGAACAAACGAGGAGCTCTCCGCGCAGCGCGAGTGGCTACTGCATAAGGTACGACGCAACTAAGCTGACAAATCCCGCTCACTCTCCCACACTGCTGACCCATCCCTCTCCCCTCTGCATTCAGAGGTCGGAGCCGCCGCCATCCACCGCAGAGGTACCCGAGACATTGAGGCGGGCTGAGCGATCGCCAGCAGAGGGCGAACGGCCGAGAAGGCTTTCTCGCTCGCGGCCAGCTGATTTTGAGCAGGCAGATGCAACTGCGGAGGACAGGGGTTCGCCGACCTCGTCCTGCCGGGACTCTGCAGATGCCAATCCTCCAACTTCTCCCTCCGATGTGATGACAAGCTTTGCCCCCACCTGCTTATGATGTATCCTCCACTTCAACCTTTGTGACGATTGTGCATGTGCATGGTCATGGTACGAATTCGCGCTTGCCGAGGACAAGAGCGCGACAACTCTGAACGCACAGCAGGCACAGGTAGAGTCTAGAGAGAGTTGACCCGATTGACCGGACGAAGTTCCTACACGTGTTTCTTGGTTGTGTCTTGCGTATGAAGCAGACTCTGGTCGACGCAGTCGCCAGAGAGGGCTACAGCGCTGTTATGCGTCGCATCCCACTTGTCACGCACTTCCACGGGTCCGAGAGGTGGCACAGGTGCGTTCCGCGTTTTTGGAATTGCTGCAGCGCATTTTTTGCGGTCGGGGCATTTGTGTACTTTTTTCATCCTACGCGGGGAGACCTGGGATTACGCTCTCTTTTATTTCTGGGGGTTGACGTTGTAACCACACACACGTAAACGCTCGCTCCAGCATCAAAGGCCCCATGCTCGGCTGAAGGTTCCAAAGCGGCGGTCACGATCGCTGTATGAGGACTTGATCCAGGACTTCGGCTGAGTGCAGCTCGCGCAGCTCCGCGTGAAGTCATCGGCGGTCGCTTCGTCCCTAACGATGCGAATTGGCTGCGGCGGCGCAAACAGCTTGAGCACGAGCCAGGCGACGGGGCGCCAGAGTGGGCTATGCAGCAGCAGAACGTGCGCCTGGACTCTGCTGTCCCACTGCTCAGCGTGCTTGTCGACCCACGACCGCACCAGGCCCAGCTGACGGCCGCCGACGCGGGGCCATCGCACCGCTCCCGGGTCCCACAGCACGGTGAAGGGCCTGCGCCGATCGAGGGTCCGGCTCATAAAGGCGAGGAGCGCGGTGAGGGTGGCTTCGTCCACGGTGCGGCCCAGTTGCACGAGCAGCCGCGGCAGTGGTCCAGCGCTTGGCGCTCGCAGCAGCTCCACCGTGCCACCATGGCCGAGCGAGACGGGACCCAGCAGCACTGTGGCGTCTCTTGCTGCAGCGGAGGGCGCGGGCGACGAGTAGGTCCACGCCAACGCTACAGCGAGCAGCACGGCAGCAAAGGACGTCAACGAACCCGACATCAGCGCTCTGGTATAGCCCCAGCCGACTCCGTGAACTCTCGCGGGGCTCTGCGGAGTGGCTTCGCGGCGGCGCCCAAACAGAAGAGAAAAAGAATTCTCCACATAAAAGCCTCTCTCACAGCACACTGGCACGAGAAAAAGAATAGCGAGAGGAGGAGGATATTCGACCGACGGACGTACGGACACATGTGTAAGAGCGCGCACGAGTGGGTGTGCGAGCAATATCGAAAGACGGTGAGGCCGGGATCGCACACGGCAGGGGTGGCGGGACGGTTGTGGAGCGAAGTGGCTGTAGCCAGTCTCAAGCATCGATGGGACAATAAGATGAGATTGCCAGATGAGTGAGAATGGGGGGAAGGACAGGCGAGCGACATTTGACGACGTAGGAGCCACAATGTGACGACCAAAACGATCTTGGGGGCCAGGGTGAGACAACAGGTCGGGGTGCCACACGCCACACGGGGCACACCACAGGCCGTATTCTAGAGGGGGGAAAGAAACGGGGAATGAGGGGCCCCGCCACGAGAAGTGCGTTCTGGGGATGCAGAGGCAGCGTGCAAAACGGCGAGGGATGAGGCCACAAAAGAGGCGCGCGAGGCAAGGAGGAGACGCGGGGAACTGGGAGACTGGGACGACTGGAAACAAGAAGACAGTGAGCCACCACAGGCGTCGTTGGCGCACATACTGAGCGGCAGCTGCGCTGGAAATAAGGAAGAGGCGCGTCACTTCATGCGGAAGCTTGACAAACACGCGGCGTGGGCGACAGCAAGAGTCGAACGGACGGCGCCTGACTCAAAAGACACCGCCACATCCCTGAGACGAGGGAGCGAGGGCAGCCTCCTTAAAGGCAATGGGGTCTAGATTCGGAGCGCTCGCCGAAGAGGAGTACGACAAAATAGCGCCCGTGATTGCCTGCACGCTGCCCGCACTCACGGACTCCATACCCGAAAGAAAGAGAGGGGAGCTCGCAGGAGAGGTGACGAGAGTGAGAACTACAGGTAGTGGGGAAGGCAGCCTCGATCGCCATACAGACATGGGTGCGAAACAACGACAAGACCAAGGCACGGGCAGAGGGAACGAGAGAAGAACATAGGATGGATAGGGCGCCTGTTCACGGCATGGAGGGTGAGCCAAGCCGAACGTACCGAACGTAGAGCCGAGCGGAAGGAAGCGGGGGAAGATGACTCCGAGGAGGACGAACCAGTGGAAATCCCGTTGTCAGCCGTCACGATGCACCCGAAGGGGACCCCAGCGCCGGCATCATCCGTGAAGGCACAAGTGTTCGAAGAGAGAGTAGACCTGAGCAATGATATGACTGGGCGGCAAATGATAGCAGTGGGCGTCAGAAGAGTCGTCCTTGCGCGAGGAGAGCTCGATAGACTCGAGGGGCCAGGATATGCAGCAAGGAGGGCGGAGCTGCGCCGAAAGGCGAAAGAAGCCGAGAGAACAAGGGAACGGCAGGCGGCGGCGGCAGCGCAGAATGAGGCAGAGGAGAGCGACGCGACAGAGGAAGAAGCGACCAGGGAGAGCACGACGAGAAGGGGGCGACCGGGAGGTGGCACGAAGGTTGAAGCGAGAATCGGAGAGAGACTGCGAAGAGAGATAGGAAGAGGCGGACGCCCAAGGGTGGGCGACGGCTAGCACCACACCCCTCTCCTTAAAATCCCTGTGTGGTGGCGGCGTGCCGTTCTCCCATCCCTCCCTTGGGGTGTCCGTTTTCTGGTCTTTACTACATACTAGGCACGGGACTGGCGCGCACTGGCACTAACACAGGTACATCACTAATGAAAAGAAGTTTCGTGCATTTACCCAGACCGCGCTGCTCCCTTGGCCTTGCGCCTTGGGGTGTCTGTTTTCTGTCTTTTTTTCGCGCTGGTATCCACGAGTCCGAGCCTGCTGACTGTCGTCTTCACCCTCCTACATACACACTCGGTTTGTGCCTCCCGCCTGCACGAAACACCGGGCGTACCACGGGACAATAGGGGAGCTCGCTCCAGATCCGCGCACCCCCGCCTCCACCACCCTGCTAGACCTGCCGCCCCCGCCGCCGTTGCCGCCGCCCCCCTTGCCCGGCGCGCTGCCACCCGCGGCCTCAGGCTCGGCTCTCGGCGGGAAGTCGACCGCCCTCTCCTCGAGGAGGCGCAGCAGCCGGCAGCCGCAGAGGAGCTGCTCTGGCATCTGCTCCTCGCCGCGCGCCTACAGGGAGGGCGCCCGAGGAGGTTCCGAGAAGGGACCCCGGCAGAGCGATATGTGCTGACGCCGCGCGCCTCGACGAGCAGGCCGTAGTCGAGCTCGAGCCTACGGGAAGGCTCCGAGACGCTTCCGAGAAGGTTCCGCCACCAGGCCAGCCGTAGCCGAGCTCTCGCCGGCGCAGCGACGCGGAGCGCAGCACCTTGTTGATCGCGGAGCGGGTGCCGTAGCTGAACTGGTGCCCGTCGAGGTCGATCTCCAGGTACCTCTCGCCGAACACCTCGCCGCGGAAGAAGACATGCTGCGGACGCGTCAGCACGGGCTTGCCGTTGAAGCGGCGCAGCAGCGCGGCCACCGGCCTCAGAAGCAGCTTGGCAGCAGCGTCGAGGTTGGCGACGAGCCCAATCTCCTTGAGCGCGTCCGCCACACCCTCGTCGCGGTAGGCCCGCAGCAGGAACCGTTTCAGCACCTCCGCCGCCCCTCGCGGCGGCGCGTCGCCGTCGTAGGCGGCGGCGATGCCGGGAGAGAGCCGGACGTAGGTCACGAGGCAGAAGGTGTCGCCGTCGGTGGCGGCGCTGGTGAAGAGCGTGTGTCGCATCCGCATCGGCAGCATCTGGACGACGACCAGCCACTCGGCGTACGGCTCGCGCCAGTCGCTGCTGCCGGCTGGCAGCCGTATGAGTCCGTGCTGCAGGAGGTGCATCGGCTTCCTCGGACAACGCAGCGTGTCCATCGCCACGACCCTGCCAAAGGCTACCGCGCTGGGGACCTTGCGCCCGTCCCGGTGGTACGTCGGACCGCGGACGCTGAATCCTCGCGCCGGGCTCGGCATCCAGGCGTGATCGTCGGACGCTGCGCTGGCCTGTGGCAACGACGCACCGGCATCCATCTTTGCCGAGCCGGCGAGTGGCGTGATGCCGGGTTTGCGCTGCTGCTCGTTGAGCCTCGCGCAGATGAGAGAGATTCGTTGGCACATGAGATACAGCAAGAAGGTGATGGTAGCTTGGAACGCTAAGCGTGTGGCCTCTGTCGACAGCCCCCATGAGACGAGGCTGACCATCGTCAGGACCCTGTTGAGGTCTCCGACGAGGGAATTGGCTCTCATGCTCCAGCGAGACTCGAGTTACCTTGTTTTCTTTTTTCGTGCCAATTGGCCGAGCCTGGCGTTCTTCACCTTTCTACCTACCTACCTGGCCGAGTTGTTCATTCCTTCTACGGATCGCTTGTCACGTGAGAGACTGCGTTGTGTTCTTGTACTTGTTTGGTATGGGCTTTCTCTTTCTAGCCATCTGGCCCGCATTTAGCATTTTGGCGCAAGAAAGAAGCCTCGCGATCTCAGGACATCTCCTCGCCCGACGCGACAACTTCTATGCTCCAGCCACCGGCCGGCTCGGATGTCGCCGGTGGCGCCGTGACGCTGCGGCGGCGCACGGCCCCGTCCGCCGGCCGGCGGACCATGCCCAGGTTGTAGAAGGAGGCGGAGGGCAGTGCGGCCCCGCTCGGCCGCCACGCGATCCAGCCGGCCGCGCGTACGGCGCCCAGGTCGCTCGCGTGGAGGGCTGCCGCGTCCATGAAGTGCGGGTCGAGGATGAGAAGCTCCGGCTCGCCCGCTGCCCCACCCCGCACGCCGATGACGGTCTTGCTGTAGACGTCGCCGCCGCCGCCAACCATCACCGGGCCGCCGCCAGCATCAAAGTGTGCAGCGAGACGCCGCCACTCGGAGGCGAGCGCCAAGCCCGATGCCAGCGGCAGCACCTCCACCGCCGCGCCGTGCAGCGCGTCGAGCAGGGTCACAGCGTCAGGCACGCCGATCCACTCGCGGGCGCCGACGCCAAGCACCTGCTGCAGCTCCGGGATGGACGGCGGCGCTGTGTCGGGCGCGAGCCAGCTCAGCTGCGACTGCACCGTCCGGTAGCCACAGCCCCAGCCGCAGTCGTCGTGTCTGTCGCAGGCGTAGTGGAAGAAGCGCAGCTTGCCGCAGACGAGGTGCTCCTCTGCGGCAGATGCGGACGAGGCGCCGGCAAGCTCGCGAGCCGTGGCGAGCGGTGGGAGCATACGTGTGAGACGTCCCCAGGGTGTGGATGTCGTCGATGTCGTCAGAGACGATGTCGTCAGAGAGAGAAAGGTGCGCAGTTTTTTCTTTTCTCCCCTCATACCGCGTTGGTGTCCAGTCCAAGCCTGACTGTTCTTCTTCACCTACCTAGGTAGACAGAGAGATGATTCCGGTGTGTATGCGCTCGCGAGGCACTCCCACGCCTGACGGGGGGCGAGGGAACCCGAGAGTGCTGGGGCGAGCCTCGGCGAGACAGCGTTCAGCTGAAAGAAAGAAAACTAAACTGTCCGAGAAGGCCACCTCCCACCGGAAATCTCTCTCCAAAAGCGCATGTCTTGAAGGTCCGATACTGGAAGCCCATATAGGCACCTTACACTCCCCCGCAGTATCGCACCTCTTGAGCGACACTACGTTTCCGCAGCTGGGGATTCTCCGGGTACCCCTCTTTGTACCCCGTGCTGGCCGGATAGCGGCGGATTCCAAGGATAAGAGAAAAGAAACTCATGGGCTCGGGCTCTCTCGGCTACGGGACCGGCCCCAGCTTCGGCTGAGGGCTAACAAGCTGCCGAGCCCAAATCACTGTGAGCACTTGGAGCACTTGGAGTGCAGTCAGTAAACCGTGAGCACTTGGAGCACTTGGAGTGCAGACTGCAGTCATTAACCGCACATCCAGGGCCGGGGAGCTAAGAAGCGCACCCAGGAGCGGGCCGGATGATCGGGATCGGGTTGCGCGGGCAAGAGAGCCCTAGCCCTGGGGGTGCGCGTTCGCAGGGAAAGGGCCGTAAAGTAAACACGGGTCTCCGAGGGTTAGCCCCGCGTACCGGGTTTCCCCTTAACTGCAGGACGCCCCCTCTACTCGGAGCTAATGAACACCACACTGCACACCCCACCCCACCACTCGACACTCACTTGCGTAGACGTTTGAGTAGACCCCCCCGTCTGAGGGCTCACCCCTCGCCTTCCCAGGGTCCCGACCGCGACCCTCCTTGATTCGCTCTCTTGCTCGTCTCCCGAGCGTCTGAATTCGGACGCCTGTGCCACCCTCCACACACTACACACTACACACAGTGTACTAGCACGGCGCATCCCGCGCCGTGCCCCAAATGTCAATACTCGAGCTTCTTTGTGCTCAATCGTGTCACGGTCCTACGTCCCTTGGCCAGAGCGACCGGAGAACCAGTGTTTTGATCCTTTACAGTCCTACATAGAGCCAGCCACCCTCCGGCTCTGAGCCTCCGCGCTCAAACGCCGAGCGTTATGCGACGACCGGTATGGTCGTTTCCCTCGTTGTTGGTGTCGCTTTCTCCGCTGTCGCCCTTCGTCTCCGCCAGCTTCTCCCGGCTCCACCGCTTCCGAAGGCGTCGACGGCCCGGCCGAGGTCTCCCCGGGCGAATGCGGCCGCAATGGATCCTCTCGTCGCGCCTCCCAGGGAGGTCGAGCCGGCTCTCCCTGGTCGGCGAGTCGCGCGCGCCCGCATCCGCGGCCTCTCTATCGTTCTCTGCGGGTCGTGATTTCTTGTTGGTCTTCAAAAATCTCTCTCGGATTCCTCCTCCGAACAAGTCAAGTTCGATCGGCCCCAGTCTCGAACTGGCAGCCACTATCTCACCGGAGGTACCATGATCCATGTCCGAGGAGGCCACCGGCCAAAAGCGCATGTCTTGAAGGTCCGAGGGATAGGGGAGGAGGAGAGGGTCCCCACCTGCACGAGCAGGATTTTGGAAGGACGTTAGGCAGCCGTCTTTCTCACTTTAAAATTCTCACTTTTCGAGCGGAGTGTTGACTACGAGGCGTCCTCGCCCTAGTCCTCGCGTCCTACGCTATTCTCGCCTCGACCACCTGGTCCGCGACTCTCGCTTTTCGCAATGGACGATGACTTCCCTCTCGTGATGACTCTCGACGACGACGACGTCGATGACGGCGCGTCGAGCGATGGCAGTGACGACTTTGCCCTCGCCGCCGCCGCCGCGCCGGCAAAGGGCGGCCGCAAGGCGCGGCACGCGCGCGACGTCAGCAGCAGCGGCATTGCCGACATCGCCTCCGACCTGGTTGCGAGCGTGGACGGCTCGCACGGGCTGGCCGGCTCCACCGCTGCACTAGCCGAGGCCGAGGTGGCGGGCGTGGGCGTCTCGTGCCGGCATGCGACACTGGAGGCGAGGCTGCAGTCGCGGGCGGCTGTGCTCGCGGCGGAGGGTGCAGAGGGCGAGGCGGAGGAGGCGGAGGCGGAGGCGGAGGCGGAGGCGCTGCGCGAGGTCAAGAAGGGCAGGCGAGCCCGCGAGGCAGCCGCGGCGGCAGAGGCTGCTGCGGCTCGAGGCGGGCGCGGCAAGGAGAAGGGCAAGGAGAAGGGCGGAGAGAAGGGCGGAGCTCGCGCCGGCTCCGCCGCCGCTCCGGACGAGGGGGGGCCGGCGGCGGGAGAGGCGGGCGGGAGCGAGGCTGGCGAGGCTCTCACCCGGCCGGAGGCTAAGTCCTTCAAGGAGCTCGGCCTGTCGCTGCCGCTGCTCAAGGCGGTGCAGGAGCTGGGCTTCGAGGCGCCGACGCCCATCCAGGCGGCGGTGGTGCCGGCGGCGCTGCGCGGGCTCGACATCTGCGGCTCGGCCGTCACGGGGAGCGGCAAGACCGCCGCCTTCACACTCCCCATCCTCGAGCGGCTTCGGCACCGCTCGCGCCGCGAGCAGGCGGCGCCGCGCACAGCTCGCCTTCTCAGTGATCGCACCTTTCGTTGTTAGGTACCGCTCGCGCCGCGCGCAGGCGACGCGCGCGCTCGTGCTCTGCCCGACGCGCGAGCTTGCGTCGCAGTGCGAGGCGAGCAGTAGCAGTAGCAGTAGCAGCAGCAAGCAGTAGCAAGCAACAGCGGCAGCGTGCGAGCAAGGGTCGGCTGTCTCTCGGCTAGACTTCGGCTACCTCTCCCCTGCAGGCGATGGGCCGCAAGCTCGGCGCCCACTGCGACGCCCGGTTCGCACTCGTGGTCGGCGGCCTCTCCTCCTCGCTGCAAGAGGCTGAGCTGCGCACGCACCCGGAGGCGCGTCGCCGTCGCGGCGGCCGGCATGCCGCAGGGGCTCTTCTCGGACCCGTCCCGGGACGCGTCCGCGTAGGTGGTCGTCGCGACGCCCGGCCGGATGCTCGACTTGCTGCGCAACTCGCCCGCCGTCGGGCTGGAGGCGCTCGAGATTCTGGTGCTGGACGAGGCGCGGGAGGGAGCCGAGAGGCAGCCCGAGAGGCGCATCTCGGGTGATCTCGGGCGATCTCAACAGGCGGACCGGCTGCTCGACCTCGGCTTCCGGGCCGAGGTGGAGGAGGTGGTGCGGATGTGCCCGCCGGAGAGGCAGACCCTCCTCTTCTCGGCTACCATCTCCGCAGAGGTCGCAGAGCTGGCGAACGCGTCGCTGCGAGAGCCGCTGCAGGCCCTCCCCCTCTCCGCTCCCCGCTTCTCTCCGCCTCTCTCCGCTTCCCCCGCCCCCCCCCTCCCCTTCCGCCTCCCCTCCCTCCCCCGCACGCGTCAGCGGGCCGAGACCTGCCCCCGCCCTCGAGACGTGCCCCCGCCCTACCCCCCGCAGGTCAAGGTGGACGCGCTGTACGGCGTCGCCGAGCGGCTGGCGCAGGAGTTCGTGCGCATCAAGCCGGGCAAGGAGCACGAGCGCGAGGCGCCCCTCCCCTCGCTCGTCCCTACCCTCGCTCGCCCCCTCCCCTCGCTCGCCCGCGTGCCCTCGCAGTGACCCTCGCAGTGACCCTCGCAGCGACCCTCGCAGCGCGCCGCGTCTCTTCACACGCGCCCGCCGCGGACAGGCGCTCCTCCTCTCGCTCGCGAGCCGCACCTTCACCTCGCGCGCCATCGTCTTCGTCTCGTCAAAGGCAAAGGCGCACCGGCTGCGCCTCCTCTTCGGGCTCTCGCAGCTGCGCGCGGCGGAGCTGCACGGCAACCTGACGCAGCTGCAGCGGCTGCAGGCCCTCGAGACCTTCCGGCTCGGCGAGGCCGACTTCCTCATCGCGACCGACCTCGCCGGCCGCGGACTCGACATCCGCGGCGTCGAGACGGTCATCAACTACGAGCTGCCCGCCGAGATGGCGACGTACGTCCACCGCGTCGGCCGGACCGCGCGCGCGGGCGACGCCGGCCGCGCCGTCTCGCTCGTCGGCGAGGGCGACCGCGCCTTCCTCAAGCAGGTGCTGCGGCACGCGCGCGGCGCCGTCAAGTCTCGCGTCGTGCCGCCCGTCGCGGTGGCGCACTGGGCGGCGCGGATCGGCGCGATGGAGCCGCAGGTGCGCGAGGTGCTGGCGGAGGAGGCGGAGGACCGCGCGCTGCGGGTGGCGGAGATGGAGGCGAACAAGGCGTCCAACCTGCTCGACCACCGCGCCGAGATCCTCGCGCGGCCGGCGAAGACCTGGTTCCAGACGCCAAAGGAGAAGGCGGCCACCAAGGCGGCGGCGATGGCCGCGCCGCTCTCCACGCCCGCGGCCGAGGCGGCGGAGCGGCGCGCGCGGCTCGAGGCGGAGGCGGAGGCGGCGGCGGCGGCGAGCCGGGAGAAGCGGGCAAAGGCGAAGCGCGACAAGTACGCGGGCATGCCGCGCAAGAAGCGGCGCCACCTGCAGCGGATGGAGGCGTGGAGCCGCGAGGCGGCCGACGGCGAGGGCGGCGGCGAGGGAGTCGGCGGCGGCGATTTTGGCACCCCCGCGGCGGGGCTGCCGAACCAGAAGCTGCTCGCGAGGCGCGCGAAGGCGGTCGAGAAGAAGGCGGGGCCGGCGCTCGGCAAGCGGGCGCCGCCCGGCGGGCTGGACGACGAGGGGCCGAAGAAGAAGAAGAAGGCGCCCAAGAAGGAGCCGTCCGCCGAGGCGGCCGCCGCGCAGGTGGCCGCCGCCGCCAGGGCCAAGGCCAAGGAAATGCGAGCGCTGCCGGCCCGGAAGGTGCGGTCCGGGTCAAAGTCGAAGTTCAGCAAGCCCCGCAAGCGTTGAAATTCTGAGAGTCGAGGCCCATCGTGGTTTCTGCTAGGAAGCCGCCGTAAAATCGGATAAAGAAAAGAATTTAAACAAAAGAACTCTCTCTCCCAGCAGAGAAAAGAATTCTCGGAAGGAATTCATCCATGCGGCGGCTCGCCACGCATGACGAGCGGCATGGCCCTCGCTCCGGTTTGCAACCAACTGCCAAACGTTAAGCCGGGCAGCGGCCGTGCGAGGGTCCGGGATTTCGACGACGTCGCGCTTGCCGTACCTTCCACTGCAGCGAGAGGGTGCAGCTTCAAGCCGCCGCCTCCTCCGCCCCTCGTCGACACGCAAGCTGAATTCGCCGTGCAAACCCAGCTCGTCGCCGCGCTGAGGGGCGAGGTTGCGAGACTGCGTGCAGAGCTGGAGGAGCAGGTACGCGCGGCAGCCGCAGCCCAGCAGGCGTTGCGAGAGCAGCACTCGGCAGAGCTGGAGGCGCTGCGTCGACAAAAGGACAATGAGCTTGCGCTGATGCGTTCGGAGCACGATCAGGGGATGCGTTCGGAGCACGATGAGGGGATGCATTCGGAGCACGATGGAGGGAGGAGATCAGCTGTGTCCCTTGATAGCGCGGGGGGCAGGGCGTCAGCGAGACTGTCAGCGAGGCTCAGCCTCGAGAGCATTGGCAGCGACTCCGAGCAGCTCGAAATCTTTGCCAAAGAAAGCCTCGAAAACCTTCGTGACGTGCGCGAAAAGCTCGCCGAGATCCGAATGGACGCTCACGAGGCGTGGCAGCAGGAGTCGCAAAAGATTCGCGAGGAGGCCGAGCTCAAGGCGGTGCTGAAGGCCAGCGCAGCGGCCCCCTCGCCGGCAGCCAGCATCAGAATCGTGCCAGCGGTGAAGCGCAAAATCGCCGGCTTCCTCCCGTCGACGTACGCTCCCGACTCGGAGGCGAGGGTGCTCTCGAAGGCTCTTGACCTGGGCAAGCTCATCACCTTCAAGCTGAAGAGCAAGGCCATCGAGCGGGCCAAGAATAGCACGAGCGTGAGCTCTGCGGACAGCTTTGAGTACACCGTCCTCGATCTGTCGGACATTGGCGGCCGTGAGACCACAAGGCCGATCACGTTGGAGAAGGCGTTCGCGGAGCACAAGAAGAAGTTTACGGGCGACCAGAGGTACGACCCGGAGGCGTGGGCAGCGGGAATCGAAGAGCTGCAGTCGCGCCAGCGGGCGCACTATCTCCACCTCCTTGAGCGCCTAGAGGAGCGCTGCCATGCCTCGCCTCGAGCGTGCCCGCCGCTGCGCCGTCACGAGTGGACCCCCCTCCGCTGCCAGGTGGAGCACCGTGACGAGGCTGCCGTGGCCATGCTGCGCCTTCACAGCCTGCCCGACGAGTACACCTTGCCGCTGAAGCTGGGCGACATTTTTGTCATCTGGAACCCACGGTGTGGATGTACCGGCCCCGCTCGCATCGCCCCGTCACAGAATCGTGACTTGGATTCGCTTCGGTCCGCGGTAGGCGAGACGACAAGGCGGCTCCCGCGCCGGGCACAAAGGTCGCCAGCGAGGTGCCCGCTTTTGCGAAACGACCTTCGGCGACGGGCGCGATGACTCTTCAGGACCGCGCGACGACGAACGCGGTCAGCGTCGACCAACTCGTGCAGTGGTGCAGCGTCCACAAGGCGACGGTGAACATCTCTCTGAGGATCGACGCCGCCAGCGTCGACCAGACAACAGACTCGTCTCTCGCCTTCGATGCGGTCTGGAAGAAGTGCTTTCGACTTGCATGACTCTCTACTTGACTCTCTCTCTCTTCTAGACACTAGAGTTTTCGCTTGCGGCTTGGAGCACTAGTGAACCTTGTGAAGTTGTTGTTATGAGTATTGAATCGAAGGTGAAGAAGAAAAAAGAAAGAAAGAAAACGGACAGCCCAGGGAGGGATGGGAGGACGGCACGCCGCCACCACACAGGGATTTCAAGGGGAGAAGTGTGGTGCTAGCCAGCCGTCGCCCACCCTCGGGCGTCTACCACTTCCTATCTCTCTTCGCAGTTTCTCACCAATCCTCGCAGCGACCTTCATGCCACGCGTTCTTCCCAGTGTCTCATCCTCGTTCTCGCTCTCCTGCTGTTTCATTCATCCTCTGACTCATCGCTCTCCTCGGCCTCGTTCTGAAACGCCGCTGCCGTCTGCCGATCCCTTGCTCTCGCCTCTCTGCGTAACTCCGCCCTCCTCGCGGCATATTTTAGGTGTGCATCTTGGGTCCGGTTGTGTTTGTGAATAAAAGCCAGGCCGGATTGCCGGACATTTTTCTTCCCCTTCGACGGTATCCGCGCCAAGCCCTGTCGTGTGTTTGTGCTGTGAGATAGGCTTGCGTCTGCCGACAGGGGCGACGCTGCGCAGGCCCACGCTGCCGGCGCGATGCGACGTGCCACATCGCTGCTCCTCGCGCAGCACAAGCCCTTCTCCTTTCTTTCGCCGTCCACTGCTCCGCGCGGCAATAAGAAGTTTGCGGTCGATCTCCTCGTGCAGAAGAACAACGCGGTCGCGGCGCCTTGGGTGACGAACGCACAGTTGGGCGCCCCGCCGCGCTCCGCCGACCACCCGCGAAGCGTGCCTGGGCTGGTGTGCATCGGACGCCTCGACGCCGACACCACGGGGCTCATGCTCTGGACGGACGACGCCGACATGGCGCGGCGCGTGATGTCCGCCGACAGCGGGGTGGAGAAGGAGTACCTGGTCCGCGTAAAGGGCCACGAGGCGTGGGACGAGCGGCGGCGCGAGCGGACGACGCGCCTCCTCGCCCACGGGATGGCCATCGACGGCGTGCCACTCCATCGCGCGACCGCCGGCTGGCTGAACGGCGAGCAGCTGCGGGTCGTGCTGACCGAAGGCAGGCACAGGCAGGTGCGGAAGATGTGCGACATGGTGGGCCTGGAGGTGCTAGCGCTCAAGCGCGTCCGCATCGGCCCCATCCGCCTGGGCGGGCTCCGAACCGGGCAGTGGTCCGCCCTCCCCTCCCACCTGCAGAGGCGTCTCTGGGCTGCCGCGGTCGGGCAGGACGCGCCGGGCGACGGGTCGGTGCCGGGCGGGAGCAGCAGAGAGTGCGCGATCCCCGCAGAGGGAACGCTGCCCAAGCGCAGAAATAGCACTCGGGTGACCTCGAGCCGGGTGGTGAATGAGGTAGTGATATGACTGACCTGATGCTCGTACGATAGCAGCTCGTGTGTGCGCGAAACTAACAAAAACTGCTACGCTAGTCTCACGTCCGCCTCCATTCACGGGGTGCCCTCGCGTCAGTGCGCGCGCGCCGCGATGGCGAGCCTCCTCCGTTTTGCGTTCCCGTTCGTTACTTTCCTGAGTATTATATTCTTACGTACCGTCCTCATACGACAGCCAAATCCATGAGCTATCTGTCACCCGCCTTGCCAGCCGCGAGAGCGGAGCTCGGCTTGCCGCTCGAGAGCCGCGCGCGCCTCCATATCTGCTCGCCGCCTCGCCTCGTCCTCGACCCGCTGCTGGTTTTCGCGGAGGATGTCGTGCACTCTCGCCGCCTCGCTGAGCCGCATATCCTCCTTGTGCCGCGCCGCCGCCACTTTTGCATCCCGCTCGGCCTCGAGACGCGTCCTCTCCTCCTGCTTGGCAGCGGCGATCTGCGCCGCCGCTCGCTCTTCAATCTGCTGCTGCACGGCCTCCGAGAGCAGGGCGCGCTCCACGCGCTCGGCGCACACCGCCTTCAGGTCGCCAGACGCCAGGCGCGTGCGCACGTCGC